TCACTCACCAGAACAATAAAAAGAAGTAATTTACAATAACGAAGTATGGAGAACACATTCATTGAACGAAATCAAACACCTCATAAAATGAGTGTTTTTAAAGAAGTTCCTCGAGAATCTATTGCTGAAAAAAGAAGACGTGTTTTTGAAACGATGATATCGGGATTTAAAGAAATCAACTCATCAAGAAAAGAAAAGAAACAACATACCACTGAGGGCTCTACTTTTTGTGAATGTCCTGTCGTTAAAATTCCTCCTAATCCTTTTGATATTAATTTTGAATCAAAAATTCCATCTAAAAGTTGTTTTGTTCCTTCTACAGAAACTTCAACTGAACACTCTGGAAGTACTAATCGGACATTAATTACTTCAACATCATATAGATCTGAATTTGATAGGAGTAGAATACAACAAATAGAAATTGATAGAAATCAAGAATTTTTTATTGGAAGAGCTGCTAAAACACCAGAAAGATATATTTATATTAGAAATGCTATTGTTGATCTTTGGAATAAAGAGAAACCAAAATATGTAAGTAAAACAATGGTAAGACATCAAATTAAAGATTGTGGTGATGTTAATTGTATCGGAAGAATTCATACATTTTTAGAACAAATGCAATGGATTAATTATGGTAAAGTAACTGGTAAATATATTCGAACACAACAAAAATTAAGACAATCAGAAACTATTCCTATAAAAGATAATACTCATGTTATTATTTGTGGAAGTGCATTATTAGTATTAGATATCCATTGTAGATTAATAGAAAATCCAGTTGGATTAGTAGTTGGAAAACAAGTAACACCATTATTATTTATTATTGAAGATATGGTTCCAATTGGAGTTGGGAAATGTGAATTACCAGAAGATACTAAAGTTATTGGAGTATATTATGATGAAACTAATCATTTTCCATATTATTTAGAAGCAAGTTATCCTTTTTGGATATTACGTTTAGTATGGAAAAAACAAAATAAAAGTTTTAATGTTATTAGAAAAGATAGACAAGTTGAAGTTGGAGTAGTTGAAATTGTAAAAAAAGAAGAAGTAAAGAAAACATATCAAATATCACCTGTATTTAATTCTATTATTAATACATATTTAAATACTAATTATGTTACTAATGAATTTATATAAAATTAAAATAATAAATTATTATATTAAGATACACAACTCTCTATTAAAATAATATTATTCATTCATTAAATGAGTTAATTAAATAATAGTTCAACATTTTCTTATTATTTAATTAACTCTTTCTTTAATTTATTAAAACATTATTTATTTAATTAAAATAACACAAAAGAATAACTAAATTATTAAAATTTTATTATTTCTTTCTTGGTTCCAAAATGACAGAAATACGATACAACAAATCTTCTGGGAGAGATGTCAATTGTTGAAGATAACCATTTAAAGGTTGAACAATAGGGAAATTGAAAGTAAATTGTTGGAATCGTAAGAAATCATCAATTTGAGTCAAACACATTTCTTGACGTTCAAAATTGATTAATGAGATTCCATCTTCATTTTTTATTTTAGGTTCATTTCCTTCAGTAATAAATGTTAAATCTTTAGTTACAACTGCAATAAATGGAACACATGCACCTTTAACATCTTTAATAAGTGAACGATAATTTTTATAATTTGAATTATTAACAAGTCCAAAATAACTTTCTAATATTTTCATTGTTTTTACACTTTGTTGAGTTAATAAATTACGAGTATTTTGTAAACGAGAAATAGGAGAGTATGCTTCTAATCCAACATAAAATCCAGCTAGGGCTTGATAATTTTGTAATGTTAATAATTTATCAGCAACTGAAATAAATTTGTTCATTAACTTTGCTCTCATTTCAACATCAGGAAACATTAAAATCATAGTTCCTATCCAATGACTAATTTCATCAACTCGAGCTAACATTTTACATACATTTGGTGCTCTGTATTTCATTTTATCAAAAGAACAATCAAATAATTCAGTTGGACGAACATTTTTATAAATTCCAAAATCAACCATAGTTAGTTGTTTAGCAATTTCATAATCATCCATTTTTGATATAAATAAAGCTGGTGAACACATGTCTTGTGATAAGAATAAATCAACAGGAGGAATAAAATAATTTGAAATTAATTGATTTCTTTCATATAACCTTTTATCAATAGTAGCTGTAAGACTTTTAAGTTGTTGATCCGTCTCTTCTGGTCTATTTAAAAATGATTTAATATATTCTAATAAACCTTGATTACATTCATCTAATGCATCACTACAAAAATATTTTAATGCAATAACTACTCTTCTTTTAATTAATGTTGCTTTTTCTTTTGGAATATTATCTGGAACAAGATATCTTGTAATTAATAAATCAACAACTTCTTTTGCTTTTGCAAATGATGGAAATGAATAGAAAAAAGTTCTTCTAAAGAATAAATCACTAAAATCAGGTGATGTTAGTGTTTCAATAATTCTATTTAATGAACCTGCATTAATTGATTTTGAATCTTTTTTAGTAATAACTTTCGGTTTATCTTGTGATTCAATCTCATTCCAAAAATCATTTGTTCCCATTGTTAATTTTTCTGTTTCATTTTCACTAATTTTTCTTACTTCTCTTGCAGTATATACTTTACCAACATATATTTTTAATGAATTAACTAATGTAACTGTAATACTTCCTACTTCCACAACTTCTAATTTTACAATATCTTTACTATTTAATACAAATGGATTCTCTTCATCAATTTTTTCTTTTTTCTTTTTCTTTCCATTATCTTCTGTTTTAGTTATTCTATTTCTAACAACATTTCCAATACTAACTATTAATTGTGATACTATTGCACTTAATCCTTTTCCACTTTCATAAAAATCTCTTTCAATAAACCCAGCTCTTAATTGTTGTCCTTCTCCTTTTGCTGCTGAAACAACATGAGAATTAATTTCTGGTTCTAATTTAATTTTATTTAACGTTGTTATAGTAGCTTTATATGTTTCGATATACTTCTTAAAGTTTTCATCATTACATTCACAATGACTTACATATAATTCCATTATTTTTTGTGTTATTTCCATTAACGTTGATGCTTTTTCTAATACTGCTTCAACTGCACTTTGAAATTGTGAAATATATTCTTCTATTTCTGGTCTTGCTACTGCTAATGATGCAAAACTTAATGCATCAATTACAACTGATCCAACTACAGCTGCTGAATCACAAACAAGACCAACAAGAGTATCATAACTTTTAACTTTTTCTTCACCTAATCTATTAACTTCTTCATCAATAGTAATTTCATCAAATCTAGGTAATAATTGTGTATGAACATAAAATCGTGTATTACTTTTTTGTTCTACAATAACATCTTCATCTACATTTTTTAATACTCCTCCAACTTTTATTGGTCGAGCATCTTGATAATATTTATTAATACAGTTCGATATTTGATCAATAATTTCTTCTTTATTTAATCCTTTTTCTTTAGCTTTCTTTAATGTTTCAGTTATTGCTTCTGTTCCATTTCCTCCATTAATAGAAACACTATCTCCACTTAATTTTGATGATGCAGTAAATGAAATTACATTATTTTTTTTCTTTCTAAATGTTAATGATAATGAATGTCGATCAAGTCTTTTTTGTTCTATTCTTCTTGATCTTGACTCTCTTATTGGTTCTTTTTGTAATTCATTTCTTAGTGTTTCTATAGCACTAATTTCAGCTTGAAGCATTTTCTTTTCTTCATCAGTAAATTCATCCCCAGCAAGTGCTTTCATATTAATAGATCTCATTTTCTTATACTTTTCTGATTGTAACAAAGACACTTTTAATTTTAGTGATTGAATCTCTTCTTGCATTTGTTGAAGTTTTTCTTCTTGAAGCCCCAACATGTCTCTATCACCCACTAAATGGTATTTCAAGTTGTTTCTTCAAAAATTATATTTAATTATTTCTTTTATTATTCTTTTTACTATTTTAATTTTATTTTCCCTTTTTTTCTGTAAAATTTCTATTTTAATTACTATTTTTTAAGTTCTTATTTTTTTCTTTCTCGAAGTTAGTAGTTTCTTCTTTCTTTTTATTTGCACTATTGTCATTTAGATTTTATTTTTAATTTTGAGAGTTATTAGTCTGGGGGCATTTTATTCTTTTATAATTATTATTTATACCATAAAATAGAAGTTATATACTCTTTCAAATATAATTTATACTTCTATGAAAAAATTGTATTAATAACAAAATATTTTTTTGAAATTTTTTAATAATTGAACTTGAAAGAATTTTGTTGTGTTCCCTTGAAAAACCTTCCATTTAATAAAAGTTAATACTGTTTTACAAACACTCCTAAAATTATTTTTTAATTATTGGTTTTATTAATTTTTTGATAAAAGGGTGTTAAGTGCTAAATAAAACTCCTTACTAAATATTTTCTATTTGAATATTATTAATTGTTTGACAATAATTTTTTGTATCTTTTATGGTATTTACAAGAGTTTCTTATTTTCTACTCCTTTAGGTAAAAGAAGTTTTTTCATACACGAGTAATTGTGATTCCCATGAATTACCTGTTAATAGAAAAATTAACAAAATTATAGTTACATTGAATTAATTCTATTTTGCTCTAGCAATTTCTTTTGTTTTTCTTTCTTTAATCAAAGAAATTGGTTTTAAGACAGCACTCCAGTCATCGTTAAGTGATTACGTTACTTTAAATCACAAAATTCTATTTAACATTTTCTTTTAATAAAAAACATCATTTCAAACTAACATACTTCATCTTAACTAACACCTTAATTATTTGAAATCTTTGAAATAAAAATGATAGAAAAATTAATTTAACAAGACACCCTTTTACAAAATAAGTTAAAGATAACTTGTATTCAACCATAATGAATATTTTAATTTAACAAAATTGTATTCATTATTTTTATTCCAAAGAGATATAGTAAAATTATTGAAATAAAATAAGATGTTAAAATTGAAAGAAAAAAAGGAAAACTAGCTTTAATTATTCTTATGTAAAGCCCCTCCTTTAATACTTAACCATTTAATAATTTTTTGTGCGAGATTAGTCATAACATTATATGATTCTATTAAATAAGAAATATTGTTTATTATAAATTAAGAATTTAAAAACAAACGTGATAATTCATTTGAGACAAAACGTTCACCGTTGAGTTGAACGGAAGAGAGTAAGAGAATAGAAACAGCTTGGAAAGTTATTACAACTAAAATAAATTCATGAAGTTGATACGAACCAAAAACGAACAAATAGCATATCACAATTTGTGATATTCCAGAAGAGACTGCCACAATATAAAATTGAGTTGAAAATATAACAATAGTTGGAATTTTTATAACTAATAAAATACTAGTCAAATGTTGGAAAATTGATAATAATGGTAAATAGAATGGATATGTCATAAATAATAAAAATGATTGGATGAACGTTAAAACCCATACAAACAATGTTATTCCTTTAGCAATACCTGGTTTTCTATCACACAACACTCCAAACATATACATCAAACATCCAAAACAACACATCTCAGCAATACAAATACTAAAAAATGCAAACCCATAATTTAATAAAAATTCACTTACTACACTGGCGTTTGGTAATTGCATTTTATTTTTTGTTTTTCTTTTTCTTTTTTTCAGTTTTTTTATTTGATAATTATTTTTTTTCTTTATTCATTCTCTTCATTAACACTTTTTAAAAATGTTGATATTTTGTTTAATTGAATTGAATCTTTTCTTTCTATCAAAATATTTGTTCTTTTTAGTAAAAGAAATCATAAAATAAATCAAAATTTATTGTTCTATTATTTGATTATATAATATATTAATACTTATAACATCAAATGAAATTGAGTATAAACCAATTATAACATATATCGTTCATTGAAAATAAAACTATTTTAAAGGATATGTTTATAGGTTATTTTAAGTCCTGACATAACTACAGAAAATGTTTATGTATCTATGACATCTGTTAAGACGATAGTCTATAAAACAAAAATAATTTTGTTAGTACTATATAAAATTGATACTTGTTTTGATTCTTAATTTAAAATTATTTAATGTATTTAATACATAAGTAATTAAAAATTAATGATAACTCAAATATAGTAAATTTATAAATTAAAGTAATTATGTTCTATCAGTATTAATACACCAGTTTTATAAACACATTTAATCAATAAAATAAAAGTTATTAAGTATTAATAAAATTATTATTATTTGTTTATAAAGAATGTTTTATTTATTCATCTCTAATAGGTTTATTGTATATATTTGATTATTATATAACCAACGTTCAATAGCATTCATCATATTTTCTTCGAATTTAATTTCATCTACATCTTGTTCATTTAATCTCATGATGCATTTTATTCTGTACCATTCCATTGATTAGATATTCTAATCTATTTATTTTCTTTATGACTTCTTATACTTCATCAAATTTATCTCATTTAAATTTATTTTAGAGATAATAATACATACACATTGAAATCATTTTCATATCTTCTTGTAGATTTTCTATTCTCCTGACCATACCCATTTATTATTTATTTCTCTTATTAATTTATCTGATTCTTTCCTTCTCCAGTAGTAATTAATATTTACACATTTATCTATCTTCATTTCTTTAACTTGAATGATGATAGAGTTAAGATATTCATCATCAATATCAGTAGAGTTATTTTTTATGATAATATTTTTTATTATTGGATTACACTCTACTTTCTATGATTGAGTTCACTTTCATTCTGATTATCTTTTAGTGATTATTTTATTTTATGTAACTTTTTAATATTATTAATGTATTATTTCTCATTATTTACATTATTATTTATTATTTTTATTATGCTTTCTATTTGTTCCCATTTCTTAATTTCTTATTTAATTTCTTATTTAACAAATTAATTGCAAAACAATACAACACATCAATTAAAATTCTATTTGTTTGATTTGTTGTGTTTTATTTTCTTCTTGACTGATTATCATTTCTTGTTTTTGATATTCAGTGTTTTGTTCTCTTCTTCTTCTATTTCCAGACTTATCTTTTTCATAGGGGTAGTTTGGTTCCTTTGTATTGTCCATGATGATGATGTTCTCAGTATTGGTTGTGTATTTATCATTAATGTCATTGTTTTCTTCTTCTCCATTTCTGAAATAAAAAATAAACACTAACCTGTTGATATTTTGATATTATTTGATTTTGTTCTTCATTTTCTATTTGTATATGGTCTAGTTCTTCTTTTGTTTTTCTTTAGTCTTATAGTTTTCAATTCCACTTTTTGATATACAGAGATTTGTTTTTATTTATTTCTTATGTTCTTCTTCTCCAGCTCACTACTCTTCAGGGCCCTGCCTTCTCTTTCTTTGGCCTCTTACAGTTAGCTCGGAGGTGAGGATGGTTTCATCTTTACTTCATATTTCAGTGTTATTTCTATATTCTGTTTCATTTATTTTATTTGTAATGAAATATTTTATTATTTTAATTTAGAGTTTTCTTATTTCATTATTTGTAGTTTGAATATTGTTTATTTGTGTTTTAATCTTTTTTATTTCTTCTTCAAACTCTTTTCTAATTGAATCTCATGTTTTTTGAATCATTTCATTTGAAGTGGTTCGTTCTTGTTCATTCTTTTTTGTTTGAAATTATTTAATAATTTCTTCTAATTCTTTGATTTTATTTTGAAGAATGTTAATTTATTATTTGTTATATTCTTCTTCTTACTCTTATGTTTTTTATTTATGTTATTTTTAATTTATTATTATTGTAGTTTTATTTCATTCTTTGTTTTTTGTTTTTGATTCATTTTTCATTTGTTTTAATATCTTCTTCATTTATTTTGTTTTATCTTTGAATTCTTCTTTATTTTTCTTTATTATTTTATTATTTATTATTGAATATACTTCTTGAAGGATATTATACCATTTCTTTTCTTTACCTTCATACTTTTTAAGTAATTCTAGGTATTCTCATTTCTCATTTTCATTTCTTATTCTTTTAATTTTCATTTCAATTTCATTTGTTGTTAATAATTTAGATTTCTTATTTGTATAATGCTTATTATCATTATATTTACATTGTTTCTTATTTGTTTTTATTTGTGTTCTTCTTTTTCTATTCACTTTTCTGTTGTTATTTCTTTTATCATAATTATTATGCATTTTATTGTTATTTCATTCTTTCTTTTCTTTGAACCTGAATACTGTTTGTTGTTTACTTTTCTTTATAAGAGTCAAGTACATTACTCAATAAGCATAGTAACAAAATTTGATGTATATTCTGAATTGATAAAAGGATCTTATGACCATAATAAATAATCAATTAACAAAAGATAAATATTTTTATTTTAAAAATGTAGTTAGAATTAATTTAAATTGATTATTATTTTAAGTAATAAAACATATTATTCACAACAAAATACAATAATCACAATTAATCATTTATTAAAAATAACTTAGAATCCTTGCATCTTATGTGTTTTTTGAAAATCTAAATGAAGATTAATAACTTCTTGTTGAGTTTGAGGTAATCCATATTTCATCCAAGCTGCCATTAAACTTGTTTCATCAATATTTTCTTTATTATTTCTTAAACTATCTAATGCAGCTTCTCTACAAATACCAGCTATCTCAGCTCCTGAATAACCTTTAAAATTATTTGCCCAAAGTTCGTTATTAACAGAATTAGCATATATCTTTACTATTTGTTTTCTTGTATCAAAATCAGGTAATCCAACATATAAAATTCTGTCAAATCTTCCTGGTCTTAACAAAGCTTCATCTAAAAGGTCTGGTCTATTTGTTGCTGCTAATACTAAGACCCTTGTTTCTTTTAAACCATCCATTTCAACTAAGAATTGACTCAACATTCTATCTCCATATCCTACTTTTCCACGTTCACTAGCAACACCAAGCATACCATCTATTTCGTCAAAGAAAATAACGCATGGAGCATTCTGTCTTGCTTTCATGAAAATTTCTTTAATTTTACCTTCAGTTTCTCCAACATACTTAGATAACATTTCTGGTCCTTTAACAGCAAGAAAATTACATTTAGCTTCTGATGCTAATGCTTTGGCTTGCATAGTCTTAGAATTTCCTGGTGGTCCATGTAAAAGTATTCCACGAGTAGGTCTAATGTGAAACTTATCTAATTGTTCTTTAAATCTTAATGGCCATTGAACTGCCTCTTTAAGGCGTTGTTTAATTTCTTCATTACCACCTATTTGATCCCAAGAAACTTGTGGAATATTTAAAACTATTTCACTTAATCCACTTGGAGGATGTTTCTTGATAAGAGGAATTAATGATGAGATAGATTTATCTGATTGTGATATGACAGTAGCAATATCTTTGTGGGTATATCCTGACATCATTTCATTTAATTCTGTACAATCTAATTCAGGAATTAATTGATGAATTAATTGAATTCTTTCTGAAGGGGATGGAACTGAAGTATTATAAATTCTATCAAATCTATATTTTACTTTTGTAACTGATGTTGTCAATAATAAAACATCACTAAAATCAAGTTGATGTAAAATAATATAGCAGTCATTAGGTAAAAGATCAATATTATCAATTAAGAGGATTGAGTCATGTGGATGAGATAAAGCAGTTTGGATATTATGTTGTAAACACTCTTTAATATCACCATTTACATTAAATTCAATAACCAAATTACGGTGAGTCTGTTCTGCGATTTGATGAATAAGAACACTTTTCCCGGTTCCACTTGGACCACAAATATTGAAAGAACGTAATGCAAGTGAATTTGGGGGTGTTACTTTTAGAGCACATAGAATTGATTGGACTATGTGTGAGTAAAAGATTGGGTATGGAGAATGTAATGTTGATTGTATTAATGTATCTTCATCTATAAAACAAAGTTCTTGAATATCAATATCAAGTTCTAAAAGTTCACCATTAATTGATATTACTGGTTTAATTTCGGGGTGTAAAGGAACTGACTTAAGTTGATGAAGAATTAATGGATAGTATTGAGAAGAAAGTGAACTTTTTAATTTTAATAAAGAGAGTGTAGGAATTGCTTTAGTAATTGGAATAATTTTAACTTTACAAGATGGTTGTAAACCAAACTCTATTCCATGTGACTTATAGATATACATAGCTAATAAATTAATTTAGGGTTTTTATTTAACTACATAAAGAAAGACAAACTATTTCTTGTTGCACTTGGTTGTGGGTGTATTTCAAAAATTCCATATAATTGTCCTGTTTGATTATCTCTAATTTCAACATAATCCCCAATAGTTATTTTACTATCAGCCATATGAACTGGATGAATACTAACCAATAACCGGTTAGTATCATTGGTGATAGGTTGAGTAAGAAAGAGAGTATTAAAAGGTTTATTCATAGAAATTAATTGTTTTGAGTACTTTTTATTTTATTTACTTTCATACATTAGATTAAATTATAATCAAACTATAATTTATATTAAACAAAAATTTGAAGAGAAAAAAGATAAATTTGTCATTTAATCATGTATTCTTCTTATCAACTTCCACCTGGTTGGAGGATTGCATATACCACTGATGGAAAAGTTTATTACCTTGATGACAAAAATAAGACTACTCATTGGCATTTACCTCAAAATTTATATCAACAACAAATAAATTCTCAACCAAATAACTTAAATAAACAATTCACTTATTCTAATAAAAGTCCTAATGCACCAAAAAGAAGTCCTGGATCAATTCAGTCTACCTTTGTTGAGTTTAAAAAACCACCACCATTTATTATTAGCACAACTCCAAAATTAACTAGTAATTCCTTACTAACTTCATCAGGGACAATATCAAATGATTTAAAAGATACTTTTGAAATCATTGATGATTTCTTTCAACCATCAAAAAAACCTAATACACCAACTATTAAAAAAGATAATGAAGTTGTTCTTTCTTCAGATAAAAAGATTAAGCCAAATATTAATCTTTCTACTTTAATAGAAGATAAAGTAAATTTAAGAGTTCCATTACCTTATACTCAAATTAACAAAAGTTTTAATTATCCAATACCACGGCCTGCAATAAACACTAATATTTGTCCATGTGGAAAAGAGTTTGGATATTTAAAACATCAAAAACAACAATGCAAATGTTGTAGAAGGTATTTTGGCAATGACTGTTTAACTAATCAAAAATGTATTCTTTGTAATTATCATCAAGATGGAAAGTGTCTTGGATCATTACTAACATACTGTGAATCATCAGATTATAAAGATGCAAATATTGGACTTCAAACATTATTTACGGCAAATTCAATAAACACATTCCCTACAAAAGTAATAATTGAAAGTGGTATGATTCCAGCAATTTTAACTGCACTAAAACACCCATTTTGTTGTTTGTCTGTATTAAACCTTATTGTTGCTTTTAGACAACATACATTTATTCGGTTTACAGATAAAGAATTAAGTCATTTTGGACGTTTAGGATCAACTTCGGATGATGGAAGAATAATAGAACTTTGTATTTATTTGTTACTGGCAGCTGTAATAGAAAAACTTCCACTTCCATCTACATTATTTGAATTAATATCATTACCAAGAAGTATATCTCAGCAACTATATCAAAGTCATATCCTTCGTTTAGCATTGTCCCAATATCATTTTCATCCAGAAATAACAATGGCATTAATATCTTCAATGAAGAAACAAAATATAGTTTTAAGTTCTGTAATGATTTATGACTTAATTCAATTATTACCTAATTCTATTATACTTGATATTCTAACTTTCTCTTCATTTAATCCAACACAACGTCTTGCATTATTAAATAGTAATATATTATCATCTCTTATTCCAACTGCTGAATCATTACAAATTACTATCAATTTAATTGATACACAATACATACCCTTCTTTGAAGGACATATGGAATTAATTGCTCATTTATTGATTGACGAACATGCACTAACAGGAGAATTGTCAAAAAAGTGCTGTCTATTTTTATCTTCACCACAAAAACAAGAGTTTATAACATCTTTAATTCAAATAGGAGCTGTACCATTACTTCTTCGTTCAGTTATTACAGAAAAAATAGGAATTGGATTAAATATAGTAGCTGAAGCAAAAATGAAAGAATGTATTAATATATTATTATCAATTAGTGAAAATAATGAAGTCAGAGAACAATGGCTTGGTGCGATGAAAGCTCTTGGAGGAATAAATAAAGATATGACAGATTATATTCTTATTGTTGTCAATTGTATTAAACAACAAGAATCTGTTAAAAGTGCATTAGAATTAATGTTAATATCAGAAAGTATAATTGAAATGATTAAACAAACTGATGAGAATTTGATTGGATTACTTCAAACAGAATATCGTGGAGGAGCTGCTAAAGTTATTCTTAAAGTATTTCAAATGGGAGAAAAACAATTATTAATAAATAAAGGATTATTTAGTGCAATAGCACAAAGTATTGAAAGTGAATGTAATGAAGAAGTATTAAAACTAATTCCATTATTTATCGGAGAAACTCAAAGCGGAATTCTATTACAAAGAATTATTCATAAAATTGCAGGGACATATCTTCTTCAAACACAATTTACACAAATAAGTTTAGAGACATTAGTATTATTATGTAAAGATCAAACTATATTACCATTATTACATTCAGTTCAAATTAATGGATTTGAAAATTTTATGCAATTTTTAGTATTAAGAATATTTACAGCAAAGCCAGAAATTAAAATATGTTATTTACAATTATTTCATAATTATATAATTACAAGTTATTGTGATGAAATAAAAAAATATTCAATTGCTAATATTGTTTGTCAAATATATTTTAATTCTGACGATCATTTAATTTTGATTGAATGTATAAAGTGTTTGAATAAATTAATTTCATTACCTCAAACTTGTGGAAGTATTTTATATAGACAAATAGAACAAAAACTAATATCTCTTTTATTTTCCGTTTATTCTTTATCAAATTCAAATCAAATACTTCTTTTTGAAGAATGTATTAAATTAGTTTTAACACTATCAACATTACACCCTTCCCATTTACCAATATTACTTCCAATCATTCAATTAATTCCATTTGATAGAATCCCAAATTCTACAAAATCAAATTGTCTATTATTATTATTACAATTAACTTCAATTGATCCTTCTGTATCTGCTTTAATTTATCCTGCATTATCAAATCTAACATATGCCTCAACTCAAATATTAGCAAAACTTATTTCTATATCAACAACTATTACTCCTTTATATAAACTTTATTATTATTTCACTGAAGAAGTTTTAATTGATTTTTTAAAAACAGGAGATATTGATTTAGTAACAAGAGCTTTAGAAATTATTTCAACTCGTTCTCCATCAGTTCCATTAGTTTGTTCATTATTTAAATTACTTACAACATCATTACCAGAAGAAACTAAATTATCTACGTTCCATATTTTACAACAAATACTTCCTGATATAACAATTATTAATCTTCTTCCTTCATTAAATAAAATTCTTCCTTTATTAATTAAGTTACATGGAACTGATTTATTACCATTATTTTCTATTGTTATGACTGCTTGTCCAAAAGAGTTTTCTTCAATGATTATTAAAACTAACTTAAAAGATTGTTTAGTACAATCAAAAAATTTACAACAATTTATTTCCTTAGCACTTACTCTTGATCCAATAGATTTACTTCCTTATTTTTTACCATTACTTAATTCTCTTATCACTTCAAATCCTATTTTTGTTAAAACAGTTCTTGCTGCTTTAACTACTTTATTAAATAAATCAGAAAGTGTTATAGATAATGAAGGGTTAGTTGTTTCATTAGCAGAATTACTTTCTAATAAGCAATTAATAGAACAAAGTGTTTCTCATTTTAAAATCATTTTAAAACACCAGTGTTTTGTCCGTGAATATTTAAAAAATGGAATTGACAACCTTATTCAATTCTATAAGAATAACCAACTCAAAGAAGAAATTATTGAAGCCGTTAAACAAAATTGTTGTGAAGAGTCATTGCCATTACTTAACTATATTCTTGAAGACGCAATTCAAGGAAACAAAAATGCATTAAATGCAGTTAACCAATTTATGAAAAAAGGAATCGGAAGAGAATGTGTAACATTAAAAAATAAAGAGTTGTTAGCATTAAGTATTAATTGTCCAAATGCACTTTGTTCTCTTTCTTTAATTAACGACACCCAATTAGAAAGTACATTATTATTACAACTCATTGATAGAAGAGAACAACTAACAAATAAACAACTAGTTTATTTAATTCGAATAATAGCACAACAAATGTTATTTGGATTTGATATTGAATCTTCATTAGTATCAAAATTATTAGAAAATAATGATGAAGAAGTAATCATTGAATTAATGTCATTAATTGTTTTAAATCCTTTTAAGTATTCTGTTTGTTTAAAGGATTTTCCTTTATCAAACTATCATTCATTAGAACCATTTGTGACATACTTACAACCTTTCATTATTTAACTGAACTAAATTCATTTTTTTTTATGTTTTTTTTTGTTTTTTAATTATAGAAGAACTAAAAATAATACAGAATGATTCTCTTTTTATTTATTACATTAATATTTGCTTCACAAATATGTGACCAAAATGGCACTTGTAGTACTGAAAACAATGAAGAGCAACTGAAAATAAATACAAAATGGGATAGTATAATTAATATAATGAAAAATGTTTTAGGACAAATGTGGAAACATATAAAAACTGAAGGAGTTCCAATTGAATACACTTGGAAAGAAGTTAATACCTTTTTAAATGAAGATTGGATTGGAAAAAAAATTAAAGGATTAATGATACTTAGTCCAGAAATGAATGATATTTTTCAATTATTAAATGAAGCTCAATTACAACAACTAAAAGGAGAAACTACTCATCTAATCGAACAACTAACAAAGATAGAAAATTTATTGAAAGGATGGAAACAAATGATTGATAAAGAAGGAGCAGCAAATGAATTTTTTGATGATTCAAAAAACGTACATGATTTCGTTAGTAATGGACTTCATCAAATAAAACCTGAAAAAACAGTAAAAGACTTTGTAGGTTCTTTAGGAATGAAATGGTTATCATGGGTATTAAAGAAAAGTGTTATAAAGAAACGTCAACAACAGAAAAACAAAGAATAATTAAATTTTTTTTAAATGAATAAAAAGGGGTTCAATCATAAATCCCAATAGGAAGATGGTGAAAAATATGGAAGGTCTATTAGTTGGATTTGGTGTTCTCCACATAATGGACATTCGGTTTCAAGTTGTGTTTGATGTGTTAAAGCAAATGGTGTTTTATTATTGATAAATTCTTTTTTAATACAAGAGGGATGAAAAATATGACCACAAGCAAATAATACAAATTGTTCTTTTTCTTTGATACTTTCATTACATAAACTACAATGATTTGTAATACAAACAAATAAACTTTTATTGAAATCAAATGAACTATTTGTTATTTCTATAGTTTTGTCAATTTCATTTTGGATTCTTTCTATTTCATTACCAATTGTTTCAATTGATGTGGTTAATAGTTCAATTAATTCTTTGTTATGCCATTGAGAAGGAAGTAGGTCAATAATTAGATTAATTGGTACTGAATATTTTTTAATGAGTTGAATAATAGTTATTTCTTCACAGTTACTTTTAATAAAAGTATTAAATATTTTTATTAAATAATCTTCTTTCTTTTCTTGTATTTCAATACTACAAGTTAACTCAATTGCCTTTTCTACATCTTCATATTTTTTTTCTTCTTTAATTAACTCAATGAAAATTTCAATCATTCCTTCAATCATTTGTTTATTTTCCAAAATAAATAAATAACTTCTTTTGTGGTTTTTAAAGTAATGTTTTAAAGGAAGGTTTAAAACACACTCAAGTCTAATAGGTTTTTCTTTCATAAATTCAAGTAATTCTTCGTCAGTACAATAACGAACCATTCCCCAAAAAATAAATTCACATAAGTCTAGATTAAATCCATTTTTTGATTCAATTGTAAGTAATAATTGATGTGCAAATTGAATTGACTTCTTTTGATCTTTAAATGAAGCCAACCCAGTGAAGAATGATGGAAAGAGACAAAATTCGACTGAAGATAAGAATTGAATGGTTTTGTCATTATTTCTATAATACAAAATACTAAAATATTTTTCTAAGAAATATTGTGCTTTCATTCTTTGATTACTTACATTAAAAGAAGATGAAGAATTAAAAAGTGATTTCATTTCTTTAAATACTTCATCATCTTGTTCTTTGTTTATTAAATAATTAATATATCCTTCAATGTCATTACATATATGACAATATTCAATAAACAAATCATCTAATCCACTCATCTCAATAATATATCTAATAATATGATAATCAATTCCTTCTTTCATTTTGATTGATAATTGTAATGTATTTTTAATACTTTCGATATATTCTTTTCTTCGTTCTATTACACTCTTTTGAAGAGATTTAATATCCATAATAATACTCCAACAATATAAAATAATTTTTTTCTTACTATTTATTTGACACTCATCAAGTTCTTTATGTATTAAAATTCTAACCTCTTCTTCATCTTTTATTTCATTTAACTTAAACAAATTAATTACCTCTTTCTCTTCATTACTTTGTTTTGTAATTCTATATAAACATTGATCAGTTAAAATCCACATTGTTTTATCATCATTAATCATCCATCTTCCTTTACCCTCAATTCTTATAATAGTTTTTGTTCCGTTTGTATCGTCTATTACTTCTACACTTCCATTCGTATTTAATACGAATACTTTCTCTTCAAATTCTGTCTTCTTAATAAATGGCTTTAAACTATTTTTTTTTATAATTAATTCATTTGTAATTTGATCAAATGAAAGTGTGTCATTAAATTTATATATCATCTCTTTATCATGTGGATTAATATTAAATAATTCAGAAGAATTCCAAATGATATCATATACCCCTTCTCTTTTAATTACCTCAACACTTCCTTTATTATTCTTATTATCATATTCAATTTTATCTATACTCTCATAACTTCCATGCCATAACTTATCAAATACAATTCTTCCAACTTCCTTTCCAGTACAACACACTACAACTATTCCATTTATACTTTCAATAGCACCAAATCCATTCCAACTTTCTTTGTATGAAGATGAAATATAAATACATTTTGTTTTAGCGTTGATTGGAATTTGATTAGTAAAAAAACTTAGTGTAAATATACATTTGTCATTAGTAAATACAACAGCTCTTATTTCAAACGACTCAACATGATAAAATGAAATCCCAACTACTTTACACCCTTTTCGTTGTCGAAGTTCTTCAGGAAAGAAGAAATTAATATCAAATTCTTCATAAGATGTTTTTTCATTTTTTATTTCTCGTTCACAAAGAAAAATAAGTCTTCCTTCACTAGTAACAACAACAACTCTATGGTATTGATCAATGTCCCCTTGAAGGTAAATGTCTTTAGAATCGTTTACAATTACATGTTCTTCATTTTTACTATAAACAATAATAATTTTCTTATCGATTAAAAGTATATCATCTGCTTTATTCTTAATATACTCATATTCTTTTGGAATATTATAATAACGAAAAGGCAAAACCGTGATTGGAAGTGAAAAAAATTGCTCTTCCATTATTCTTTTTTTATAGTTTTTTTGAGTTCTTTTAAATACATTTAATGATTATGTTATATATAACGATAGTTTTATCTATACTCATCTGATTTTTAATTTCATCATTTAATTAAATATATAAACAGAAAACATTATTTCTGACTTTTATAATGTTGGTAATTCGTTTGTCTTTCGTTTTTAATTGGAAAATGATTAACATGTATTATTATTTTATAAGTAAAAATAAAGTTTATAATAACCTCTCAACTAAAACAAATAATCTTGTTTTATAGACAAACCATTTCAATGTTTATCATATATTTTTTAAAAGAATACTTTAATAATACACTTAGTTTTTAATTTACAAAATGAATTTTAGAATCATAAAACATTAGATTCTTTTAAATTTATTTAAAAAGTAACAATAATATTCTTATAATAAATTTATTAAAGTGATGTTTTATATAACATAAATAATTGAAATAAGAAAAAAAATCAATTACAAAGAGTTCAATAATATTGATTTCTCTTTTTCATCACTTAATAACTACTTTTCCTGGTTTGACTGCTCGAGTACGTTTACCTTCTTTTACCCCTTTTTCTCCTTTCCATTGTTTTGGGTTTGGTTGATATTTAAACATTGTTTCATTAACTTTGTTACTATTGTAATAGTAAGACGGTGTTGAGATATCAACGAGTAGTTGAGACGCTTTGTCCATATGAACTTCTTCCAATTTAGTCAGTCTATCAACTTTTGTCATTGTCCATCTTTTAATGACGTGCGAATTATTTGGGTTTGGTTGTTGTACCTTTGGTATGCTTACTTGTTTCTTTTCTATACTAAGTAGTCGTTCATAAATACTTGGTCCTTCCTTCATTTCCATTTTTTTTTGAATAAAGTTTTTAAGTTTTGGAATGAATTATATCATTGTTTTTTCTTAATAACATTTTATAAATGCTATAGTTATTATATTATTTGTTATAGTAAATAACTTTTTTGATTATTTTCTTTTAATAATTTCTTTCGATAGTGAAACAAATACAAAAGTACTAACCTCTACCCATTCACTATTAACTGACTGTTTTTTTAGTAGATACGAGAAAAGTCTTTTGATAGCTTTTTTTATTTCTAAAGTGTTTTATTAATTATTTTTTAAGATTACTAATAATAAATAAGATTCATATGAAAATAAATTTTAAAGATTTTTAAACTTGGTTGGTTGTGTACGTTTGTTATATTTCAACGGTTTATTATTTTTTACTACTTACTCTTATCTTTTCCTTTTTTTATTCCATTATGACATATCAAACTATATTATCATTAATTTGAAATTATTTATTTATAGTGTATCTTTTTATATTTCATTTTATAATTATTTATATGTTTTTGTTTCTTATTAAATATAATCCTTTTTTATGGTATTATTAATTTAAATGTCTTTATCAATAAATCTATCTTTTTATTCATTTAAATTTATATATGTTTTAATAACTTTTCTATTGCAGGCAATTTATTGATTTATTTTATTTAATTATTCTAAATAATCTTATAAAGATTCTTCAAACTAAAATTGAGAGAAAAATATAAATCTATGATGAAATATGATTTTATTTAAATAACTGATATGTTTTCAGATAAAATATAAGATACGACAGAAGATTTAATAAACCATTACAAGTGTTTATTCATATCTAACTTTGAATATAATTCAAAACAAACAACAAAATATACAATTATCAATGATTTAGTAATAATGAAAACAAGTTATTATTTGAATAACTATAGTAGTAATAATTTACATATATTTAATTATGTTTTTTTATTTAAAGAATTATTAAACGAATGTTTATGCTTTGTAGTAACAATAAATGATTTAGAGCATTATAGTATTTATTAATAGTATTTGATAAAATACTTCTAAAATATATTTAAAAATTATTAATTACATAATTGATAATTTTAGATATTTGTTAATTATGAAAGGATATGATTTTATGATATTACTTATTCAAAATAAACAAAAGATACTTCAAAAAGAATTTATCATTATAAATGATTTGGGTTATACAAAAAAATAAAAATAAGGTTTCGATTGATAAAAATAGAAAAGAATATAATTTAATCAAAATCAATTAAAGAAATAAAAATTTTCTTTAATTTAATTAGTATAAATTTATTTTTATAATAAATTTAATATAATTTCAAATAATCAAAACTCATACAATAATATACAATGACTATAATAAATTTTGTTAGTTTTATTAAGAAACAATTTCAAATCACAAAATATATTGTGAAATGATATTAAAGAAAACATGTATTTAAAATTCATTTATTAATATTTATTTTTGTTAATATACAATAAGCTATATTCTCTTTTTAATATAAATTTAACTCAATATCTATTAGTTAATCTATTTGTGAATAAAATATTCTAAAGAAAGAATATAGGACTATTGTTTAATTATTATATAAAAAACTATTCTTATTGATATATTAATCTTAAAACAATTACATTAATTTATTGAGGAAATGATTCATTTGTGATCTTATATATATTTTTGGTTAGAATTCATAATAACCTTTTATTAGTTATAAACTAAGTCTTGATGAGTGATTCTACAAAACATAAAAGAAGTTAATTGATTTTATATTTCATTTATTTATTTTGATATTGTTTATATATTCTATATGTTTTATTATGATAATATGTACTGTTGTTATTAAAGCAATTGTTAATTATTAAAGATTATTAAAATGAATGAAATGATGAATAAACTAACAAGCGATGATTGTTGTAATGATTGTTACAATAAAAACAATTATAATTCAATCCATTCAAATCATATTTATTTTCATTCTTTTTTTAACTTTTCTTATTTTTTTATCTCTGTTTCTTTTCTTAATTCTTTTTCACTTTTTAAAGTGTTTCAATATTTTTCAAATGTGAATCAAAAAAAACAAAAGAATTTTTTTATTTTTTATAAAGAACTAACTAATAATAAATCAATGAGTATTAAAGAAGATTTAGAAAAACGAATGAAAGTATTGCAAAGAAACTATCCGAACTCATATTTTCAAAAACTTATATCCTCATTTACAAGACAAACAACATTTGAAGGAAATAAAAGTAAAATTTATGATATAATAGAAGATTTAAAAAAAGGTGATAAAAAAAGATTATATCTTGATTGTATTAATGGAGTTCCAAAAGAAGTTAGAGCACCTGTATGGTATTGTATGGCAACTGAAGGATGTAGTTATAAAGAAATTATTAAAATAAAATCAAATAAACTTTATCAAGAATATTGGAGTGAAGCAGGAGAATGTGAATTATTTAATTTAAATAAAAAACAAGCAAGGACTATCGATGTTGATGTAGTACGTTTATTTCCAGAAGGGTATAAAGAAATATTTAAAAATGAAGAAGTTAGAAAAAGAATAAGAAGAATAAAAAGAATGTATGAATATCATTTTCCAAATCCTGGATATTTTCAAGGAATGGGAGATATTGTTGCAGTCTTTTTTGTAATATTTTCAGAATATTATATCAATGAATTTTCAATTAATAATTATTTAAAAACAGATAAAGAAATTATTGATAGAATTGAATGTGCTACTTATGTTTTATTAATTTATATTATGCAAAATATTTATTGTGAATGTAAAACAACTAATGGTATTAAAGAGTTTCATCCTGAAAGTTTATGGAGAGAGTTAAGTAAGTTTTGTACATTAAAAGATAAATATTTTAATATAAAGTATGATGAATTTATTATTAAACAACAAATATATAAAATATTAGTTTGTTTCTTTGCACGTGATTTAAACATTCATTTAACTTCGATTATTTATGATGGATTAATTTGTGGTACTTGTTGTAGTGAAGGAAAAGTGTTCAATGGAATAATAAAATTAGCAATAGCATTTATTGAAATTATAAAACAAACAGGTGTTAATTTGGATGATTTATATTCATTTAATCAAGAGTCTCATAAATTCTTTGAAACAATTACAGAGTCAAAAATATCAGAACTCATTGCAATTGCTTGGTATCTTTAAATTTATTCTTTATGATTATATTTATGTTATATATACAAATAAATTATCTTTTCTTTTTATTCTCTTAAAAAATTTAAAAATAAATAATTTTTTTCTTGAGAAATTAATTAAAATAGCACCAAAATTAAATATTTTTTTAAAAAAACAATTATCACAATAAAAAAAAATATAACACTTCTCATTTTCCATTCATACAAAAGAATAATTAAATTCTAATTATAATTTTTTAAAAAGATTTTATAAAAAGAAAAGAAAGATCATAAACTGATAAATAATTATTTCACTTTTATGACTGATAAAGCTTTCGAACCAAGTAATGATGGAGACATAGAAATGTCTGAAGATGTAAAAAATAAACCAGAACAATCAGTTGAGATTACTTCTGATTGTTCTAAAATCGATAAAAATAAACCGATAGGTTTATTCAGTACAAATTTTGTATTAAGACAACGATTTGGTTTAGGAATTGCATTGTACTTTGATTTTTTATATTATGTTTTAGTTTCTGATTTGGTAATTGGAGCAGGAATAGTATTTGTATGGTCAATTCAATCAGAATTTGCATCAGTAACATCTAATCCATTAACTTTATTATATATTGAAGCATATGGATCAGGACAATTTAACTATTATTTTTTCTTTATTACAAATATACTATTTTTCATTGTATGTCTTGGACAAGGACTATATTATTCTATTACTAGAAGAAATATTATTAAAAGAGAATATGAAAAAGAAAAAATGTTAATGGATATTGATGAAGACTTTTTTCAAAAAATTAATATGCCAACTGAAAGAGATAAAGATGGTTCAATGATTCAAAAAGGAAAATCATCTTGGTTTATTAGAAAAATATGGAAATTTATATCATATTTTATTTTTATGGTATTTACACTAATTTTTTGTACTATCCTTGTTGTTATTATTAAGTTTAAACCAGACCAAGAAAGTATTCAAAGATTTGTTGATAATCAAATGCAACAAATTAATTTCCCATTATTTTCATTTTATGATATTTTAGTATCTGTTTTATTGTTTATTTTCTATCAAATATTAAGAATTATTGCTCAGTTAGTCTCTCTTATTGAAAGACATAAGAAATATATTGGATATGTTAAAGATAGAACCATTAAATACTTTATTGGAAAAATCTTTCTTGTAATGTCAATTTATATTACTAATCGTATTGTTAAAGTAGATGTTGGTTGTCCATTAGCACCAGCAGGCTCTACTTTCTTTACTGTTGTTTTAACAGATTTAGTATTAACAAACTTCTTTGGAATATTATTCCCATTTATTAAAGTACATTTCCCAATTATTAGTAGAGTTACTATGAAAATATGTAAGTGTCTTATGCCTTGCTGGAAAGATAGTTTTGATGAAAATGATATTGCACCTCAATTTGAAATTGAATCAGAATATTTTGAAATTTATTTCAGACAATTTAATATCCTTATTGGTTCAACAACTTCTCCAATTCTTATGTTAATTGGTGCTTTATCATTTGCTATTGAATACGCTTGTGATAAAATTAAATTAACTAAATTCTGTTATCAAACAAAGAAAACACCTGGAATGATGATTCGATTCAATCAATGGTTCTTAACATTTACTTTTGTTCTTGCATTTATATTATGGCCATATGGTGGTTTTTGGATAGTTTCAGGTGATTTATTTGGATTATTGAATAAGAACTATTGTGACTGCAGTCTGTTTAGAAGCAAAAACAATTTCTTATTGATGCAATGTTAACAATTTTACTTGTTTTATTTTTAATAATTTACTTCTTCTTTTTAATTATAAAAGAAAACAAAACATTATATACAATAATAAAAGATTTATTTGACATATGAAGAACTTTTTACAGACGAACAAGAGGTGTTAGAGGATTAGGGTAAGGAAGTAATGTCTTTGATTGAAGTGCTTCATCCATCCATTGAACTATTCTTCTATCACGTTCTTTAATTCTAACTGAAGATTCTTTACCTTGATTACACAGATTCTTATGAGTTAAAGCTAATGTATTTTTAAAAGTTTGTGATTTAATAGAATCTGAAATATCAGAAGTTTCTGAATTTTCAATCAAACGTTGAGAACAAGTTCTTTCAATCTTAATACTTTGTTCAATAACTTCTTTTTCTTTTAACTTTTTTAATGTGCTGGAGGTTTTAGTTTTTTTTGGTTTTTTTTCTTTTTGTTTTTTTATAAGATTTGTTTCTTCCTTCTGATTAAAACCTTTGACAATATGACAGTCATCTGAAAAATCTGGTACATCCTTTTTATTTGTTTCCGGTTTGGAGAGTTCACTAGTTAATAATTTAATTAGGGAAAGTTCAATCCCTTTTTGAACTGGCATAGTTTGGACTTCGCAAACACAACCCTCTTTTAATTCTTTGACCTCTTTATTTTCTTTCACTTCTTGTGTTTCTTTAGAAGTATCTCCATGACTATTAAGACTTAACATAGCTAATTTTCTTTGTTGTTCTTTACGTTCAGCCAATTCTTGGCAATACTTACGAGTTTTACGTCTTGGCGGAACGCGTGGCATAGCCAAACACTTTCAAGTTCGTTCTTCCGATTTTTCTTAGAAGCTTCTCTTTTTTATTTTTGTGTTGGTGAACTTTTCTCCTTTTTTTCAGGTTTTTAGGATTTTTTGTTAGAGATCTTAATTTTATTTATCTAAAGCTTTAATATATTTTTGGGATTATTCTTTAAATTAGTTTCTAATTAAAAACTATTAATTTCTTATTAATTAAACTCATTAAAAATATTTTAATCTAAATAAAAAAGAATAATTTTCTTTATTTTTATTTTATTAAATTGTTTTTAAATAACAAAAAATAAGTTTTTTTTTCTAAAAAATATTCATTTTCATCAATGAGATACAATCAAATTAATCAATCCAAATATCATTTTCGTTAATCCTTAAGACTTCTTATTTTAGAGACTTTTTTGGCTCTGTCGATAATTTAGTTTTAGTCTTATCTCTTTTTCTTGAAAAGAATTCATGACTGAGACATTGTTTGACAGTAAAACGTTTTTGAGAATCTATATTTAACATATTATTGATAAGATCTTTAAAGAGGTCTGACCGTTGTTCAAATTCATCATAATGATATCTCTCTCCTTTAACAATATGAGAAACCATCATTTTGTCAGGATTGTTATCAGATTTATGCATAAAAGGATATTCTTTAGTAGCCATAACAAAAAATACTACACCAGCACTCCACACATCTGCTTTACATCCGTCATAAACAAGTCCACGATAAATTTCTGGAGCAGCATATACATCAGTACCACACATAGTATCTGCTCTATGTGTTTCGTCAACAGTTCTTCCAAACCCAAAGTCAGTTAATTTCACTTGATAACTTTCTTTTTGTATCATGATATTTTCAGGTTTAAGGTCACGATGAATAACACCAATTGAATGAAGGTATAGTAATGCTGTTAAAATTTCAAACATTATTTTCTTAATAAATTCTTCCTTAAGTAAATTGTTTGTAAATACGATATGAAAAAGATCATATCCATCAACAAATTCCATGATAATATATTTATTAAAAATACCAGAAAATGATTGGTAATATTTAACAATATTAGGATGATTTAATTTTGACATAACTTCACACTCACGTTCAATCTGAGATTTCTTTTTATCAGTCAAATCACTGTAATGAAGTATTTTCATTGCATATACTTCTTTTCCTTTAAAGACTTTTCTTACAGTCCCAGTACCACCACTTCCAACTAAATTTGATAATTTGTAATTATCAAAAACGTGACACCTTTCATTTTCTTGTTTCATAATTTCTTTATCAATCAAACAATATGACACAGCACCTTCATCTTTCTTTGGTCTAAGTAAAGATATTTCATCAAAACACATTATTTCTATTGCTTCTTTAGTTGGTGCTTTTTCATAATTGATATAACTTCCATTTGTTGATGTATCAACAAAATAATATCTTCTTTGTGTTGGTCTACCTACTAATTCAACAATACTTGATGTTATGATAGAACAATGAGTATAACTAATCGTATCATTTGAGATTTCACATGCAGAGTTACACCTTCCTAAAGTAGTTTTCTTTTCTGTTATTATAAGGGACGGATACCCTTTTGTGTTACACTGTAATTCAGCAATCACTTTCTTTTCTTCTGTCATTAAAAAATATAAGTTTGTTTTATTAAAATAGAAAGCTAAAAAATAACAATTTTTTTGTTTTTAAAAACAAAGAAGATAAAAATAATTTGTGTTATTAAATTAGAAAAGAAAAGTTTTATTCCACCGAAAAATCATAATTGAACTATAAAGTTAAAGAAAGAATGTTTCAGTCATTGTATACTCAACGATACTCTGAGGAACAGTATTCTCAATACAAAAACACTTTATATAATAAGTTTAAAGAAATTATGGAATCAAAAGAGGTTATTGATAGTGGAGAAGTTATGTTACTATACAACATAGTTTATTCAATTTGTGCCTCACAAGATGACAGACTTAGAGAACGACTATATTATGATATTTATTCTTTTATTACACGAAGAACTAAAGACATTATTATTACTATCCAAAGTAATAAAAATCAAGAATTACTTAAGAGTTATAATAAAGAATTTGAACAATTTGAAAATGGCATCAACTATATTGAACGTGCTTGTAAATATTTAAGTAAACACACAATTGAAACAGAAATTATTAAAAATGGATCAAATGCTAAGTTTAAAGAGATTAGTGATATTGGTAAAATTGAATGGAAAAAGAATATTTTTGATTTATTGGAAAAACAAATTCAAGAAGTTGTTATCACTATTATTAAACAAGTCAGAAATGAGAAAAGTGATAATTATGAAATGAATGAAATAAAAAAGTATTGTAAAACACTTATTCAATTACACTCTGTTAAAGGAAGCGATGTCATTGGATTATATGTCTCTTCATTTGAAAACGATTATTTAAATAAACTTAAAAAGTATACAAAAAAATGGGCAAATACTCATATTAAAGAACTTGATATGAAAAGTTATTTAAAAGAAGGTCTTGATTTATTAAAAAAAGAACAACAGGTGATTGGGTGCAATCTTGACTCAATCACTTTTGATCACATCTCATTAATTATGAGTGACGAACTATGGAAAGAGAAGAAAGAAGTTCTAAAAGTCCATTTTGAAGAAGCATTTGAAACAGAAAATTTTGAGTACATTCTTTTATTTTATAAAGTATTCAACAAATGTTCTAACTCTAATGAATTATTAATTGGTCTTTCTCGTTCATTTGGTGAATGGATTAGCTCTATATTCAAAAAAACATTAAATGGATTTACCTGTAATGAACCAAATGATATTGGAATAGAATTATTAAATAATTATATTTCTTGTTATATGAAAGTAAGTGAAGTTTTAAAATTGTTTAATGGAAATGCATTATTTGGTGAAGAATTAAAACAACGTTTAAATCAATTCCTCAATTCACCATCAAATAAATATAATGAACTTCACCCCAAATTTATAGCTCAATATATTGATCAACTATTACGTGGAGTTGGAGTAGGAAAAGACAGTAAAGAAGTTATATTAACTAAGATAGAAGAATCAATGAATATTTTACAAGCAGTTCAAAACAAAGATATCTTTATGCATTTTAATTCTCATTATCTTGCACGGAGATTAATAAACAAAACAGTTAGTATAGATGAAGACATTGATAAAAGTAGTATTGATGGAATTCGTTCTGTCTGTGGATTTGAGTATGTATCTAAAATGAATCATATGGTTCGTGATATTAATAATAGTGTTAATTTAAATGCACATTTTCATGAATTATATAAAACGCCTCTTTATGTTAATGTTTTAACTTCAGGTATTTGGCCATTTTCAACTGAAAATTCACTATCAAATGATACGCTCCCTAGAAGTATTTTATTGGCTCAAAGCAAGTTTGAAGAGGAATACTTAAAAAAGGGAAAAAATAAAAAATTAAAATGGCTTAATAATTTAGCTAAGGTTAATGTTATAGTGACTGTTGGGAAATATAAATATGAGATGATATTGGCAGGAATATATTATATTGTTTTAGACCTTATTAATCAATATCAAATAGAATGGAAATCTAAAAGTAAAATAAAAGAAGAAGATGTAGAAAGGACAGAGAAAGTATTAACTAAATTAGGAATTATTGAAAATAATCACATCAAAACATCTTATTTTACTGATCAAAAACGGAAAAAAATTGTTATTGGGTTTCAAGAGATTAATCAAATTACTAAGGAGAGTCAAGTAAATAAAGAACTTGCGCAAAGTAGAAAAGTTAGTCTACAAGCGATTATTGTAAGAATTATGAAACAAAGGAAAGTTATTGGTCATCAACAATTAAAAGAAGAAATAATGAAAATTAGTTCCTCTAAATTTGTTCCATCAACTATAATGATTAAAGAATGTATTGAATTTCTTATCGAAAAGGAATATATGAAAAGAAAAGATGATGATCCATCTACTTATGAATATGTGTATTAGATGTTAATTCATAAAATAATATTTCTATATTATAATTATTTTTTTTATAAATATGTCATAAGTCCTTCAGAACTCACAACAAATCTTTCATAAAAAATTTTTTTTACTTCTATTTCTTATGAATTATTAGTTTAAGAAATATTCTTTTTACAACTAATTTCGACTTTTTGTTTTTGCATGATTAAAAAGAAAATACGTCACCAACAGACAAGTATAAAATCCAAAAAAATTGCGAATAGGGAGTTGAGAGGCAACTACTTAAAACAGACAAAAAATAATGTCTGTTTTCAATCTTAGTGATTGGCTAAGGGTATATAAAAGACAGTTCATTAAATAATTTTAAATTCAATGGAAAACAACGATAATTATCAACTTTCTACATGGGGAAATTTATGGCAATATATTGGAATTGAGAGACATGCTCAATATGGTTATTATTGGATGATGGGATCTGCTAAGCTTAGTGATTATAAAGACTGGTGCCTTTATTGGCTCGGACTAAATAATTTTGAACCTCCATTAACAGGAGAAACGCCAGAAGATTTTTATGTTAGAAAGATTTATACTACTTCTTATGATTGTTTTAATAGACCTATTTGTGGCCCTCCTGAAAATCATATTACTATAGGAATTAGAAAAGAAGTTCCTGTAGAAGGGGGTAAACATCTTGAATTGATTGAAGGAAATACAAGAGAGGCTATTAACTTTGGTTCATATAATTATCTTGGATTTGGTGGAAGACATCCAATTGTTACAAAAGAAATTATTCAAACATTAAAAACAAAAGGTGCGTGTTTAACTGGATTTGCTGCTGAAAGAGGAATTTCTGAAGAACAAGAACAACTTCAATTAATGTTAGCTGAATTTTTACATAAAGAAGCTGCTATTGTTGTGCCAATGGGATTTGCTACTAACTCTACATTAATTCCAATTTTAGTTGGAAAAGGAGATGTAGTTTTTTCTGATGCTTTAAATCATTCATCTATAATTACTGGGATGAGATCTTCTAATGCTGAAGTTAAAGTATTTAAACATAATGATATTTTAGATTTAAAAACTAAATTAGAAGATTTAAAAATTCATGGAATGAAGAATGGACAACAACCAAAGAAAGTTATGGTTGTTGTTGAAGGTTTATATTCAATGGAAGGTGAGTTTTGTCCTTTAAAAGAAATTATTGCATTAAAGAAAGCTTATGGATTCTATTTATATGTTGATGAAGCACATTCTATTGGTGCATTAGGTTCTACGGGAAGAGGTATTGTTGAACATCTTGGATGCAGTTTTGATGATGTAGATATTTTAATGGGTACTTTCTCAAAATCATTTGGTTCTGCAGGTGGGTATATTGCTTCAGATAAAAATACTATTTCAATGTTAAGATCTAATTGTTATTCTTATGTATATGGATCTCCAATGTCACCAGTTGAAGCACAACAAATTATTTCATGTTTAGAAATGATGAAAACAGAAGAAGGACAAAAAAGAATTGCACAATTAAGAAAATCTTCAATTAATTTTAGAAGGAGACTTATTGAAGCAGGATGTCATGTTCTTGGTGATACTGACTCACCAGTTATTCCAGTTATGTTATACCATACAGGAAAAATTAAAGACATTTGTCGTATTTGTTTAAAAGGAGGAGTTGCTGTTGTTGGAGTAGGATTTCCAGCATGTACTCCAACATCATGTCGTGTAAGATTTTGTATTTCTGCAGCACATACTGATGAAGATATAGAAAAAGCATATAATGTGATGATTAATGGAATGAAAGAAATAGGATGTATTTTTGGAAATACGCCTCAACCAAATGTTATTTATCATCCACCAAAAGTTGATTTATCTGAACTTGAAGCATTACCAAAAGAACCTAGAAAAATGTCTTTACTAAGTGAAAATTCTGATAATAGAAAAGTAACACAAGAAGTAATAAGACCAATTGGTATTGAATTAAGTTCATATGATATTCATGGATTTAATCAAGACACAGAAAGAACAGAAGAATTAATTAATGTTATTAACAACTTTGGATGTGGGTCTTGTGGTCCAAGAGCATTTTATGGAACTACAACAGAACATTTAGATGTAGAGAAAGAATTAATGAAATATTTTGGAACTACAGATGCATTAGTTTATAGTTATGGAAATAATACATTAACATCAGTAATTCCAGTGTATGGTAAAAAGGGAGATTTCATATTAGTTGATGAATTTTGTAATTATCCAATCCAATTAGGATGTAGATTATCACGTGCTACAACTATAAAATATAACCATAATGATATGAAAGATCTTCAAGAAAAATTAAACGAATATAAACAAAAGATTGTTTATCCTAATAAAATTATTATTATAACTGAGGGTGTTTTTCAACATGACCTCTCTATTGCTCCATTAAATAGTATTGTTTCTTTAAGATGTAAAAATGTATTACTAATTGTTGATGACTCTCTTGGTATAGGAGCTCTTGGTGCAAATTTGAAAGGAACACTAGAACACCTTGGACTAACTGTTAATGATGTTGATGTTCTTTGTGGTTCTATGGAATTTGTGTGTGACACTGTTGGTGGTTTTGTAGTTGGACATTATGATATGATTGAAAGACAACGACTTCTTGGTGCTGGATTCATTTTTTCTGCCTCAGCTCCTCCTTTCACTTGTCGTGCTGGTAAAATTGCATTTGAACGATTTGCTACTAAGGGAGTTGATATGGGAATTGAGTTAAGAGAAAGAAGAAATAAATTTAATCAAATGATGAAAGAACAGGTGAAAAATGTAGAAATGATTGGTGATGAGTCTCTTCCATTTGTTTTATTGAACTACAAAGACAATCAACAATTAATTGATATACTAAAAGAAAAAGGATATCACAGTGTTCTTCAGCATCATTTAGATGAAGATTGGTGTCAAAACAAATTCGTGCGTTTGTGTATTGGAAATCAATTAACAGAAGCCAAAATGGCTGATATCATTACAGCTTTTGCTAAATTAAATTAAATATCATTAATAAAATAAGGCTTCATTTTTAATAAAATATATTTCATTATTTTAATTTTAAAATATTTTATTTTTACTAAAAAATTAAACAAAATATCCAATGAAAGAAGATTTTTTAATAAAATCCTGGTGGATGCATCATACCTGGTTGCATTGGTGGATATCCTGGTGGTGGATAAGCACCAGGTGGAGGCATCATACCTGGTTGCATTGGTGGATATCCGGGAGGTGGCATCATACCTGGTTGCATTGGTGGATATCCTGGTGGTGGGTAAGCACCAGGTGGAGGCATCATACCTGGTTGCATTGGTGGAACCATACCAGGGGCTGGTGCACCAGTTTGGAAGATAATTTGGATATGAATTTCACCTTTTTTTGAAAGGCCTAACCAAGTATCAACAACTTGACCTGGGAAACCATTCATAACTTTGTAATGGGTTGATCCAAGAGAGTCATTCTTTCCAAAGGTATCATAATCATAAACTTCAAATCTAATATCCTCTCCTGGGAAAACTTCCATAATGAATGATTTATTCCATGATGGATTTCTTGTGTTACGAATAGTTTGTGTTTGTTGGGTACATTGTCTTGTAATAATTTTACAATAAGGGTCACTAGAAAGTCCTCCGAAGTCAGCTCCCTTTAAATTTCTTCCTTCAATAACTTTAAGTTCTATTCTCATAACAGTATTTAGATTTATTTTTTTTCCAGTTACCTTTAATAGTTCCTTAGAAAACTAAGAACTATAATATTATAGTTTTTGAAATAACAAATTTTATTAAAATTTTTAAATTAATAAAGAAAAACGAATCAATGAAAAAAATTGATTTTTTTCAATAAAAGAAGAAAATAAATTTATTTTTAAGATTGAAACCATTTATTTTTTAAATCTTAAAAATATATCAAAATAATAAAAGATCTTTTGAATGAAATTATTTTAAACTCAAATAAAAGAAAATAATAAATTCAATTAATAAGGCAATGAGAAATTTTTTTCTTTGGTTCTTCACTAAGTTTAATTAAAGGTTGTTTTTTTAATTTATTATGTATAGTGATATTGACACCTGGGAGATCAGGAAGAATAATAGAATTAGAATAATTATTTAAAACAAGAGTTTCCAATGATTCGAATTGACGTAGATTAGTTAAGTCTTTTTGAATAAGATCAGGACAATCAATAATAATAGAAACAATTTTTTTTTTAGAAGGCAGTATAGTAATGTCAGGTGATTGTATTTTAAGTTCAAGACTACTACACAAAGAAACATCAATAATATTTAAATCTCCTATTATTGTTATTTTTTTAATGTTTTTAGGAAGAATAAATTTAAAAGGATGCATTGAACCACCAATTTCTATTTCAACAAGAGAATTAACTGAAGAAAGGTCACTGAGAGGTTTAGATAAAAAAAGTAATGTTTTCATTGGAAAATATTTTTGCCAATCTCTAACAAATAAATCAAAATGAAGTTTATCAATTCTAGACCATGCATCTTTTGAAGAAATAGTATGAATATCTTCAGTTAATGAATTGGACATAATAATAACATTTTTGTTAGGTGATTTTACATTAAGGTCATTTCCATAAAAATAAATTTTTCTTCTTTTATCTGCAATTTGAATTATTTTATCACAAGCAATTAGAGGTTCTAATCTAGGTGCGTTATTATTAAAATATGCTGATTTAATACAAATTCTTTTAAGACTTTGAAGTTGTTTTAATTCTTCAAAATTCCATTTGTTAAGAAAAACAAAAGTTAAAGTTTGAGGGGTTTGTGTAGTGTTTCTATCATCGTCATATAAATAATAATAACTATCACCAAAAAATTCAATAGTTAAATCATTTAATTGACTAAATGTAATCCAATGTATTTCAAAATCACTTCTATTTGTTATTATTTTTAATTTAATAATTTTTGAAGAGTATTTAATTAATTCATTTAAATATGTAATTGTATTATCCACTACTTTATAACTTCTTTTTTCTGGTACTCTAACAGTAGCATTAAAATTACATTCAAATGTTGTAATATTACTCAACTCTCCATTAACTGTTTGTAATGACTTACAATTTTTAAACATTTGTAATTCTTTTGTTTGTGTTATTAATGAATAATTTGGATTTGCGTGCATCATTTGAAATGACTCATAACAATTCTTACTAACTTGTAAAAAATTAATTAGCTCATTTATTGTTGGTAAATAAAGAATAACATTCATCAAATAAATTCTTTCTAATCGTTTCATTAATCTGTAAAATGTTTATTAGTTCTTTTTAAGATTTAAAAATCATCTTTTTTTAAATTTTAATATAATTCGTTATATATAACAAAAATTAATTTATTGAGATTGAGCATTCATATTTCTTAAGTTGTGTGAATAATCAATATTTTCTGCTTTATCAACAGCATTAGATAATGATGTAATGCTATTAAATAACCTTTTAATACAACCACGCAATAACGTTATTTCAGAAGCACCTACATTTGTTAAAATAATAGTTTCTGATTCTTCATTAATTGTTCTGAGACCTGCTCTTAATTTTTCCATTCTACAATATCTAATATCTTCAAAAACACCACGAACATCATCCAAATCAATAAAATCATCAGATGCATATTTCATTAATGCATAAGTAATTTCTTGATAATAATAAGGCAATGGAGTAAAATCATCATTATTTTGTTCTTCTTCTAATGTTTCTTTAAGTTCTTCTAAAGATAACCAATGAGGAATAACTAACTTACATAATCCTATTTGTTTAAAATGAACAGCTAACCATAAAGGAATTGAATATTTAATACCTTCTTCATAAGGACCATAATTATCAATAATCATTTGAAGTCTTTCAATTTTATTTAAAGGAATAATTTCTACTTTACATAAATCTTGACTAAAAAATTGTTGTTGAATAGGAGAGAGGTATTGAGTATTTTCCATTATTATAATAAATAAAATAGAAAGTTTATTCTCTTTATTTTTTTATTCTTTTTAATTAATAAAAAGTTATTATTATTATTTTATTTATTATTTATTAATGAAAATTTAATTAATGAAAACAACACATGAACTTATATCTTTTCTTTCATGGTGAACTTCATTATTCCATCAAGTTGTTTACTAAAATCAACTCTTTTCTTTATTAACTTTTTCGTAACTGCTTTTCCTTGACAATTAGAAAATCCTATTTTTTCACAATGAGAATACGGACTCATCTTTCGTCTTAATTCAGCTTCCCATTCACATTTTCCTTTATTACATTGACTACATTTACTTGGACTTTCTTCTCTTTCAATCATTTTATGAATTGACTGTGAAATAAAATCAATTTCATCTGCAGCTCGATCAACAGTAGTAAATAATGCAGCACATCCACATATTCCACAATGATGATGTCTTACTTTTCTTATGAACTTAGGTGGTATTCTTCTTCTAAAATGTTTTTTTAAGAAATCATGTTTATAACTATTTCTTATTTGCCAAACTTGTGCCATTCTTTCATTCATTGTCATTTTATCGTTTAATTCAAATTCATCTTCTTCAATAGCACTAGCAAAAATTATAAATACAAATAACAAAAAGACTTTGATTTGCATCTGCAATATTATGATTTTTAAGTTTTTTCTTTTTATTTTTCTTTTTTTCTTTTTATGTTTTATATAACGAAAAAATATATTAATTGATTTTATTTGTTTAAAGAATTAAGGAAAATCAGTTTGTTAAATATAAATTTCTTTGATTTGAAAAAGAATAAATCAGTTTGTTTCTCTAAGAAATTCATAATAGGAACTAGTAATGATAGTTACTATAAAATTAAATGAGTAATCACCCTAACTTTGATCATTTTAAGAGAACACACCTCAAAGATATACAACCTGGAGTCCGTGAAGGGTGGTTAAAAAAGAAAGGGTATGAAGTTCATTCATGGAAACGAAGATATTTTGTAATCAAAAATCAGTTTATTTATTATTTCGCTAGTGCAAGTCCTAATTCTACACCAAAAGGTGTAATTGAGTTAAATTCTAAATCATTTGCAGAAGTTAAAGAAGGAGATGATTCTTTTACAAATATTATTATTTCAAGTGTTCATAGAAATCAAGAAATTATTGCTGACACACCTGATATGGGGGCAGCATGGGTTGATGCCATAAATAATCATATTAAAACATTAAAAAAAGTAGAAGAACAGAAACAAATAGAAGAAGAAAAAATAATTATTCCTTTTAATGGGAAAACATGGCCAGAAATTAAAAACCAAATTAATGTTTGTAAACACCTTCATGAACGACATATCCCAAAAAAGGAATTAACTGAATTATTACAAAGTTTAGGTGAAGAAACATGTGAAAGATATTTTTATAACATATTAAATGAATGTTTTGCTAATTGGACTGATGAAGAAATTGCTGATTATGTTTGGGTTAAGTTCTGTAGAAATTTGATTCGTCTTGAAGAAGTTCATGTAAAAGATCAATTAAAACGAAGAAAATCATTAATGAAAACTGAGCGTGGTAAAATTTATAAATTACTTTCTGATTTAAACCCTGTCTTTGGTGGAACACAAGGAGCAGTACTAACTGCTTTTGGTGGAGAAAGTGAAAATAGTGATGATATTTTAATTGTATTAGGAAGAAACAGTCAAGCTGGTGTAAGGCTTGCAAATATTTATAACCAAATTATTGAAAATAATAATATCTCATTTGGTGAAGTCATTAGAACAATTTTAGATGCTATGGAACGATGGAGAATGAGAACTGAAGAATTAATGTTTAGAGCATTTGTGACTGGAATTACTTCAAATTGGAATCCTGCAGAAGTTGCTTCACTTGTTTCTTTTTTAACAACATTTACTAAAGAACATGATTCATTTCCTTTATTTGAAGAGCCCTGGGAAGAGTTACCTCCACATGCCCTTTCATTTATCCAAGCGTTTGTTATTCTTTTCCTTAGTATTTCTTAATTTTTAATAAAAAATATTCATTATGTATAGATACACAAATCATTGGAATTTAAATGAAAAGAAAGAATTTATCACAATTGGAAAGTCATTATGGGGATGGAAATTTGAAATTTTTAAAAAATTAACAACTCAAATCTAAATGTATTGATTTATTTTTTTTTTACAATTTTTATTATATAAAATAAAGAAACCCTAACATTAACCCTTCCTGAAGAATCAAAAATAAAATATTTGGGATATAAAAGATTGCGAAATAAAAAAGAGAAAAACACATTCGAAGAACTTTAATTTTAATTGAGTGTCAGATGAGGTTCGTTGTTTTTTTTTTTAATAATCTACATGGAAAAATTAATACTTTAGTGGAAAACCAACATTTGCAGGAGCTAAAAGAAAGAAGACATCTCAAATTTTAAAAGAGAAAAAAGCAGAAAAACAAGCTCTTTTACAACCAGAACCAGAAAATGAAAAGATTAAAGCCATTTATGATGATGTTAAAGAAACTCAAGACGTAATGGCAAGTGTTTGTTTTTCTTTAAATTTAAAAAGATTGAATTTAAATGATTAGAATATTGATAAAATGACCAGTAATCTTGAACAAGCTGAAGATCTAGAAGAAAAAACAAATGAAATGGTTGATAAAGCAAATACATTCAAGAAACAATCACATGAAATGAAAAAAGCAATGTGTTGGAGAAAATGGAAGTTGTGGATTATTATTGGGGTTATTGCGGCAATAATCATTATAGTTATTATAGTTGCTATTGTTATTCCACTTTGCAATTAAAAAAATTTTTTTAATTTTTGTTATATATACAATTATTTTATTAATTTTTTTATTTAACTCTAAGAGAGATTTGAGTAATAATCACCAAAAAAATCAACTTAAAAAAAAAAGAACTTATAAAAGTATGTTGTATTTTGTTATTTTATTTTGCATATTTGTTAAAGGGGAAGAGATTTATAGTTGTGTTTATAGAAATAATTGGAGTATTCAGAAAGGAAAGACGGATGATGCTGTAGCATTTGGGTCCTATGAAGATACTCATTTAACAAAAGGATGGGGATTTTTAAAAATTGAAACAGTGAGAAAATATTTACCTGAGAGACAAGCATTTGCTGCAGGCTTTTTAGAAGGATATTTGACAAAACATTTAATACATGATTTTTGGAATAACTATCGATTAAATGAATACGGTAAATATGGACCACCAAAAGCATTATCAAATTTTTTAGCAAAACAATATTTATGGTGGACAAATCAATGTAAAACGAATAATACACAATATTGGAAAGAACAAAATTTAATATTTAAACAATTTAGAGGATTATTATCAGGATACAACAAATATTGTGACAATGGAAAGAAGTTATCTATATTAGAAATGTATTATATTAATGCTGGTGGTGATTTAGGTACTTTAAATAAACTTGTTAAAAATGACAATTTACCTAAATATTCAACAATTAATATGGAAAAAATGAATCAACATGAAATATTTCATGAATGTACTGCGATAGTTAAAATTCTTCCTCAAAATCAAGACATTGTTTTTTCTCATAACACATGGAGACCTTATTACGCTATGATGAGAATTTATAAAAAATATATTTTTCCTTTTACTAAAAATGCACTTCCTATGACTTTTGCTTCTTCTCCTGGATTCCTTCATTCTAAAGATGATTTCTACATTCTTAAATCTTCTCAAAATCATTTTAGTGTTATGGAAACTACAAACTCAATATTTAATAACAAATTATTTAAACAATTCTTAACATTTAAATCTGTCTTATCTTGGCAAAGAATATTAAGTTCAATGTATTATGCTCCTTCAATTCAAAAATTACTTCAAAACTTTGAAATATATAATAGCGGTACTTATAACAATCAATGGATTGTTACAGATTTAAATAAATTTAATTTAGCTGGACACCAACCAAATAAAGGATTATTAATGATTGCAGAACAAATTCCTGGAAAAGTTCAAATTATAGATGTCACTAAACTTCTTCTTCAAAAAGGATATTGGGCTTCATACAATAGTCCTTTTAGTAAAAAAATAAGAGATTTATCTGGATATACTTTAAAAGAAAGGGAATATGGTGATAGATATTCATATACCCGTTGCCCAAGAAGAAGAATTTTTGATAGAGAAGGTAAGTCATTAAAAACAATTAATGACATTAAAAGATTTATGTTACTCAATAAATTTAAAACTGACCCTCTTACTGAAGGAAGGCCTGGAGCTACTATTGCAGCTAGATATGATTTAGATGAAAGTCGTCCTTCTCCTTTTGGTGCTGTTGATTGTAAAATTGGTTCTAAAAAAATGGGGGTTGATGCTTGGGTCTATGGAGCTCCAAGTCATAATGATCAAGAACCGTTTTGTTGGAGTGAAAGTGTCTTTGCTGATGTTGTACACAAAAACCTTCCAGATCGCTTTGATTTTGATTGGATTTTTGTTAAAAATTAAATTCATATTTTATTAATTTTTTTATTAGTTTTTTTTTTCAAAAAACTAAAAAAAACAGATTATAACTAAATTTAATAAGGTTATGGGTCAATTTGTTAATATTATTAATGTTCTTATATTTGTTTGTGTTTCTAGTCAAATAATCAAAGAAGTAAAAGAGGAGTGTTTTGACAATGAATATTTTGATGAGTCACAATCTAAATGTATCTCATGTCCAGCTGGAAAACAACCCAACCAGAATAAAGACCAATGTGTAAATTGTACTGCTGGATATTATTCGACTGAAAATTCTCCTTGTTTACAATGCATGCCAGGAACATATTCAGGAATAGGTTCGGCAAAATGTCATCAATGTCCAGACGGATATTATACTGATAAATATGGACAATATGAATGTATCAAATGTGACCCACCATTTATTTCTGATAAACATCATTCTAGTTGTGAGATATGTCCAGAAGGAACTATTTATGTTGGGTATGATAAAAAAGTATTACCATGCCAGTTCTGTGGTATGAATGCTATTAGTACTGATAATGGAACTAAGTGTCAGGAGTGTGATGAAAATCAGGCTCCTTATAATAATGTATGTTATCCTTTTTGCGATGATATCATTCAACACCAATGCCTAGTTAGTAATTGTTCTGAAAATCAGTATTATAACGCTGGAGAATGTGAAAGTTGTCTTGATGGTCATTATTGTAAACATGGTATTTTATATGATTGTTCAGAATTAGATAATTCATGTTGTAGAAACAATGAAATTACGCATTGTACTCCATTTATTCAAAACCCAAACTCTAATTATTCTGTTTGTTTTCTTAAATTCAAATTTGTTTATTCATTTTAATATAGTCTTAAACCATAGGAATGTGAATTGTCATTACCTTTTATTTCTGTCTTGATTGTTTCTGTAACATTTATATGTGCTTTTGTTGTTATTTTTATAGTATTTGTTATTACTAAATTAGTTGTTCAAAAGAAAGCTATTGATTTTAGCCAAAATAATGCTCAAGAAACAGACCCAACTAAGGTCTATCTTCTTTCGTTTTAATTTGTCCTTTTCATATTTGATTGTGTTTATAATTTTAAGTGCTTGTAATTAAAAAAAAACAATAATTTCGTTTCTTTCATTGTTTTTTTGTATAATACTCGTTTAAGAGATTTATTTTCAATGATTATATAGTAGTAGTATTTATTTTTAAAACTAAATACTATTAAATATTAGAGATTCAATTAACGTCATTTCTTTTTTTTTTAACTAAGACAACGTTAATCTTTAACCTAATCCTCATTTTTTACTATTTTATGTAGTTAAATATCTTTATTTTTAGGTTATTGGATATGCAATAATTTTTGATTGAATAAAAGAATTTGGAGTAAACAGAAAATGAAATAATAAATAATTAAAAAGTACTTAATTGAATTAATGAAACATTATGATTTACATTATTTATTTGTTGATTTAATTTGGTTTTCTTTGTTTCAGGAACACCGGTTATAAATATGTTAAATAAATCATTTACTTGAACATTATATAATGCTGATGTTTCGAAAAAAGCACAAGGACAAATACTATCAATCAAAGAAACCAAATTTTGGGCTTCTAAAGCAGAAACTTTTCGTTGTTTTTTCAAATCACATTTATTTCCTACAAGGATTATAGAAGGCATTGTCTCTCTTCCACTATTTAAAAGAATAGAAAGTATTTGTTTTATATCTCTTTTTCCTTGAATGAATGAAGTTTTATTATTAATAGAATAGACATAAACAATGTAATCACTCTCAGCATAATGCTCTTCTTTTAATACATTAAATTGACTGTCTCCAGAAGTATCAATAAGTCTAAAATGAAAAGTACTATTTTCATATTCTAAAGTTTTGTTATAAATATCTTCTATCGTTGGTTCATAGTTTGATATAGTTTCTCCGTACATAAATCTTCTTATAAGAGCAGTTTTCCCAACATTCATTTGTCCAACAAAAGTTATTGTTGAGTAATGCTCCATTATTTAATGAATATAGTAAAAAAGATCTCTTTTTCCATGGGTTACTTTATCATTCGAGCCCTTTTTTAGGATTTTATTTCTTTCCAAGTGTTACTTCGATTCGGTTCCAATTTAACTAAGTTTAATTCCTTTTCCAATTAAAGAATCTATGATAATTTTATTATTTCTAAAAGAAATTTCCACAATTCATTTTCTTTCATTTTTGTTTTTTTTTTTTTTTAGGGCTATTGAAAAAGAAAACAATTAAATAAATTAATAGCTATTAATATCGTTAATGGCGTGCAAATTTCCATTATTATATTCATTTTAAGATAGTTATTTTTAAAGAAAACTGTTTTATTACCCTGAGTTTTATTAAAAATCTCTGAAAAGGAAGAATGAGTCAAAATAACTATTGACTTTTGGGCTCCTTATTAATGAGTAGTTGATAATAATTAATTCTTACTCAAATACAGTACTTTTTAATTGAAACCAAACACCACTTACTAGTTTAAAAATGTACTTATTTTATTACTTCCATTAAATAATTTTTAGGAATTTCATTTATACAATAAAATACTATTTTATTACAAATACTATATTTTGTTATTATCATAAACACCAAAACTCTTTTTATACAATAAAATTACTGTCATACACTGACAAGTTTTTGCCATAATTGTTAATGTCCATTTTCTTTTTGATATATTTTAATTACTTACTACTCAGACAAGTTTCAAAAAATAAACTTCAAAATAAAAGAATTTTATTTTATTTTCTATTATAGGGAAAAGAATTTAATTAGTGTTAAATTAATTCTGACAATATCATTTCATTAAAATAAAGTTTTTTTCAATTCATATGATATAATAATAATAATAAAATATTATTAATAAATATTTAAAAACTAAAGTTGAAATTAGAACAAATTAAAATAATTAAATCAGTATTCCCTTCTTTATTTTAAAATTAAAGTTACTAAAAAATTAATCAAATAACTGTGGTAATATCATAAACTGAGTTAGTTTAGTATTAGTTATAACTTCAAATTTTTAAATAAAATTTTACTATTATTTTAAGTATTTATTTTTATAAAATTATTACGTTTAAAACTTTATTTTATTAAAATTTATATTATAAAACAAATTATTTAATATTTATCGTAGTTTTGTTATTTTATCTTTTATCATGATATATTATATTATTTATGTTAATTTACAAGAACTTTAATCAACCTTCCTTTAAAACTGTTTTTGTTAACTATGGTTATATAACGCATTATATTAGATTAGTAGTATTATAGACCATTTAGTAATTATAGTCTTTATAATATTCTGTTCAACAACCAGTATGATAATGTATAATTTAGTTGTAGTTCATGAAAAATAGTTTCACTTTTTCTTATCCATGAGTCATGAATGAAAAATAAATGGATTAATAACAAAAAAAAATATCTAATAAATCGTTTCACTGATTAACAAGCAGTTGAATTGGGTGAACTCCTAAATCCCCTACTAATTCTAAATTAGTGTAAATACTTGGAATTGTCATAAGTGGAGATTCTAGAAGAGTGTAGAGGAAATCAAAACGAGAAAGTAAAGAAACATCTTTAAGTTCGTTTGAAATAAAAATAAGTTCACGAAGCAATTCTCTAATTCTTTTAATACAATAAATAAGTTTGCCATAACTTTTATCACTACAATGACTGACAACATCTTTGATATTAGAATTTTCATTTGAAAGAATACATACCCCATCAACCATTCCATAAGACAAACGTAATCTATAACGAATTTGTTCTTGTTCATTAATTTTATTATTTTTCTCACTTATTTCAATTAACCTAATTTCATTTTCAATTAAAGTCTCTATTTTCTTATGAACCTCACTTTTCTTCTCATCAGGTCTCTTATTACAGTCACTAACAAATACACTAAGAAATGAAAGAATTTCTCCATTATTTAGTTTTTCAAAACATTTATTATACATTATATTTGTCATTAACACTCTATCAACAATATTAAAATACCAAGAATATTTCCCTTTTTCAGTAGGAATTCCATTATATGTAAAATCAAGTTCTTCAAGTACACTCATTATTTTATTAATACTCTCTTTTATCCTTTCAATCTCATTATCTAATTCATTTTGTTCAATAACAATATGATTAATAAGACTTTCTAACTCTTTTTTTTCAGACAGTCCTATTCTTTCATATTTTTCATTCTGCAATTGTTCTTTAAATCGAAGAGCTATATCTCTTCTTCTTATTAACCTTAAATGATTAAAGTAATCAAATGACTCAAAAACTTTCTTCTCAATATCCTCTTTCCCATTTTTTAACCACTTTAAGACAATATCACAATTCAAAGAAAACTTACTTTCCATTTCCTTAGGATGTTCTGTAATAAAGTGTAATCTTTGTGGTGTTATTATGAATTTTGGTGTACTTAAAAAAATTACATTCCCATAATCATCAAACCCCTTTCTTCCAGCCCTTCCACTCATTTGTTGGTATTGTCCATTTTTCATATCAACAAACCCTTGGTCATTATCATATACCTTTGTAGTAACAAAGGCGCACGTTCTAGTAGGAGAATTAACACCAACAGAAAATGTTTGAGTGGCAAACAACACTTTGATAATTTGTTTCATAAAACATATTTCAGTTATTTCTTTTGATAATGGAAGAAGTCCAGCATTATGCGCACCAATACCAGTTTTTAACCATTGTTTTACTAAATCAAACTCATCAATTGACTTTTCTATTTCTGGTAAATTTTTAGTCATTTCCTCAAACAAGTTATCAATATATTTTTTTGAGTCATCGCTTACTTTGAATAAATGATTTTCTTTAATATACTGACACACATCTGAAGTATATTTCATAACATTCTTTTTTGTTGGGACAAAAATAATGCATGGGCACATATCATTTAAGACGATTTCTTTCACAAAAAGTTTAACATAACTAGATTCAGGTTCTCCAGAATAATAAGAACGATAACTTTTTGTGTTTAATTCCAACAAATGTTTTTCCTTACTTTTTTTAATTTTCTGAATGGGGTTTAAAAGTTCATTAGAGGTTAAACGAATTTTTTTTGAAGGAATAAATTTTTGAGATAATAATTCCGTATTTATTTCTTCAATAGTACAATTTTTACTTGAGTCAAATGAATATACGTAATGTTTTAATTCAATCGGACGTTTATTCCAAGTAACAAGACATGATATCGTTTGAGTTTTTTCTCCAAACCATTCCATAAAATCTTTAACATTTTCAATTGTTGCAGATAAGAATAATACATGAACTGTTTTAGGAAGATTAATTAAAATATCTTCCCATACAATTCCTCTTTCTTTATCAGTAAAGTACTGAGCTTCATCCATAATAATCCATTCAACATTATTTAAAAATGATGGAATTAAATTAAGTTTACTTCTAAGAATTTCAGCAGTCATAATACTTATTGTATTATAACATGTTCCAATCTCTATATCACCAGTAATAATACTGATATACTTTTTATTAAAACTAATAGAGAAGTCATGATATTTTTGATTAGACAATGCTTTTGTTGGTGAAATATAAATTGCTCTTTTTAACATGTTAATTGATTTAGCAATTGCGTATTCAGCTAATAACGTTTTTCCTGATGCTGTTGGAGCAACAACCATAACGTGTTGATTTCTTTCTATATGAACAATTGCTTGTTTTTGGTAATCATATAAATCAAACTTGAATATCATTTGTGGATGAGGTACTAATTGATTAAATTGTACTATTTCATCGTCTGAAGCTTCTTGAATAAAGTGGTATTGATAATATCCTTCTTTAAAGTATTTTATTAAATTATTAATATCTAATTCACTTCTTTTATTTTGATTATCCATTTTGATTTAAATAAAATTAAATACCAAGTAAGTTCTTTTTATTATATAAAATCATTTCAACAATCATTTTTTTTCTTTCTTTAAAGAAAAATAACCTTTAATTAACTTTTTTGAGTTCATTCATAAATCAATTCAATCATTACTTCTTTTTACCATATCGTTTTTCATTCTTTTTCCTTCTAATATCAGCAGCTTTCTTTTGTTCTTCGTGTCTAATTTTCATCATCTTTTTCTTTAATACCTGTTCTTTAGTTTTAACAGAAGTATTCATTTTTGCTCCTTTCTCTTTATTTTCTTTCTTTTCTTTTGTTTTACTCCATTCTTTGAATTGTTGTTTAACTTTTTCTTTTTCTTCCATTTTCTTTTTCATTTCTCTTCTATGTTGGTCCAATCCTCCTGATGCCATAACAAATTTCTTTTTCTTTCTATCCCAAACCCTTTGTTTTGCTTGTGCTTTTAAATCTGCTTCTTCATCAGCTGCAATTTCAACAGTAAAGTCAAGTGGATTTCTAGTTGAATAAATAATTCTATCACTCGTGTCGTCAAACAATGACCTTTTCTTTGGAACAGAAGGAATATACCCAGCAGATTTTTGTTCTTCTTCCATTGGAATTGTTCCACTTTCCTTTAATTCTTTTTCTAATTGTTCTTTTTCTTCTTTCTCTTTTTCTTCTTTATTTCTTCTGATAGCATTTATAATACGAGTAGAATGGGATAGTCTTGTAGCAGCCATAACCTGTTGTTGAGTTAATTTACTTGAATCAATTTCAAATACAGTTGATTTAGGTCTATAATCTTTAATACCTTTAAGCCATTGATCTTTAAGTATTTCATCTTTATTATCTTGACTTTTAAATTGAGGATGAATTTGGTCAATAGAAAAAACTTTAGCTTTAGAAATACCTTCTCCACTAGCCAAAGGTTTACTTTTTTTATACATTATTAATGAATTATCACTACCTTTCTTTAAGAATTCTAAATCATAATTTCCTTTTAATGTTTCTTGAATTTGGTAAATATATGGATCAATAAATGACCTTGGAATTACTCCAAATTCAATTTCTTTATTCTCTAATGCAAACACTTGAAGATCCATCAAATATCCTACTTCATCTGTTTGAACAAAATTATAACATTTACCCATTCTTCCTGCTCTTGCAACTCTTCCACATCTATGAATATATAATTTTGGTGTAGCAGGAAAATCATAATTAATTACATTATCAAGTTCTGGAATATCAACCCCTCTTGCGGCTACATCAGTTACTAATAAAACATGAGTTTCTTGTTTTCTGAATTTTTTTAAATTAATTTCACGTTCTTGTTGGTCAGCTTTACCGAACATCATAGAAGTCTTAATATCAAATATTTTTAATACTTCATTTAAATACTCAACTTCATGTCTTGTTGCACAAAATACAACAGTTTGTTCTTTATCCCCAATAAGATCAAGTAATAAATATAATAAATGACCCTCTTTTTCATGTTCTTTAACATGATAAAAGAAATTATCAAGATCAGGTGATAATCGTTCTTCTGTATCTAATCTAATAATCTCTGGTTGTTTTAATGTGTTTTTGAGAAATTCAGCTAAATTTCTTGGTAGTGTAGCTGAAAATAATAATATTTGTCTTGTTGGTGGTAACATTCTCATTATATCTGATACTTGTTCACTAAATCCACTTTCAAACATTAAATCTGCTTCATCAAAACAAACCATTTCAACTCTATTTAATGAAATATTTGCACCTTCTAAAATAAATGTAAGTCTTCCTGGTGTAGCAACAATAATATCTGGTCCACTACTTAAATTATCAAATTGATCACTTAATTTACTTCCTCCAATAATAAGTGATGCTTTTAAATTTGTTAATTTTCCTAATTCATTAAATACTTTAATTGTTTGTAATGCTAATTCTCTTGTAGGACAAATTATTAATGACCTTACACCTTCTGTTGAATGTGTTTCTAATCGATTAATAATTGGAACTAAATATGCTGCTGTCTTACCTGATCCTGTTCTTGCCATAGCAATAATATCATTTCCTCGAAGAATAGCTGGAATAGCTTTTCTTTGAATTGGAGTTGGAACTCTGTACCCTTTCTTTAAAACTCCAAGTAACGTTTGTTTATTTAATCCCATACTTTGGAATCCTCCACTTGACTTACTCTTTTTACTTTGTTGTTCTTCCATTTAAATTATTTTCTTTGGACTTCTTTTATAATTTTCTTCAAATTATTTTTAGGGTTCTTTTATTATTAATTTTATTATTTAATTATTATTTTCTTTAAAATCATTAACTTAATCTTTAAATTCATTCTTTTTTAATTCTATTTTAAATTCACTTATTTTTGAACTTGTTCAAGATCATCTTTAAGTCTTGAATTTTCATATTTTAATTTTTCTATCTCAGCTTTTAATTTAAATATTTCAGCATCACAGTTTTCATGTTGTTTTCTAAATTCTTTTCCACTTTCAAATGTTTTGTTTGTTCTTGTTTTGTACTCGCTAAATAGTTGGTTGGTATTTTTTAGATCAAAACTTAATTTTTCTCTTTCTTTTTCTTCACTTTGTAATTTATTTTCCAATTCTTTCTTCTCTTCTTCAAACTGATTCTTTAATTTTTCAATTTCTTTTTTTTGTTCAATTTGAAGTGATTCTTTGAGATCAAACATTTCTGTTTTCCATTTCATATCGTTTGCTTCAATAAGTCTTTTTGTTTCTTCATTTCTCATGTTTTTAACTACCACATCTTCTTTTTCTTCAACGTCATCTTCAACGTTATCCATTGCTCCATTAAGCATATCGATAATTCCATTAATATCAGGATTTTCTTGTTCCAACTTTTCTTTAATTTCTATGTGTAAGAGTAAGATATTAACTTCCTAAATTTATTAATTAAACAAACCATCTAATTTATTTGTTAACTCTTCAATTTGTTCACTATGAACTTTTCTAATTGCTTCAATTTTTCTTTCTAAATCCTATTATTGATTAATGTCTTTTCTTTTTTTGAGACATGGCTACATTCTTTATATTATCAAGTCAACAAACATTTGCTCTGAACTCAGCAAGTTCTCGTTCTTCTGTTTGTGTTTTATTTTCAACTTGTAATTCTACAATCTTCTTTTTTGATGCTTGAATACGTTCAGAGCATGCATGAATGAAATCTATTAATTCTTCTCGTTTTGCCGTTGCCATATTAATAGATAATCCACTTTTCTTTTTTCCTCCTTCTTCACTGGTTGACATTTTGAAGTTTTAAGTTCTTCTTTTTTTTCTTTTTATTTTTCAGTTTTCTCTTTTTGTTGATTTTACACAATCATTCAATTTAAGAGAATATCTTTATTATCATAATTTTAAGACTATGGTAGAATTTAGTAATGAACGTGTACCACCAAAAATAACTAATGTTATTTTGCTTTGGATATTACAAAATTATAAATAATTATAACTAAAATTAAAACAAATCATTGAATAAATATTGTATAATAGATCTAGATATCACTAAATATTTGTTAGTGTTGTTAAGAAGTAATGAGAATATTAAAGGTATTATAAATTTATTTATAAACAATAAAATATCAAGATAAAATAATATTAAATAATTACAATTAGTGTTTTATAAATGAAATGATAAGCAACTATATCGAAAATAAACTCAAGAAAATGAATGTAATGATATTCAGAATAACTTTCTCTATATAAAAATATTCTGCTTTGAATATATATTAATTATTAGTTCTTTTCTTATATTTTTCATATTGTTTTTACTCAAATTATTTCATATGTGTTTTGTACTATCACATTTTTATGTAGTAATTTATTATACCTTTTAACTCTTTTCTCATGCAATTATTTTTGCATGTCATTTCACAATCTTCTTTATTAATTCTATATTGTATTATTGTTTGTTTTAGATACAATAATATTACTGATTAAAAAATAAATTATTATTTGATTGATAGTTCTCATGTTATTTTATAGTATAATATTCTTTTGTTGTTTCAAGTATTATTCTATTTCTTTAAAAAGAGTTATTAGATTGGTATAATGAATTGAAGAATCTAATATTAATTCATTTCTATTTTTATCATCTAAATTTGATTAGTAGTTTATAGTAAATATCAAAAGTTGAAAAAATATAAAGAGTAAATAAATTTTAGTCTTAATGTCATAGACTAAAATATAAAACAAGGATGTATTTAGTTTATTGTAGAATCTATATAACGTTCTATTCTTATAAAAGAATATTTCAAGTTTAAATATCTAGTATTAAAAGTTCACTATAATATAAGTATACAAAAAACTTTGAGACATGAAAATTTATAGGTGATATTTCAATATTTAATGTTCTTGTTATACCTTTTAGTGAGTTTTTTAGTCAGGTGTAGTATTCAATAAAAATATCATTCATTATAAATTCTAAATAGTGTTCATCTAGTTTAAAACAAATTATTGAAAAGAAAGTAAAAAATTAATTTAGTCTTGTTTTATTTCCTTCTTTTCTATTTGGTTCAAATAGATAAAAGAGAATACAATAAATCCGATAGCCATAGATGCACAAGCAGCATAGAATGGATATGCACCAGTTAAGAATCTATCTACTTGAGTCAATCTAAAAGTTCTTAAAGGAATAGTTTCTTTATATTCTAAGTAAGATAAGAATGGTCTTCTATAATTAATGACCATAGTATATACACCAAACTTATCAGGAGTTTGGACAATAACCTCATATTTTCCATTATTTATTCTTTTGAAATTTTTGACAATGACAGGATCAAGTAACTTTAATTCTATTTGTAAATCATCTACGTTAAATGGTACATAATTTCCTTGATCCAATTGTTCTAATTCTACATTAACTTTAATAGTATCATTAATAACTAATTGATGATCATAATTAACTTCTTTTACTCCATTAATTTTTTCCCAATGAATATTTTTCATTCTAATAACACAACGTCTTTGTAATACCCAATCAATAACATTTTCTGTAAACTTTTTATTGTCTGATTTAATAGGATTTAATGTTGGATGTTCAATGACTGAATCAAATGCCATATTACTAAACATTAATGAAGAACCAGAAACAATAATACGTGCATTATTTCGTGCTTGAAGTGAAGCCACCAATGTGATATTTGTTTCTTGTGCAAATGAAACATTTGGAAATAGTGATGTTGAAGCAGAATTTTGTGCTTTAAGAAGAGATGTTGTAAGTGGAGATGGTGGAAGATATAATCCAATTCCACTAAACAAAATGTTTTGAATACGTTGATTAAAGATATTTTGGTTATGATGAATATTGTTAGAGAAAATCATTTCAAATTCTCCAATTTTAACAGTATGTTTCTCATCAATAACTTTACTACCATTAGAATCTACTTCCATATCTAATGAATAAAGAAGTTGTTTATATCCATCTTCGTATTTCTTTCCTAAAGTAATAACCATATTTCCTCCATCATCAATAAATTGAATAAATTCTTTGACTGAAACTTTCTTAAACGTGTAATGTGGTGTTAATAATACAACACTTGAATATTTTTTCTCACCATTTTCAAATAATTGAAACAATGTCATTTTATTTATTATATCAACCTTATCTCCATTCTTCTTTAATAATTCAATAAATTGACTAAATTTTTGTTCGTCTTCATTTCTTTCCAAAATAACAAGTGTTTTATTTGCAAGACAAATGCTGATTAATACAATGAAAATAATTCTCATTTGTTTTTTTTAGTTTCTCTTTTTTCTTTTTTTTTTTTATCTTTACTATTTATTATAGTAAATGAAATTATTAATAAAAGTACTTGTTTATTGTTTGTCCTTTATTCAAAAGAATCAACAAATTACACTTACACATCTTTAATTGTCAGTAGCAAGAGTTGGAGTTTTAGCTTTTTGTTGTCGTGATTGCCAAGTATCCCATTCATCTTCTTCATCTTCAATTGGACTTTTCTTTGATTTAAGAAATGGGGAACTTGTACTAGAATTGATTGATAAAGCAGCATTTGCCCATTCATCGTCTGAGATAGTTGTTGTGTTAGGAGTTTTTGCTTTTTCAATTATCTTAACTTTTTTAGGTTCACCTATAGAAGTACTATTTCCTTTCTTTTCAGCAAGATGAACACTTTTCTTTACTTTTGTTACAACTGGTTTTGTTGGTGCAGAAAGAACTACACTAGGTTTTGATTGAATTGGTGAAGAAGTTGTTGGTGGACTTGTTGGTGCAGTTTTAGTAACTTGAATTGAATTTGGAGAAGCTTTTCCATCCGCAATGTCTTTTAACATTTGCTTATATCGTTCACATTGTGGCAAAGCATATCTCATATTCCATGGTGCATTCATGTTTATTTTACATGATTTTAAGTATGCCTTAAACTTGTCATTTCCTCCATTAATCATATTGCTCATTTGTTTATCTGTCCATGTGTCCATGTCAATTGAACGTACAAATGAAAGATGAACACCAAGTCCACGATGTTTACCACTACATTGAATACAAATGAAAATTCCATAAGGAACAGATGCCCAAGAAGGATTTGGAGTTCCACATTCAAAACAATACTACTCAGATGTTATTTATTTGTTTTTTTTTTGAATTTTAAATTGAAGAAGAGTTTTTCTTTTATTGTTATAACGTATTTGAAACGAAAGATAGAAAGAAACAAACATTATTTCCATTTTTAGTTTTTAGTTGTTTGAAGATTGCATCTCGTCGTGTATTTGATAGTACCACCTTCTCTGTTGACATGTACTAACTGTTTCAGTTCTAGTTTTTTACCTTTTCTTTCTTTTTGGATATTAAAGAAGAAATGGAAAAAGAAAATTCCCTTGGAACAAATTGGACTTTTCCTTCTTTTCCCACTTAAAAATCTTAGTCAATTACTCTTCATTTTACGTTGATTATTTGATTCTTCATTTTCTCTCAAAAAACATAAATTGTGTTATATAAAACACATTTGTTTTAAAACTATAATTAATTAATTCTTCTCAAAATGGCTTTAATGGAAAATCAGAAAAGAATGAAACCATGAGTCCAATTAGTAAGGATCAACGGTTGTTGCTGCAGCAGCTGCAACACTAATAAAAATCATAACAAAGCTAAATCCAATGCTTATGACTATAATGATTGTTGAAACAAGGAAAAAGACCATTGACAAGATTGCAAACATACGAGCTTGGTCATTTGTGGAATGTCTATATTGGCACCACCCATAACACCAAACACAACAACACAAGAATCCTAACGCAAACAAAAGAGCAGATGTAGTACTTTCATTGTTCCCACTATAACTACTTTTAATTTCTTGTTGGTCGACATTGGGTTGAACAATGTATGGTTGTGGGTTGTATTGTGGAGGGACTGTTTGGTATCCTGTTTGTTGGGTGTATTGAGGTTGTTCAGGAATTTGTTGGTATTGCATGTTGGTTGAATTCTTTTTTTGAGATATGGTAATACGAAAGTTGGGTTTTTATAAATCATAAATTACTTAATCATATTTTTAATTAATTATTTAATTATGACAGATCCATATCTCTTTTGTCGAAACAATCTCATTTATTTCTTATCTTTTTTCAATTCAAAAAAATTATTATCCAATACTTTAAACTATAAATTAATTATTTTCTTTAAATCACTTTGCAAAATACCTAAGAAAGTGATGTCATTCTGGTACCAAGGACCATAATAAAATTCTCCTTTAAAACCAAAGAACTGGTTTGTCTTTAGGTTGTATACTAACTTGAATTATATGACCTATTTATTATTAAACTGATTAGCTCTCTTGTTTTAAAGATAGTTGTTTTGAATATAAAGTAACTATGTCATTAAAGAGACTAAGTAAATAAAAAAGGATAAGAAGCAACGTCCAGACTTACCAAAAGACAACATCAATTTTTAGACAATTGTTTATAGTTTAAAAGTAACAGTTTAAGTGAATAGTTAAATTAAAAGAATAAATGGTTCAAATCAAAATTATAAGAAAGAATAGTTGGTTCATTTGAATAAAATTTGTAACTGATACACTTTCTTTTTCATTTGATTTAGGTTTTTTCAACAGACTTTATATTAAATCTTTAGAGAAATCTTTCAAGGACACAAAAATTAGAAGAAGTTAAAAATAATATATTGTGTTTAGGTGGTTAAAAAATAAAACGGTACAAGTACAATTTTGTTTAATGAGTTACTAGCATATAACGTTAGAGATATTGCTTTCTTGTTGTAAATATTTCTTTTTTAACATAAAAATTAAAAAACAGTTACCAGTTTAATATATTTTTTTCATATAATTCCATACGACTAAAATTAAAAAGAACTACTATACAAAAGGAAATGGAAGATATCTTAGTTAAAATAATTTTCTCTTTCATACTAATTTAGTATAACAATTTTGTTTTGTCGTTCTTTTTATGTTTCACTAAACGTCATCACATTTATTCAAGCCGTTATTTCTTAATTCAGTAGATACACAATGGTAAGATTGTTTTATTGTTATTGGTGTTATTTGTATTACATTTTAATAAGTACTATTACCACTAAGTATTGTTAAAGAAATATATGACAGTTAAAAGATTGATAATTAGTATATTTTTGTTTGTAGTAATAAAACGTAGTTCATTAACTTGATTAAAAGAAAGTTTTATTGGTTTAGAGTGTTTGGGAAGCAATTTATTATTATAACATTCTTTATTACTTTCAATAGAAAACAACAATAAACTGTATCAATTTTTTTATTAAGTTAAATGTTATCATATTTTAGAGTTGACTTGATGAATAAACTTATCAAAAATAATGGAATTTATGATAGGATAATTTGATTGTGTTTGTTTTAATAATAAAGAGAGTAAATCCAATAATATCTATTATATTCATCTTAAAGTTGTAAACCTATTATTTGTATTCATTATAAATGGAGTTTTATTTGAGAGAAATGTGTTATTGCCTCCTTCTTTAAATTCATTAGAACAAGTGTTATATTCAATCAAAAAAAAGAAAGATTCTTGTTTAGAAGATATAAATAAATTCTATGAAGGGAGTTATTATTGTTTTATTTTTTAAAATAAATTAAAATAAATGGATTCGAAGGTAGCACGTCAGAGACACCACGCAGAACCCTAAAATATTTCCATCCTTCGATTCCCCCAGTTATGGACTGGTTATGACGTTGCGTTTGGTTAGAAAAACATCTTACCCAGTACTGCAAGAATAGCAGTGTTTATTATGTACAATGACAGAATATCATTGACAATAAACGAATGGGTATTTATAAAGATGTTATTATTACTTGTTAGAATACAAGTATATTTGATAATATAAGAAAGATTATCAAAAGAAAGGGTCAAGTGGTTGTGGCTAAAAGAATATTAGCCCATAGCAATACAGTAGTAATTATATACTCTCCTTAAAATAAGAAAATAAAGAAGAAGAAATTTAAACCCATCAAAATTAAAAAGAAATTAAATAATGAATATTTAAGTAAGGGATGTCTAAAATACTCTATTCCACATCAAAAATGAGAAAAGAAAATTCTCACCGTTCAACAACTAAAAGCAAAGAATAAGCTAATAGTTGAAGAACAAATACTTTTAAGCGAGGGATGGGATTAGTCTCCCCTGAGCAAGGAACAATAGAAAATATTTCTATTAATACTTAATTAACTTCTTTTTATTAAAATAAATTAAAATAAATTGGGAACAACAGAAAATAATTAATGTTTAGAAAAGTTAAGAGAGAAATTATTGATATTAACTCTGAACCACATAAATAAACTTAATCAAATTGTACAATATTTGCAAGAAGAGGAGACCCTTTTTGACTAACTAATGGAAAAATTGAACTTTCTGGATAATTAATAAAAAACATAGAATCATCCTCCTCAATTTCTTCTTCTTGTCTCAACTGAGAAGGTGTAGTAAGAACAAGAAAACAATTGTCTATTTTTCTTTTGTATGCTTTTTCTATTAATTCTTTATAGTGTTGAGATTGTGACATTCTTTATAGAAATGGTTAAGAATGACAATATCAGTTTTGGACAAGGTTAAACAAGAACTTTCCATTTGATAAAAATGGAATATTGAAACATTATAATGGAAGATGAATCATTTTAGCACAATATATTTTTATTTTTCAAACTTTTTAAACAACTTATTCTCATTTTCAATTTATCAAATCATTACTAAACCCTTAACTTAAAAACAATAACAATTATTCATTAATTGATTATACAACATATCAAAAATTATTTTTCTCATCAAATTAAGTATAGACAAATAAATCTAATCAACATATTTTGTTTAGCTTAATTCATTAATATTTTTTAATTTTCAAATAGTGTTATATTTAACATAAATAAAAATAGAGAGAGTTTTTGAAAACCCTAAAAATTAAAGAAAAAGGCAAACAATGGAGCCAACAGTAGGAGGGGGAATTATCACTGATCATGTACTTTTTATTAATGAAAGTGAAGAGGTTGTAGCATCAGGACCAAAAGGATTAAATTTTTACAAAATCTCAAATGGACAAATTATATCACGATTAATTATAAAAGAAAAAGTAGTTGGAATATTTACATTTACTTCAGATAGTATTTTTGTTATTACAGTTGATGGAACAATTTCATTATATTCAACTGATACTTATACTCTCACTAAACAATGGAAAACAATTATTGAGGATGTTCAAACAGTTCAAAAACTTGATAATATGGTATTTTATATGAAATCAAGAACATATGCTTTTCTTGTTACGATTAATGTAAATAGTGATCATATCAAAATTAAAGAAACTGTTAATGGAATACCTTCTTCAGATGGTAGAATTATTTACAGTTTTAATGGAAATAATATTTTCCTTATTGATAGAATTGAAAATAATAAATATCACACTAAAGTACAAGGACATATAAGAAATATTTATGTTCATCCAAAAATCAATACTGATCTTTTTGTTTGTTGTGAAGGAGGTGTATTTTATTTACTTCATTGTGATGAAGAATTAAAAAAAGGAAATCAACTCAATAAAAGTATAGAAGAAGGTTTTTATGAATTTATTCCTACAATTAATAAATTCCATTGGCATTTTAAAAATTTTGATGGATTTGCATTATTTCAAAATGGTGAAAAAATATTAACAGGAGGAGATAATGGTGTTTTAGTATTTTGGAAAACAGTAGATGGTAGTCAATCTTATCTTCCAGAAATTGGTGCTGAAATAAAGAAAATTACAGTTAATAATATATCAACATTAGCTGCATTATCACTTGCAAATAACTCAATTGTTATTGTAAGTTTATCACAAAAGAAAATTATTAGAATTATTGCAGGATTAATTAAGTCAGATAAAATTATTATTCATTCTGGTCCAAAAGGTCAAGTTATTACTACTGGAAATGGACCTATTCTTCAATTTTATGATCCATCTGGGGATCGATGTGTTGCTAGTGCTGAAGTATCACGACCTAATGTTCTTCTTGAATCACTTGAGAAAAGAAAACTTCCAGATGCAGATGTTAAATATATATCAATGATTGGAGATGATGAATGGATGGTTACATATGATTTAAGAAATATGTCATTAAGATATCACGAAAGTAATTTAAGATTCTTTAGAAAAAAACAAAATGGAACATATGAACAAATGGTTTGTATTCCTGAACCATTCCAATCAGAAGTTACTTCAATTGCATCTTCTCCTTCTCATAAAGTTGTAATTACTACATCACTAGATCATGTTTTTAAGGTTTGGGTTCTTGTTACTAGACAAACAATTAAAACAAAAGGAGAAGTCCGATCAAATATAACATGGAAATGTAGATCTATTGGTGCTTATTATGGAGAACCATCATATTCAGCATCTATATCTAAAGATGGTAGTGTTATGGCAGTTTCATTTAAAACAGCAATTACTATATGGGATGTTTTATCAAATAAATTATTATTTTCACTTCCTATTCCATATGAACAACACAATAAAGAATTTATACCTGTTGAAGTTCAATTTTTATCCAATTCACAATACATTCTCACTAAATCAAAACAAGGTGTTATTATATATGATCTTCTTTCTAGAAAGATTTATCAATCATTCCTTTGTACTCCAATTCTCATTGCTGCACATCGTACATTAAATTTATATTCATTTGTTAATAAAAATACTGGACATTGGGATGTTTTCTTAATGAAAATAGGTGACATAAAACCAGTTGCTGTATGGAGAATAGATACAGAAATAACATCAATGGTGTTCTACACTACAGTCACTGGTCTTGAATACATTTGTGCAGTGACAAAGAATAGTGAAATTTATTCATTACCACTAGAAAATATGATTGGAAAAGATGTACCTCAACCTTATATTGATACAAAAGTTTCTGAAAAGAAGGCTGCTATTACTCTGAAGAAACTTGAAATGGACGAATCAAATAATGAAACTCGAGTGGTAAAAATTGTAAGTGAATCAACATTAGATGGCCTAGAAGCAAATATTTCTGATGTGAATAACATCTTCAACGTTATTGTTGACTGTCTTCTTAAATGATTGCTTTTTGAATGAAAAACAAATTTTATTAATACTGGGTCATAATTTATAATCTTTTTTAAAGAAAAATAAGTCAATTTCTTAGGAACCTTACTTAAATTATTGACCAAATAAAAACTTCAACCATTTAATATTCTAAGTTTATTTTAAGAATTAAAGAAAATTTGATAATTTGATAAAGTTTTCGTTTTTGTTGGAAAAAGATTTTAGAAAAATAAAATATAAAACATTCTTTATTTATTAGAACAAAAAAGAATATTCCAAAAAATTACAAAAATAGAACAAATGATGTAAAAAAACTAAAAAATATAAAAGGGTGATGTCATTACAGGGTAAAATTGAAATTAAAACAATTCAACGTATTATTGCACCAACTTTTTATGTGCGTTCAATTGATTTGGATGAGAGTATGGTTAGAAGAAATGGAACAAAATCAACATTATCTATTAATGTATCATTTCCACCATTTGTATATTCGAGTTATGATATTCAAACAAAGAGAAGTTTAAGGTTTGTTCAAAGATTTGAAAGTGTAAACAAAAAGAATAGAATGCAATTATTAATTATTGATAAAGACATGAAAGTTATTCATCCTAGTAATATTCGTATACGAATAAATAATGAAACAATTAGTACAATTTGTTTTGGTAATATCCCAAAGAAAGGAACAGCGTTTATTGAGGGAATAGATATTACAGATTTCTTAGTAATGGGAAAAAATATTATTAATGTTGAAACACTTTATGACAATACTCGTGTTGTGTTATTTGAAGGACTTTCATTAACAATTAATCAAACTATAAATAAATTACTTCATGAAATTCCTCATGGTAAGTTTGTTCCTGACGTTGATTTAGATGATGACGTAGATGATGAAATAATAGAAGAACAACAAGTTTTATCTTTGCGTTGTCCAATTAGTTTCCAAACTATTGAAATTCCAGTACGAGGAAAAAGGTGTTCTCATTTGAGAACATTTGATATGAAAGCATTTATTGAAACTGCACAAAAATCAGGTTATTATGAATGTCCATTATGCTCTGAATCAATACAACCTAGTGACTTAATCATTGACCAACAAATGGAAACAATATTAAAAGAAATGAAAGATAAACCAAATGTTGAAGAAGTTGTTGTAACTCAAGATGGCCAAGTACTTCCTAAAATTGAAGAAAACAATGATTCAGGAGATGACGAAGAAGAGCTCCGACTATTAAAAAAAGGAAAAGAAAAAAGAGAAAAAGGGTCTGAACCATTTGGAGATAAAGCTCTTCAATTTAAACCTAATGCACCTCCTCCTTCTAAAGAAATTTATTATGACACACAAAGGGCTCCATTGCCTAATCCTTTTATACCTGAAAAAAGCAGATATTTGAATTTACCTAATGAAAGAAGAAATGAATTTGCTCAACAAAGTCAAATTTCTCCATATTATTTACCTCCATATAATTCTACTCAATCACCATGCCAAGAAATTCCTTTGGCAATTCATCAACATTATCTTTACAGTAGCCCTGAATATCCTCAACGAATTTATAATTATCAACACCCTCCTAATTTTTATCAACCATTTACTATTCCTCCAGATAAACAACCTTTACCCTATCAACTTAATACACCATTTAATTATACATCTTCATCAATAAATCCACGTTATCAACAAGTTAGAACATATCAATTTCCACAACAAATCTCTCCACAAAGACAACACATTATTAATGAAGCAACAAAACCTCATTCAATTGTTTCAAATAATACGTACAGAAATAATTTTCAAAAAGCAATCAGAATAGGTAGTAATACAAATGTTTTCAGAAATTATGACCAATCTCAACAACATGATAATATAATTACAACAACCCAAAATGATGATGCTCTTCCGACAGTAACATATTCTTCTCATTTAAAAACAATGGGGGGATCACCTGATGATCCAATTTGTCTATAAGTTTCATATGATTAATTGAATATATATTAGAAAACTTAAAAATTTAAAATTTAATTTGAAGCTTTAAATTGATGATAATGAGTTCAATCCTCTACATGTCTAAATGAATGAAGGTACTCCTGAATTTCCTCCTCCAATGTCTGAGTCAAAATCAAATCCCCAATCGTTGTTTGATTTCTTTGGAGCTGGTTTAGGTTTTGTTGCAGGTTTAGGTTGGTTTATAGGTGTAGATGTATATCCACCATATGCAATTTGTGGTTGTTTGCTTTTTGTTTGTTTCTCAAATGAAGCAGCCCATGAATCCCAATCATCTGCTTGAACACTTGGTTTTGGTTGACTTGGTTTATTTTGTTGAGTTGGTTGTTTGGTTTGAGTATTATTCTCCTTTTGAGTTGGAATGGATGTGGTTTGTGTAGAGGAAGTAACATTAGACTGAGTTGGTTGTTGAGGAACAGTGGATTGAGGAGTAAATGAAGTAGATTGACCACCAAAGATAGGAATTTGAGTAGTACTTTGACTAGAAATACCAAGACTAATATTATCACCTTCTTTAGGATATTTAGGAACATAAGATGGATTATCTAATGTCATAGCATATTCCCTCACTATAATAGCAATAACATCCCAACAGTCTAATGCTGCTTTTCTTACTTGAGGATCAAGATCCAATAATGCTTGTGACAAATATGGAACAACTTCTTTTGCACAAACAGCTCCATCAATAGCATATTTATTTTGTGAAACCATTACCACTGCTGCTTTCTTCATATCAGCAACTCCATCTCTCATACTTCTAGAGAAGGCAGATGCAACTAATTTAGCTTTTTTATCATCACTAAATCTGTTAGCTATTTTACCAATACAAACAACAGTATTGATTCTAACAACACTTTCTGGGTCTTGCAATGCAGCATCAAGAAATCTAAATACCTCTCCATTTAATGTGCTTTGTGGTAATTTAGGTGCAAGACATACTAATGACCTTACTGCAGCATCTTTCATTGACCCTGTTGCTTCTGGTGCCATAGATTTAGAGAGCATTGGATAAAGATAATTACCAACTATATTCTCTGATAGTTTATTAACATACAAACTAGCTTGTGCAAGTAATGCAGATTTGATTACAGGAGTTCCATTTTGAAGAAGTAATTTAATAGTAGGAAGAACATCTGAGTCAAAGTCTTCTTGGGAAATATTAGTAGTTAATCTCATTGTTGGTTCAACAACAGTGACTGCTTCATTCTTTCCTGTTTTCATAATTTCTAAGAAAGATTCAAGAAGTTTGTATTGTCTAAACGAAGGTGGGAAAGTGTCGAATTGGGTAGCTAATGATCGAAGGAATGAATCACGAACAAAGGCATCAACAGTAGAGAAGTGTTCAAGAGTATTTAATATTGCAATAAATCTATTTTGAGTAATAAATGGAATTGTTAATAAAGAAGCAACTGATTGTCTATCAACATGATTTAATGAATCAATAGATTTATGAAAAGCAGATAACTCTACTGGAATAGATGGTGCTTGAGCAACCATAGATTTTTTAGTAATTGGAGTACCAAAAAGATAACATAGAACACCAGCGACACCCCAAGAATCTACACCTTGAGCATTTTGTTTATAGTTATTAGGATCAGGTGGTAAATAAACTTCATCAAGAATTTGAGGATCTGTTTGAATTCTGTTCTCAAAAGGAGAATTACTTAATGAAGAGAATTCACTTAAATATTCTAACCCAAAAATTTTAACTTCTAATGCCTTAGTTACATATAAAGATGTTGGTTTTATATTACCATGTAAATAACCTTTTGTATGAAGATAATCAACACTACGAACAAGATTATATACAGCCCAAATAAGAAGATCTGGGTTCTTTCTTATTTCATTAATTTTATTACTAATAGGATACATCTCTTCTGTAGTAATTGTCACTTTACTTCCACTCTCATTTGTTTCATAAATTTTAGGTAAAGCTGGACAATTTAAATTTTTTAATTTTTTAATTAACAATTGTGGATAGTTCTGTTGTTTATTTGATTTATAAAAACTTGTTTCATATGTAAATGTAGTTCCTTTTGTTCTATCAATTTTTCTTACTGATTGTGACACTTCACATTGAAGTGTAGAATTATTGATTGTTTGTATTTGTGATTTAATCTCAAATGGATCTCCAATAACTGCTTTAGTAACTTGGCTTGGATCTGAGAAGATATTCTTAAAGAAATTCATTTATTTACTCATTTTTAAGTTCTATGACAAATTTCATCGTCATTTCTTTGAATTTTATTTATTAATTTTATTTATTAATTTTATTATTATAAATTACACGTCATCGTTAATTTAAAATCAAGATCTTTAATAGAAATATCTATAAAGTTCATGCAAATGATATTCGTATCAATTTTTAAGTTAATTGATTTCTTATTGTTTGCAAGAAAAAATTAAGGACAGAAGTTATTTATATTTTTTAATATAAATAAAAGAGAATCCTTGAATATTATACTATTTTGTAACATTAATAGAACAAGTTTTATTTATTTTATATTTATTTTCATTTATTTTTTTTTCTTTTTTAATATAAATGAAATCATAAAAAAACAATTAAATAATCTAATTGAAAAGTTTCTTATATTAATTAAGGTATTATTTGATATGTTGCATTCAACATAACTTCTTTTTCAAATTCTATTGATTGACCATTTGAAATTACTTCTACAACCTCATTTCCAGTAAGAGTGTGTTCATGAAGATATTCAACAGAAATAGGGAAGAGTCTTGATGTTTCCAATCCTTCTCCAGAAATTTCAATTTCTAATGAACCATTACTTCCATCACTAATATCTCCAATAATCCATTGTATTTTATCAGTAACTTCTAAATTACCATCAATACTAATTACAGTAATTGGTCCAAGATTCGGTATTTCAACAACAACATCTTTCAATTCTTGTGTTGCTTCATATGACATTGACAATGTTAATCCATTTTGTGCTTCTGCTGGCCAACATGTAAATGTTATTGGTAATGAAAATTCTTCTGCTTTATAGTTCCATTTAATATAAATTGCTGGTGTGTTAACTGCTAACTTTTTTCCTTCTTTTAATTTTAATATACGTTCTACAAATGCTTTTGGATCCACGTGTGGATGCATTTGTGCTTTAGCAACAACTCCAATTGGTGCTAATTTCATTTCTGCTTCTACTCCTTCAGCAACAGCAATTCCAAGTGATCCATTTAATACAACATTAATTGCACTAGTCTCAGCACTAACTGTAATATGTGACTCTTCATTAACTTTTACAATTGCATTAGAAACCATTAATTTCTTTTCTTCTTTGATTTGGTCTGAAACACCAGCATTAGAGCTTGTATTTTCTTCTTGATCTTTCTTTATTTCTTCTATAATAGTTTCTGCTGGTTTCTTTTTACCTAATTGTAAACCTCCTTTAGCATGTCCAGTTTTAACTGTCTTTTTAACTGTTTTCTTCTCTAATATTGGAGATGGTGTTTCTTTAACAGGAATATAATCAGTAGATAATGGTGTTTTATTAGGAGATGGTTCGAAAAAATTATCAGTTTGAAGACCTTGTAACATAGCAAGTTTCTCTTTTAATTCTTTTTCTTCTCTAATTTCCTCCGCTTTTTGTTTTGCAATACGAGCTGCTTCAGCCTTTTTTATTTCTAATTGTTGTAAATACATTTCTTCATCTTTACTTCTCATTGCTAAATTGGCTCTAACATTACTTACAGAAATCTTTTCTACAAATCCCCATTGAAGAAATTCATCTAAAATAAATAACACTTCAAACATTCCTTGTGTAATTCCTTTTGATGTAATAGTTAATTTCTGTTGAAATGATGCAATGATAGCATTCATAATTTCAGTGTCTTCTATAACATTAGAAGATAATGTCGTAATCAATACTATATAAACATCTTCACATAGTCTAAACAAAAATCGGACTCCATCAGTTTCAAATGAGGAATTTGATATTGTATTACACATACGGATGAACGTAGCATATAATCCTTCAATTCGTGTTCTCGCAATAGAAACATTTTGTCGAGACACAAGAATTTTACCAGATCGTGAAAGGATACCAATTGATTGAATCTAATTGTTAATCATTTCATCAATCTTAAAAATAATAATCTTAATAGACAAACCATTCACTAACAATCTGATTTTTCAGTTTTTATTATTTCTTTTTTTCTTAAAAGTACTCTTTCTCTTTTCCATTCATAATTTATATTTCTTTTTTACTGCACATTCCAATATTTTTTAGTAAATTTAATTTAGATAAAAATAATGTATTATAGGAAAATAATTATTATAATGAAAGAACATTAAATAATGGTTCAAGTAAAATTAAAAGTAATTATAATAAGGGTTAGAGAAACTAAAAAATAATTAAGGGAAACTGATAAAGTTGCAAAGGAATCTTAAATGGTTTGTAACACGATATAATTTATAAATTATAATGAGAAAAATGGTTAAAAAGAAAAGATTGTACCATATCAAATTTTTTCTTTTAATGTAGTAAAAAGAAGTACTAATTAACTAGGCCACTAGATTCAGACAAACTCGTAGAAGAAGAGGACATGTTTCAATGGGTTATGGTCGTATTGGAAAACACAGAAAGCAAAGAGGAGGAAGAGGAAATGCTGGTGGACAACATCATAGAAAGACTTGGTTCACTACATTCCATCCAGACTACTTTGGAAAACATGGAATGAGAGTATTCCATCTTAAGGCTAATAAATATTATTGCCCAAGCATTAATGTAGATTCATTATGGAGTCTTGTTGGTAAAGACGTTCAAGCACAATATAAAAATGCTAAAGTAGGAGAAGAAGTTCCAGTTATTGACTGTGTAAAACATGGTTATTTCAAGGTTCTTGGTAAAGGATTCCTTCCAAAACAACCAGTCATTGTCAGAGCTAGATATTTCAGTGAAAAAGCTCAACAAAAAATTAAAGCTGTTGGAGGAGCATGCGAACTTACTGCTTAACTGGGGATTATTTGGAAAATAATTTTTATTTAATGATTTGAGAATTTTTAATTTTCTAAAGTAAAAAATAGGTATGAAAGAAAGGAAAACTGAAGGAATAATAAAAATAAGGTTGTAAGTAAATAAAAGAAAGAAGGTTTTTAAGGTAATACTTTTAATAACAATAAAAAAGAACTAAAAAAAATTGTTACAAGACACAATGGTATGTTTTCTTTTATTTAATATTAATTAAAAAGTATAACACGATATTTATTATTAGGAAGAAACTAATAACTCCTCGTTGAGACTGAAGATTATTGTTGTTGGTGATCCTTCAAGTGGAAAGACTAGTTCTATTCATCAATTTTGTGATGGGATTTTTGAAGATAATTATCAACCAACAGTTTGTTTTTATTAATCAAAAAGGATTTTAAGAGATTTATTAAGGTCCAAATAATAAATAAAGAGTATATTATAATTAAAAATTTTATTTATAAAAGAAATACATTTATCGTAAATAGATTGGGGTAGAGTTTTCTTCTAAGTTTATTACTGTTAATACAAATGAAGTTGAATTAAGATTATGGGATATTGCAGGACAAGACCATTATGCAGGGATGAGTAGAGTATATTATAATGGTGCATTAGGTGGATTGGTAATGTGTGATGTAACAAATAACACATCTATTGAAGGAGTAAAGAAATGGAAAGCTAATATTGATGATAGAGTGTTATTTAATAATGAAAAAATTCCTGTTTTATTAATTGGTAATAAAGCAGATTTACTTAAAAGTGATGAAGAAAAAGATGCTGCAGCAGCTAAACTTAAAGAAATTGCTAATTCAAATGGATTTAAAGGGATGCTTTTAGTATCAGCAAAAACAGGATTTCATGTTGAAGAAACAATGGAAAATATTGCCAAATTAATAATTGCACAATTTGGTAATGTATTAGAAGCAGAAGGTAATGAAGATGCAAGTAGTTCTATTGATTTAATGTATCTTCCAGATGTGAAACAAAAAAGAGGGTGTTGCAATTAAAAATAAATGATTGTGTTTTGTGAACAAGTTAATTAAGTTCTCTTAAATTAAAAGCATAAAAGAAAGGACCATCAAAACATAAAGTGGAACTGAAGTATTTGTTTCATCATCAACGTTTCCTGACTTTATTTCATAAGAGTAATCATAATCATTTATTGATTTATAATTATGACATTCATTAACTAAACCAATTTGGTCTTCTTCTGATTCAATAGCACATTCACTACTAACAGAATATTTAATACAATACCCTGTGATTTCATTGTTTGTGTTTTTAATTTCATTAACAATGAAATATGGATATTTTTCTAATATCTTTTCTACTCCAAACACTTTAGAAAATGTATAACATTTTCCAATATTAATTGGTGTACTTGAAACTAGTAGATCTTTTGAACAATGTTTGTCATTTGTTTCATTACTATATTTATTAAAGGTTATAATCTCAGCAACAGCACAATAAATAATAAGAATAAATAATAATGCTTTCATTTTATTAATTTTTTAGTTCATCTTTTTTTAGTTTTTTTTCTTTGATTTTTGATGATATAAATAAATTATTTTAGAACTAAATTTGAATACAACAAACATTTCTTTTATTCCTTAATTTTTACAATAAATTCAATTATTAAATACTATGAATTATTCGTCTAATGAAATAGTTTTTTTAATAACTTTCTTTTTTGTTTTTTTAGTTAGGTTTTGTGCTTTTTCCTTTTCTATCATATCATTTTCTTCATCATCCAAGTTAATTGTTTTTTTAATGACCTTCTTTTTATTTTGTTTAATTGGTGTATCTTTTTTTTCTTCTTTTAAGTCATTTGTTTCTTCATCATCCAAACAGATTGTTTTTTTGATTACCTTTTTTTTACATGTTTTTATAGTTTGTAATTTAGTTGATTCTTTTTTACCTTTATTTAAATCTGTAGTCTTTTCATCTAACCTTATTTCATCTTCATCAAAACAAGTTGTTTTCTTAATAACTTTCTTTTTATTTGTTTTTTTCGTTGTTGTACTACTTTCTTTATCAATGATTGAAGTTGTTTTCTTAACAACTTTTTTAGTAATTACATTAGAATTTTGTTTTGTTTGTTCGTTATTAGATAACTGGATGATAGGTTCTCCATCTTCATCTAAAATGATTGTTGATAAAACTTTCCTTTTAGAATGCTCAATAGAGCTATTAGAGGTATGACTTTTTGATGATTTATTTTGGTCAAAATCAGGATCTATTTTGCATTCAATTTGAGTAGTTAATTTTTCTTTTTTAAGAGAATCTTCTTTTTTAAATTCTTCAACAAATTTACCAAATTTATCTTTTTCTTTAAGCTCAAGAATTTGATCAGGTTGAGACCCCCAAGAGATTTCGTAGTCATATCTAATTCTAAAATTATTTCTTTTGTACTGATATATTTCTTCTGGTGTTCTTGTTTTTGATAATCCATAAATTTTTGCATGATCAACTAAATTGTTATGAATTATCATTTCAGTATAGTCACTATACTCTGATGTAATGTCAATAAGTTCTTCAGGATTTATCATTTCATCATGAGACGAAGATTGTTTTATTTGATTATGGTTATCATTTATCTCAATTAATTTACTCTTTAATTTTTTTATTTCTGTAAAATACTTTGAATCAATATTTTTTTTTCTTTCTTCTAAAGAGACATTAGAAGTTGATAATTTAATTTCTTCTATAGTGTCAAAATATTCTATTTCTTTACTTTTCATTTCTTTTAATACTGATAAGGTTTCATCATTTCTTGTTTTAAATTGATTTAAGTATAAACTAATATATTTATGAAATCGTCTTGCTACTTCTGTCATAGAAATTCTTTGTGTTGGATCTATTGCCCATGTTTTATCAAGGATATCTCTAAACCATTTGGGAGCTTTTAATTTCGTAAGAGTTAATGGAAAACTTCTTAGACTAAGTAATTTTTGAGTAGTTGTAGGATTTTTAGAAGTTTTAATATCTGCAGTAAGTATTTTTTGGAATTTATCCATACCAGTTAATCCACTCGCTTTAGACACTTCTTCTGTATAAATTAATGAACGTTCAATAAATATTTCAAAAATCGTAAGTGAGTAACAAAAGATATCAACAGTTAATCCAACATGTAATAATTGATATAATTTAAATTCATAATTTCTATCTCTTTCTGCTTTAACTTGATCTGCATTACTTCCAAATTCTTTTTTTAAGTCTGCTTCTATATATGTGTAAGGAGTTAAATCGTCTAGATTAAAACTTTTTAAGAATTCTATACGTTTCTTGCCTTTATATGTTTTAGCTGTAATAAATTTTAACATCTCTGGTGCAGTATAAAGTTTTGTTGACGTAAAGTTAACATTTGAAGGGACATTGTCAAAGTTAATTCTCTTAGCAGCACCAAAATCTGCTAATTTAGCTACAACAGAGTCTAATGGATTTAATGAGAAAATAAATATGTTTGACGGTTTTAAGTCAAGATGCATAATATCAAATCTATGACATGCAGCAACTCCATTAGCAATATCTTCAAATATTTTAAATTTTAATGTTTGAGTTAATTGATGTTTTTCATAGAATGATTCTGCATCTCCATAAGGTGCAAGTTCAGTGACAGCAGCATAAGGAAATTCAGTTAAACCAACAAATGTAAGGATATAAGGTGAAATAAGATTTCGTTGAATTTTAGCAATTTCTCGAATTTCAAGAACAAATGGAGAACGAGAAAAGTCTTCAGGAATACCTTCTTCTTTTTCTTTTAAGAATTGATTAAGTTCAGATTGATTTATATCACTTAACTTTTCGTGATTTTTTTCTTTTTCCTCTTTCATTTTTTGTAAAGTTTCTATACGCTCATTCCTTGATTTTACTTTACTAATAGCAACATCTAAAGATCTATAAGTCCCTTTAAAAATGGCATTATATTCACCAGTATAAATTCTGTCAGACAATTTACATTCATCAAATGAGAGATACTGACTAAGTTGTGGTAGAAGAACAACACTAATTTGTTGAATCCAAAATCGTTTATAATTAGTTGAACCTTTGTTTGTTCCAAAAACATGAATAGGGATTTCTGACTTAATTTCTCCGCTAGAATTTCTCACCATAGCATAAAATCTGACTTTATAAATCCCTCTTGCAAGAAGAATAAAACTAGTTTCAGAACATGAAATCCAATAGTTGTTAATTTTAGCAAATCCGTTAATTACTATTTGATAACTTTCTAGTGCTTCGTTTGTAAAAACTACTTCTTCCTCTAATATTTCATGAACTGGACAATCTGTACTTTGAGACAGATTTTGTTCTTTAGAACTTTTTCTATTAAATGTAAGGCAGCTAGGAACGATAGACACTTGACAAATACTTGATTCTTGCATAATCTGTTTTTCAGTACAAATTTTAAGTTCTTTTACACTGTTATAATGCTTTTTGGTAAGTTGAATTTATTGTTTTAATTCATTAAAAGATGTTATGTATATCAAATTTTTTATTTCTTTCAATGAAAAGGAATTATAAAAAGTATTTTATTTTTATGAAAATAACAAGATAATATCAGAATCCTTCTCAGTTAGATACTTCTATAATAAAAGAAGTAAATTATTATTTTTTCATAAATTGTTATTGAATAATTTATTATAATTTATTATAATTTATTAATAATTATAGTAAAATAAAATGAAGTAATTTAATTATTTTTATTTTTTATTATTCTTTTTTTTATTTTTGTTTTATTAATTTATTATTTATTTCTATATAACAACTATTAATAATTGTTTAATATTTGATAAATTAAGAAAAGAATATTCAAGTATCAGATAACAATAACTTATTGTCACTATTTATTATTTATTATTTCATTTGAAGAAGAATATTATTTAATTTTATTTATTAATATCACATTTTAAAATAATAAATTTATTACAAATAGATTTAATATTTTATTGTTATCTATTCATTCTTAATTTTGATTAAAATCTATTTAATTAATTTTATTATAATGTTATTTCTAATTTATTTAATTGTTTTATTATCAAATTTTCAAAATAATAAAATAGTAAATAAAAATAAGAAATGAAATTTTCATAATTATATTATTTTTATTTCAAAATAATTAATATAATTTGATGATTATTTTATCTTTTATTTAACTATTTATTATTAATTTCGTTTATTATTCTATTTTTTTCTTATTATATTTTGTTGTTATTTGTTAATATTATTAATCATAGCATTTTTCATTTAAATTTCATTATATTCTTTGTTAGATTTTCTTGTTTAGTCTTTATATTGAAGATGAAGTATCTTTGTTTTGTTCTAGATAATCTGATAATCTAAACATTTTGTCTATAGTTTTTCATAGGTTTAGATTGAAGGGTATTTTCTTTGATTAATGATAATTGTGAGTAGTTAGATATAGAATAACAAGAATGACATTTGTGATAAATGTCGAAAACAATAAAAGAATAAATATAGAATAAAAGAAAAATAAAAAACAATAAGAACAAAAAGTGAATACAAACAAGAATACTTTAAATTATTAAATTAAAAACTTTTTATTTACAATAACAAATATATTGTTAACTTTCATTAAAACTTCGAACTCAGCTTCATCCCCTAAATATAACCAAACTTCGAATTTTTAATTATTGGTAAATGACTGAAAGTGAAAGTAAAATTATAAAAGAACCTAACACAAGAACAGAACACTATAAAAGGGAGAAGGGTAGTACCAGTAGGTCTAGATCAAGTTCTTCAAGTCCTTCAAGAAATACTTTAACTCGAAGTTTATCAAAACGTTTACCAGGAATAAAGTTAGGTTCATTAAAAGATGGATTAATTGTTCCAGAAAAGGTTGGCCCATTAGAGCCTATCCATATCAAAGTTATCAATCAAATTACTAATTGCGATAATTATGATAAACTTGAAAAAGTTATGTCAACATACACTATTCTATTTTTTGAAAAACCATTAGATAGAAAAGTAATTTGTCCACGGATGTTAATTTGGAAACTAGAAGAAACTCATAGAATAGTATTAGAAGTTATTTGTCGATTACTAAAAAATAAAAAAGACAAAAATGAAATACTAACACCTATTTTGTCTGAAGGTCAACCACATAATGCTGAAGCTCTCCAGCAATTTATTGAAGACATATTCTCAAATGAAAGTTTATTTGAAAAAGAAGGAGATCCTTCATTTAATGATAATGGAGAAATTGTTACAATTTCTAAAGAATGTCTTAAAGAATTATTGTTTAAACCAGAAGGTAGTAAAGAGCTTGATGAATTCTTCTCCTTCACTCAACAAAATTATTTTACAGAAAATGAATTAATAAATCTTCTTGAATTAAAAATACATGAAATGAGTATAAACCTTGATTCTAGTTCGTCTTATACAAATGGACAGATTTCAAAGTCGTTAGTAATTCTTTGTGGAATTAATTCATTTGGGTCTGACACTCTCAGTCAAATAAAAAAGATAAGAAGGACTCATACACCTCAAAAAGTAACTTTTAGTACTTTTAAAATTTCAGTAAATCAAAGTACTGATGAAGACATTAAGACAACACCAAAATCTGCACCAAAAAGACTTACAAGAAAAAGATGTAATTCGGCTTCAAAAATTGATCGTCATCTTAATACAAAATTAACAGAATCACAAATCCTTTCACCTGAAGATAAAAAATCTCCAAAAGAGGCTGAACTTTTATCTTTTTCTAAAATAACTACAGAAAGTTCTAAAGATTTGACTATTTCTTTATCAAACGATTCTCAAAAAATTGAAGAAGGAATTACAAATGATAACATACTTGTAATAGACCCTAAAATTCTTGCAGAACAATTAATGATTTATGATATTGATTTATTTGGGAATATTCCTCTTAATGAAATAACATTAATTGACAAGTCACCACTTATCATTTATGGTACTTCTAAATTAACTCAAATAGAAAGTTTAGTTATCAAACAATCTAAAACAAGAAATGGTATTGATTATTTTATAAAAGTTGCATATAAATGTTTCAAATTAGGAGATTTTAATATGGCATTTATCATTTATTCTTGTATTGTTAGAGCATCTTATAAACATTCTGAAGAATTTGGAGTTTGTCAGTTATTATTATTATTTAATATAAAATAATTAACATTGAAGAATAAAAAGAATGGAAAATACTTTAATAAACTAGAACATATTTTTTCAATTAATCAGAATCATCGTAACTATAGAGAAGAGTTCAACAAGAGAAGTAACAATGAAAGAATTCCTGTTATTTGTTTGTTTTTTTTTATCTTCTCACTTTCTTAATGATATAGACTTATATTAAATAGCAACGTGGATCCATGACTTCTTAGGTGAAAAAGAAAAAGGATTTATTGTTGATAATTTACTAAGTGTCAATAGAATGAGGTCGTATGTAGATTGTGTTAAGAGTGTTCTTTTTATACATAAAATAGCTTTAAAAACTCAAAGAATTGATTCGATACAGAGATATTTAATTGAATTTAAAAAATAATACAATTCTCTACTATATTCTTTGTAGTTTACTACTTTTATATCAGAAAAATTTATACCTCGAAGACACAAAAATAAATATTTGAAAAGATTAGTAAATAAAAAGAAAAGGTTTAATAAAAAAAACATTTCCTACTGTTCTCACTATAAAGCTATTTCTAATACTAAGTTTTATTCAACAACACAACCTTTTTTCTAGAAGAATTTCCCAACCCCTCTCCTTCTCAAAACTATTCTCATCTTGATCTTCATGATAGCACTATTTTTGTGAAACAAACACCAATATTACTGGAAACACATATTATTTCTCAAAGACTTCTCAATTTTACAAGACACATCTCAGCAATTTTTTTGTATTGTTCAATCATTCAAACGTAAGTAATAAAACTAATTACAAAGTTATTTTGTATGTTTTTCCTTTTTATCCTCACAGACTTTTCTATTTTTTAGTCTATTCTAATTCTCTATAACAATAAACAAATTCATAGCATTAAACTTTCTTGTTTTCTATGTCACTGTCTCTCAATACTATTAAAATAAGTCTCTTTCTTAATTTTCTTTGTCATCATTTTATACTTCAATTTCTTTATTCACTTCAGTTCTAAAGTTCACTAAACCTAATTTTATATCAAAGCATTTGCATCACATTGATAGAGGTTATGACACTTCATTTTCTAGTCCAGTTAGAGTACTTAATAAAATAACTAGAATTGTAAAGTTCAGGAAATAGATAAATGTAGAATTGTTACTCATTCAAGAATTATCTAAAAATTATTGTCAAAAGACCTTACTGTAATAAAGTGATTCTGAACAAAAAAATAGATTGTCTAGAAAGAAAAGTTTGGTTGTAGGAAATTAAAATAAAACATAGACTTTATTGTTTGTTCTATAAAATAATTTAGTATACTTTGATAATAAAATGAAAATTACTTTAAAAACAATGAGTAGAATTAAATAATTATTTTGTGAATGATTGTAAAAGTTTCTTCTCGATGTGGTACGAGAATTGACTGTTTGAAGGGATTAGAGGAATAATCTGATGGGCTATTTCTTCTCTTCTATTTTCTGGAAGAACATCAAGGAATGCTTGAATGACAAAATTTCCATACTGATCTTCAACTAATGCAACAAGAGATTCTGGTTGTGATAATACATCAAGTAATGGTTGTCTTACATTTTCTGTTGAACACTTAAGACACTTTTCAACTACATTTGAACTAAACTTTTGTTTGGAATAAAATACAATATTATCTTTAATTTTATGAATAATATCTGAAATAATTGTTGGGTCATTTTCCATCAAATGTTGGATAATAAAATTACCATATTGATCTTGAATTAAATCACAACAGTTTGAAAGAAGTTGTGGTTTAATTGAATTAATTTGTTGATTTGTAGAATTGTCCATAGCATGTGTGAGGACAGAACATCCAATCTTAGTTTTTGAGATATCAACAACACAATCTTTTAATCCTCTATAAAAGAAATCAGAATTCTTTTCATTAAATATTTTTAATAAGGTTTGAATAACATAATTAGCATGAGGATCAATGATAAGTATTGCAATATTATTTCTTAATATTGGAGACCATATTTGAATATGTCTTTCTCTCATAAATGGTGCAATTTTTTGAACTGTATATCCTCCAAATTGGTGACAACAATACTTCACTAAATTTTCAGAAACAACACCAAACACATTATCTTTTATTTCTTCACTTCCAAATTCTACAATCTTAGGTAAGATATATTGTCCATTTGGATGAGTTATGAGTTCTTCCAGAGAATCTTCAATTTCTTTAAAAATAAGGAAAACACTCTCTTTGCTTGCACCATCCAATAATTTTTGTAATAATGAACATCCTGAAGCATATTTAGTCATTTGATAAAATTGTCCTTGAAATTTTGACACAATAACTTTTTGTTCTGCTTTCTTATTAGGATTAATATTAGTTGATAATTTAATAGATGGTAATGAAAAGGATTTTACTATTTTCTCAAGTTCTTGTGGTGTTGGTTTGATTATCTTTCTTTTCCTTTCTGTTTGTTCTCTTCTTGTTTTATTTTTATTCATATTATTATTGACATCAATTTGAATAGGTTTTGATTTGAATTTTCTAACAATACTCTCAATAGAACTAAGTTGAGACAAAACCATTTGAGATTCAGTTGTAGCTGGTGATTTTAATAACAATTTCCGTGCTTGAACACTGTTATCTTGATACATTTTAAGTATCTTTTGATATGTTCTCAATGCTACTTCCATTTCTTCAAACCTTTTCTGGTGAACATTATCTTCAAACGATTTTACAAAATCTACAAAATTACTTATTGTTTATCTATAAACATTTTATAATTTAATAAAATATAAACAAACCACGAGAATATACACAATTCATACTTTGTTTTAGTATTACTTCTTTCTTCTCTTTCATTCTCTTAAGTATTTAATTATGATTCTCAAATTATCATGAAAAGAAAGTAATCGTTTCATCTCATAACTATTAAGATTCCTTGTTATTGCAATTGATAACTCTTAATCATAAGATTTAAGGAGAGAGTCTAATAATTTTTCTAAACTTTTTAAGTCTATTTAATTTCAAATAACTCCTCTTTTTTAATTGTTTATGTTTCTATATCTTTTGTTTGAAATACTATCAATTTTAAAATGTTCTATTTATTTGATAATTCCAAACAAATATCAACAAAATATTAATATATTTTCTGTATATGTTTATACAATAATTTTAATAATATATCATTAAAATCTCAATTACTAATTATTCTTATCAGCAAAATTTTAAATAATTTCAAGTAATTAATTTTAAAGCCTATTAAAATTTATTCATAAAAAGACTTTTTATATAAAAATAATTGTACATTTAGCTTCTTTCTTTGTTTTTCATTAAGATGTTTAAATCACTAAAAATAATAAACTAAATACTAATTCTTCGAATTATTCAATTTAAAAACCAGTTTCTATATTTTGTTATTTAACTAACATTCAACTGAAACTAAATAACGTATTTAGAACATTATTTATTATACGTTACTTTTATTCTTATGATAGGTTTATTGTCTTAGAATTAGCTATTATAAATTAAAAATGATTAACGATCAGTTAATCTATTTTTAGTTTTAATTAATTATCAATCAAAATCAAATACCGAATTATCTAATAATGAGGACCTTTACAAAATAGTAATACTCAATAATATTATTTTTGAGTTAACTCACTTTGGTTAATTGTTATTTCTCTTTCTAATACACTATTAAAAGAAGATTTCTTTTATTATTTTTATATCTTATCGGTTAATCATAGTCCGTAAAAGGTAGTTATATTAAAAGTAATTAATATAATAAGTTTACCAAATTGGTTGTTAATACAATGTGAGAACTTTGCATTAAGAAAATATTAACATTAATAAATTAACTGTCCTTTATAAAATAACAAAAAATTAGAAAATTATTTTGTTATATAATATAACAAAAACTAAAAAAAAATAAAAAAACATTTGATTAATGTCAAACCCACGACCACCAAAGTCAGTGAGAATAAAACAACAGTTTGTTGCTGTAGCAAAACTTAAATTACTTGTTAAACATCCAGAGTTAGTTGAATTCCATGACTCAAATTCAAAAGAACCTGAACTTCTTCTTGAGTTAAAATCATTAAAAAACACAGTACCAATCCCACAGCACTGGTGTCAAAAGAAAAGATATCTTAATGGAAGAAAAGAACGTGAGCCATATCGATTGCCAGATTTTATTGAAGCAACAGGTGTTAGTCAATTAAGACAAGCATATCTTGAACGAGAAGAAGAGATGAAACTAAAACAAAAAATGAGAGAAAAGATTCGACCAAAGAATGTAGGATGTATCGATTATCAAATTTTATATGACGCTTTTTTTAAGAACCAAAAGAAAGGTACTATGACAGTATTTGGTGATATATATTATGATGGTAAAGATGAAAATCAATATTATGGAACACCTTTTAAGTTATCATCAAAACTACGAGTTTGTATAAATTTTACTTAGTAATATTTAAAACAAAGAAAAAATAATTAATTTTATAGAGTGCATTAGGAATACTAGATAGTGATACTCCTCCATGGGCAGAAGCAATTAGAAGATATGGACCACCACCTTCATATAGAGAAATTATACCACTTTTATATCAAAATAAAACCCAGATACAATAACAAGATATTTCTTTTAAATATTGTTTGAAATTTTTTTTCTTCTCCATTAAAATTCTTTTTCCAAAAACCTTGAAAATTCAAAGAACTACAAATAAAACATTGATTCTTCATTTCCAATGATCTTCTTATTATTACCACTTTTAGTATTTTCACAGGAGTGTGTTCTCAGAGATATAAACTACTCAAAATTAACTAAACCAAAAAATGATCCATACCTTCTCTCTTATCCACTTTACACTTTCAATTTTAATATCTGTGGGCCAGTAGATGATGATGGTAATGTTGCAATTGCTATTGCTGAAGATGTTACTTATTCACTTGGTAAATACTCAACTCAAGAACCATTTACTGATAATAATGGTAATGGTTTTAAATATACTGGAGGGTCTAGAAGTAGATCTGGAGATTTGTGGAGTTCATCCATTTATATAAAGTGTGATAATACAGTGACAAAAGATATTATCCAAGTTTCAACTGCTGATTTTGATAAGGCTTCTGTTAGTTTTGAAATCAGAGGACCTTCTGCTTGTATTGTTGAAGAAACCAAAAAGTCTCTTTCACCTGTTGCAATTATTTTTATTATTATTGCTGTAATTGTTTGTGTTATTCTTATCATATTTGGATCATGGTGTCTTGTTAACTTTATTCTTGGAAAAAGAGGAGTTGCTGTTCTTCCATTATATAGCATTTTCCATAAACAACAAGATAAATTCTCTAGTGAAAAAGCTAATTTAATTTAACTTCCTCTTGATTAATACATTTTTAATTAAAACATAAAGCACATTTGTTAATAATACTCTTTGTATGTTTTTCACTTATTATCAACTAGAAACTTCTTCTTTAAGTTTTATTAAAAAAGAAGTTTTCTTATAAAAAAGGTCAACCAATAGATATATCCTTCAGTCTCTTCAATACGGTTTACTTCTGTCATAGAGTTCATTTCTAACATATGAGAATTAGAAGGTCCCTCTTCTAGTGTACAGTGTTGAATATGTAGAACATTAAGTCTTTCATGTTTTTTATAATGATTGTTAGTAGTATTTTGGGGAAGTTGATTTGTAATTTTAGTGTTTTTAATCTTATTACTGATTCTTTATGTATCAACCCATTGATTGATAATATTACAGGTATTATTTCTACATAAGTTAATTCTCTACTTTGTATTAACTTCTCTTGTAATTCTTTGTATTTATTTATTTTGTAAATATAATTTAATTCTATATTTCTATCTTGACATATATCAACATCATTAATATATCCTTTTTATCTTTGATGTTTTGATAATATATATATGGTATTCTAACATTAAAAGAATTGTCATTAACCAATAAATCTTTATTGTAAGTTATAATCATTTCATTATTATTAATACATTTATGTTGTGCATTAAAATCTATTTCAACAAATTCAATAAAATGAGTAATTAATATATGTTTATATATTTGTTTACATACATAATCATGTTTTAATATTTGATTATTCTTCATTACAGGACATCCTAACAAAATATGGCTTATAGATGGAATTGTGTTATAGCAATGTTTACAATATTTTAATATATCAATATGAAGTATTTTAGATTTAATACTCAATTCACAATTACTCCTTCTTGTATCTTTACTACTTGGAGGAATGAATTTCTTTTTATATTTAATGACCTCTATGTTGTTACTGATAATTTCATAATATTAAATATACAATTTACATTTCTTATATATTCACTACATTTCTTTTCTTTCATTTAAATATCTTTCATTTATTTTATTTGTTATAAATTCAAATACTTTGTTTATATCATGTTTTATTTCATTTATTTGTATTATATTATTAATTGAAATTAATTTTCTTACAAAGTACATTCTTCATTCTTTTAATTATTCCATTTGGATTCTCTTTTACTGCTTCTGTCATTTCTCCTATTTCTGTATTTGATATTTATATTTTAAATATATTCTTATTAATTCATTACCACATTCATCTCGTGCTGACATTAATCACATTCATAATTCATTTATTGTAACATATAATCTACTTTTATTGATGTTTCTACTGTATAGTTGGTGTTGTATCAATGACTTTATTATTTGTTTATCTATATTCTCAAACTCACCAAGTTTCCATTTGACAATACAGAATTCATATCTTAATTTGGAGATTATATCGCTATTAATCTTTCTAATTGTATTGAGGCTGCTATATTTCATAATATTTAATGATGATAGAATAGAAGATACATCATTTAATAATCTTGTACAATATTTATTAATATTTATTTTATCTCTTATTTCAATACCAAGATATTTATAATGACTATCATTAGTTACTCTTGGTAATTCAGCTAATTCTCCATTTATTTGACCATTGATATTATTCATTATCCCACTCTTTTCTACATTTATTTTTAATCCTATTGCATTAAATATTTCTTTTGTAATTTGAGGGCTTTTTCCATTTCATTGATGATGTTTGTTATTATCTTTAAATCATCAATATATATATGTGGATTAACTGTACTTGTTTTTCTTCTCAATTCATTTTAATAGATAACTTATTAATTTGTTTATCTAATTATTTAGATAATATATCAATAGATAATACAAATAATAATTGAGATAAACTATCACCTTGTATTATTCATCTTTCTACATTAATTATACATACATTTTGTTGATTATAATATAATTGGAGTTGTGTAATATTTAATATAGATAATATACTTTTAATTACAACTAATGGGATGTTAAAATAAATTAAACATTGTTTAACAAATTGATGATTAATACTATCATATGCTTTAGAGACATCATAATATGTTTCTACCCACTTCCATTTAGCATTGATTAATAACTGAATGATTATGGTATTGTATAATAATCATTCTTTTGATGCATATGTATATTTCTTACATCCAATTTGATTTTGTGATAATTGTTTTTCAATTGGATTTAACATCAATTGGTTTTCTATCTTCATTTTTAATAAAGATGTATATACTTTTAACATACAATTTAAACAAGTTATTGGTCTGTAATTTTGTGGGTCTAATTTATCTCATTTCTTATATATTAATATTGTTCTTCATTTAATGAATTGAATATAGATATCATTATGATTATACAATATTTCATTAAATAATTTTAATAAGAAATTCTTTTGTTGTTCTAATTATTTAATCAAGAAGTCTTGTATTTTATCAATTCCAGGTACTTTCCAAATATCAATGAATTTTATTGCATGATGTAATTCATCTAGAGTGATTACCACCTTCTATTATTAATTCTATTTTCAATTAATATATTATATAAATTAATATTTATGAAATTTATATTGGTGTTATTTTCATAGATTCCTTTCCAGAAATAATTGTAGTAATATTATCTGGATACTCATATTCTTTATGTTTATTTAGCAGTTATCTCTTTCCATATTTTAACATTTTATAATTCATTCTTATTCTTTTCCAATTATTCTTACTTCTATTTCTATTCTTTTCATTATTTGGAGGTATTTGTAATAGTTTATTTGCTCCTTTGTTTTTACTTTAATATGATATATATCATATTTTTTTAATATGTAATATTCTTTTTAATTTCATATATTGATTATTATGGAGCAAGTCTCTTAATCTACATATTTTTGATTGTAGTATTCTTTCTATACTTCTCCTTCCACTTCTTTCTTGATTGTTATTAATAATTATGTTAATAGTTGAGGTTATAGTTTTAATATAATGGTAGTAATCATCTAATGTGTTGATTACTATTTCATTTGTATTAATGATATTAATTATTTGATGTACTTTGTTTTTATTGTAATAATAATTAATAAATTGTACATCTTCTTGTTCTTTCATATGTTCTTCTTTAAATATTCTTATTACCTCCTCTTCTTGTATTTCTTCTTTCTTATTTATTTTATTAATTCTTTTAATTCAATATCTTTCAATTGGTGTGTTATTAATTCTTCTTCCTTTCTTTTATTGATTTCAATTTTAATTTCATTCTTTATTTTATATGTTTTCTTTATTATTTCTTTATATTCATTAATATCTTTTATTTTAATATCAAATTCATGTATTAATCTTTTTATTTCTTCTTCTTTAAGTTGACCTCTTAATTTTATTTCTAATAACTTCAGTGCAAAACATTTATAGAATGTTAGAATTTCTTCTTCTCTATTTGTTTGATTCAATTGTTTTTTGAATGTCATGATCAGATGTGGTGATCTTTTTATGCTGATTTCACATCTCTTCGATTGAATTCTGTATTAACTTTCTTTTTTTTTTTGAAGATCATCTTCATTTGATGATATTTCATCAGTTACTACAACATTGGGGTGAGTTAATTCACAATTTGTGTTTCAGATGAATCAGATATAATGTGATTTATCTCATCTTTCTTCTTTTCTTCTTGTGTAATTTCATTTTGTAATTTAAATAATTTATCTTTCAAGAAGTATACTTGTTGTGATAAATTGTTTACCTCAGACATTTTCATTTCTGATTCAGCATTTAATTCGAATAATTTTCTATCAATTTCTTGTTTTTTTAGTGTTTATCTCCTTCTCATGCTTCTTCTTTAATGATATAATGTCATTTGATAATTTATTAATGGTCTGGTCATTCTTTTGTATTTCTTCATTTCTTCTTTCTCTTTAATATTCTCTTCTATTCTTTTCTTTAATTCTTCTATTCTTTTATCTTTTTCATTGTTCTTTTCTTCTTCTTCTTTTAATTTCATCTTTTCTTTTTCATTATGCCTCTTCTTCTCTTCAGTGTCCCTCTTTTCCTCATCATTTTCAATATTATATATTTCTTATTTAAGTATTTATCATTTATTTCATTTTGATTTAGTTGTTTGTCATCTTCTTCAAGTGTCATACTGATCGTTTCTCCATTCTATTCATTTTCGTTTTTTCTCTTGCAAGTAAATACCATCTTCTCATTATTGTTGATTATATTCTTTAATCTTAGTGTTCTTAATTTATTCTATTTCTTGTAGTGTAAGTATTTTGGTTTCTTCTTCAAATAGTCTTTTCAAATATTCTTGTTTTGTATTTTTTCTATCATTTCTTTTCTTTTATTTCTTATTTGTCGTTGTCTTTTATTATGGTATTGTTTATATCTGTGTTGTGTTTTATTATGTGAATTATTTGTATTATAATACTGATTGTTTCTATTTGAATTATTGATAAAATACTTATGATGATGAAAATGATTGAAGTGATAAATAAAATGAATCATATCATTATTATTATAATTATTATGATAATTGTTATGGTGATAGTTATTAATATGGTAATGATTAATGTGATGATTAATGTATTTCTGTCCATACAGATAATACGTGTTTTCACTCATTCTTCTATCATTTATATTTCTTGATTGATATGGATTTCTCCTTCTTTTGTTATTGATTTTTTTATAATTTTTGTGGTGTCTCCTGTAATGAAATTTTTTAAAGTGAAGTTTTCATATTTGATATATAACTTTTTGCCACTTGTCTTGGTTATTTGATAAGGTATACAACTCAATGACTAAATATTTTTTTGGAACAAATTCCAAATCATTCATCTTTTAAAATAATTTCGTAAAATAAAAAATCAATTTTTTTCATTTTATATTTTTTAATAACAAAAGAGAACCCTAAAATTTTGAGTTATTCTATTTTTTAAGTTCTTGTTTATCAATTATTGATTCTATATGACTGTATTACCTGAAAAGATATTTAGTTTGTTTGATTCAAAAAATATTAATGTAAAAATGAATGTGTTTTAAGGAATAAAATAAATAAACCAATAGAACGACATGAAGAAAAAGCGCAAATGTATTGGGATAAATTTTATTTAAAACGAAGAGGGTTTGTTGCCTCATCAAAAGAAAGAAATTGGATGTGTAGGGAATTTAAAGAAATTGTGTATGATCCAAGAGATGATATTGATGTATTTGAAATTGGGTGTGGTGTTGGTAATTCTATGGTACCACTATTACGTGTTAACCCATCACTAAAATTTTATGCATGTGATATTGCACCAAAAGCTGTTGATGCTGTAAGTGCAGATGAATACTTAAAAGGATATTTAACAGCATTTGTACAAGACGTCACTCAACCTATTCCAACAAGCATAATGACAGATTATTCTGTTGATTATATTCTTCTTGTCTTTGTTCTTTCTACCATTTCGCCCTCAATGTTTGATCAAACATTGAAAAATCTTGATAGAGTCTTACGACCAGGTGGAGTATTCTTTTTTAGAGATTATGGAGAAGGTGATATGAAACAAGACATTTTTGAGAAACGAGGAAATAAACTTTCAGAAAGATTTTATTTAAGACAAGATGGAACAAGAATTTATTTCTTTAGTGAAGAGGAAACTACAAATTTTTGTAAAATGCTTGGATATGAATCAATGGAGCAAAAAATGGTTTGTAATACAAACATTAATCACAAAAAAAATCTAACTATGGTAAGAAAATATATTCAAGCAAAGTGGAGAAAGCCATTTAATTAAATAATCAAGTTTTATTAAAAAATTCATAACTAATAATTTATTGATGACAATAAACTTTCTTTTATTTAGATACACAAATACAAACTATTCCTAATAAAAGAACTATAGTAGCACTTCCAAAATATATGAAATTTTTCCATCCTCTAATCTCTCTGAAGACTACTATTCCCCAAAGAGCAGAAAGAAGGCCAGGTCCTGCACAAATCAAAGGATATGAAACAACGTATGGAAGGTTTGAATTTGCAATAAACCAACACACTTGGGCAATTCCCCACATTACTCCACTAATAATTCCTGGTAATATTGTTTGTTTAAAGATAAATGGTTTATTGCGAAAAGTAATAATATATATAATAAAATATAATGTTGATGCTAAAAAAATACCTACAAAATGACTAAAAACATAATCAACACCATTAGGAGAAGAAAGTCCATTATCTTGTAAGTATTTTGATGGATTAAAAGCTGATCCAAAAAGAATTCCTGCAATTAAAGAACAAACAACCCCAACAATCATTTGCAAATATTTTGGCATTGATTTTAATAAAAGGAATAGAGGTGATTTTTTTTCTTTTATTTTATAGTTATTGCAATCTTCATTAATTTCTGGTTCAATAATTTTTTCTTCTTCAAGAATGATTTGGGTTGTTGAATCTTCATTAATTTCTTCATCATCAGAGACTAAAGTCTCTTCTAATTCATAATCATTTTGGCTTGTTGTTTTTTCCTCTCTTTCATCTTCAGATTTAGATGACGTTTTAATTAGTGCATATCCAGGAACAGAACATCCAACTAATATTGCACCAACACAATTTAACCAAAAAATTTGGATATTTTCTTTGTCTGAATTTAGTCCAAACCATCCAAATGTTCCTGTTAACCATCCCATAACCATGTTAGCTACTCCCCAAATTCCAGGTCCAAGAGAAAGACCAATTAGTTGTATGATTGGTATACAAAATAAATTGCCTGAGCACCAAATCAATCCTCCTAACATTGCAAAAGGTTCAAATATTACTGGACCATCATTTAAAACACCATTGAACAGCATAGTAAATATACCAACAAGAAGAATACCAACACACATTACCCATTGGAAAAAAATCCCATCACTTGTCGGAAATTTTTTTGTGACAGTAAAATTACTACCAAAGAAGAGAACAGCAATAATTACACAAATATATCCAAGTACAGTATTTTTGTCATCTGTCATATTGACAACAAATAAACTAAAATTAAAAAGTGAAAGAAATACTTTTTTTATTAAGATTGAACTTTGTATAAATAAAAAAATAGAAAGCAAAACATATACTAAAAATAAGAACATAAACCATTCAATTATTTCTCAGCCCATTTGAGTGCAAAAGATGAAATACCTGGCACAGCAAAGAACTCTTCTGAATTGGCCTTAAGAAGAGCCATTAACCAGTTGAAGATCCAAATAATGAACCAGATGAAACCAATAATTGCACAAATAATACTAAAGATAGTGGAAACTACACGTGCAGCTGCACCAGCAATAGCACCAGCAATAATTAGAGCAACCCACATAATACAATATATAATTCCCCAAATAATAGCATTTGCAGCATGTGCCTTACAGTATATATTGGTTTTTTCTAATACAAAAACAATAATTCCTCCAATAAGACAGAAGAATTCAGCAAGAAAAGCCTCTACAATAACAGGTAATCCGCAAGAGGTAGTTCCAGTTTCTGACATAACTGAAATTTTATAGATGAAACTTGTTTTTATACAAAACAATCTATTAATAGTATCATATTACACAATTTATGATAATTTTTTATTAAAACTAATTTGACAAAAATAATTTTATCTGACTTTTTCTTTCTTATGTCTCTCATTTGTTTCTTTTATGGTAACTTTCCTTTCATTATGAAATAAAATAGAGTAGTCTCATTTGTTGTTTAGAGACAGTGGATGATAAAAAAAAAGAATAAATTAATTTTGATATTCAGAAGTAAAAAATCCACCCCACTCCACTATGTACTTCCCAGTTGGACGAGTACGTGGTGTTACTTCATCAATTTGTTTTATTGTTTTCGATTTAATAGCTTGGGCAAGTTGAGAAGGGTTCAGTTGTTCTATTGCAACAATAACACGATGGTATTGCTCAAACCCATCTACATGAAGTGGGGCAAATTGATTTAATGATTCAGGAGAAATGACAGTTAACAAAGTAAATGGTTTTTCTTCCATTTGTAAAGTCCAAGTAGTGATCATATCATTTTCTTCAACAACACTCAATCCCATTTTTTCCATTAATACAGTAAATTGTTGTAAATATGATTTACGAGTTAAGATAAATGTCTCTCCTTCAAAATGAATTGATGAGTCAAGACGGTCATTGTTATAAAATAAGTACAAATAATTTTTGCCATTTATTTCAATTTTACCCCTTCCTGTTTTATCAGTTGAATATATTCCTTTCCAAATTATTTCATTTTTATTCTTTTCTGGTTGAGGATAAAAGGGTCCTTGAGCAATACCACAAGACGCTTTTATTTGAGCAGTAAAGGGTGAAGTAATGTTTGGTTGGTCGTAAAAGAGAATCCAAGACATTTAACTTTAAAACTAATTAAGAGTTCTTTTAATTTTTTCAAGTGTCTTATACATCAACGTAAGAACTTAAGACTTATTCAATTAATAACCGACGAATAAAGAATTTTTCTGATTTTTGATTATTGTTAATTTGTATAAACTTTGAAAAATTGATTGAGTAGGTTGATTTCCAGATATTAAGCAGATACGTCTTTTTTTTCTTATCCTTTAAATACTTTTGAAATTCTTCTTCTATTTTTATTGATTCTTTTTGTCTAAACTGAACCCATTTATCTTCATAATACCACCAATGAACTTGACTACTTTTATGTGATTCATTAGCTTCATGAAAAGGTAATTCTTCAAGTATATCTTCATTGGTTTTAATAGAACTAGAATTTGATGAATATGACTTGAATCCTATTGAAGGTTTACTAAGTTTCTTTGTATTTTTTAATTTTTTATCATCACTATTACTTTTAGGTTTCTTTTCTTCATTTTCTATGTTTGTTTCTTCTTGGATTTCTTTGTTCTCTTTCACTTCTTCTATTTCTTGCTTTTCTATCTTTAAAGAGGATGTTTTAATAGATTTCTTTTTTTCTTTTAGTTGTTTAGATGACGATAACTCTTTTTTAGATTTTCGTTTTTGGTTTTCAATTTCTACTTTTTCAGCTTCTTTTGTTAAATTGGTACTCTGAGGTTTTTTCTTTATCTCGTAATCACTTTCACGAAATCTTATTAAGGGTTTTCCTTTACAAGCTCTCATGGGCTGTGTCCTTTTTCCACTCTCTCTAAATCTCTTTCTTTGTTCATGTCTTATTCTTTTCATTTCTTTTTTCATATCAATAATTACAGTTTCATCTTTATCTTCAACCAAAGTGGTATCATTTTTTTGTTGATCAAGGGTTGTTGTTTCATCTTTCTTTTCAATAAGAGTTGGTTCATCAATAATACTAGAACTGTTCATTTTGGTTTGTTTTCAAACTCATCTTTTTATTTTAAGAAATTTAAAAAATAAAAATTATATTGTTGTTAAAAATTATATTTTTATTATAAATAATTATAATAAAACTGATAAAAATTACAACTAACAATTTAGTGTTATGTTTTCTCGAAGTGATAAGAAAGAAGATAATTCTAAAAGGTTTAATGAAAAGAAAATGCAGTTTGTTTATTTACATTTATTTGTGTTATTATTTTAAATGGATTTTTATTTTTTAGTTCATTGGCTGTTATTCTAGAAACACCACAAAAGGATTTACAAGTTCATTTAAATGCAATGAGAGATGTTGTTGAAATGTTAGTTTGGGGAGATAAACATAATACAGGGATTATTGATTCATTTCTCGAAGATAATTCATTTTCAACAATTATTGAAATTGTTAAAAAAGGAAAGAAATTAGCGTTACTTCAATTTTTACAATGTTTTGCTATTTTAGTTGAAAATATTAAGACTACCAATTTTCTTTGTTTGTTAATAAAGACATAAGAATAGTAATATCTTATTTAATCAAATATTCATTTTCATAGATTTCTTGTTAAGTCAAAATACTATTGAAACAATATTATCATTCCCTATTGATCGTAATGACGAAGATTTAATTTCTCCTTATATATCAATGCTTAAATCTATTTCATTAAGACTTACAGATGATACTTTACAATTCTTTTATAATCATCAAAAAAATACATGTCCAATATTAAGTGAAGCAGTTTCTTTATTAAATCATAAAGATTCTATGATTGTTTCACATTCAAGAAATATTATTCTTCAATTTACAGCATTTACAAATGACAAAGCATTTAATGATTATTATATGTCATATTCACAAAAACATTTTTATCCCCACCTTGCCTCATTAATATTACCTCACATTCATTCACTTCCACAATCACTACAATTATTAATTGATGATATATATTTCATCTCTGATCTTTTAACTCTTCCTCAACCTTATCCAACAATGTTAACATCTTCATTATTTGATAATTTAATTTATCCTCATATTCTTCCTTCATTTATTTCTGCTTCAGCAACTACTCCAAAGAAAGTTGAATCATTACAATTTCTTATTCATTTATATGAATCTAAATTCCCAACACCTTTCCTATCACTAATTTCACATTGTTTATTAATTCCTCTTCTTCCACAAGGTCAATACAATAAACTTTGTGATTATATAGTTAAAATGATTCAACAACAAAACGGAATGGAATTTCATTGTCTTATTACTTTATTGCTTCAAATCATTCAAACTCCACCTGTTTCATTATTAAGTCGTTCATTTCTTTCAAATCCATCACAATTATCAGCACCTGTAGCTTTATTATCAATTCTTGAGGATGAAAATTCTGATGTTGATCCATTATTTGGAGAAGAAAGTCCTAAATTAAATGTTATGGTAGATATTACTATGTGTTTTCCATGGTTATCAATGAAAGCTGACACTAAATGTTTCGAAACATTTTCACGTATTATGGGAGATAAACAATCATTTAATAGTGAAGGAAGTGTTTATGAATTTTTAAAAAATACAAGTAAAATTAATAGAATGAAAATAATCAATTCATTAGTCGAATTTTGTATTAATGATGCACAACAATGTTTACCATTATGGACTTATTCAAGAACAATGAAAATTATTAAACATATTGGGTGGTGGGGAAATGGTAAATTAGATGATGGATTAAATGAATTAAAACAAAAAGTTATTGAAAGTTATAATAAAAGTGAAAATGTTATTTCTAAGTTATATCCAAGATTAAAACTTGATCAATTCGAATTACTATGGAATAATATTACTACTACATTAGAAGATATTAGTGTTGAATATGAGTTTGGTGATGATATCGATAAATGGAAAAATCAACAACATACTTTTATTGAAAAAAATTTTAATAAAAAACAAAAAGCAATGGAAATTTATTACATTATTGCTTCTTGTGTTATTAAACGTAAATTATATTTACTTTTTACTAAAGGAGAAATTACTAAAATTGATTCGATTTATTGGGAAATTAAAAATGAACAACAACAAGAATCTACTGACACTTCCTCTAACCAACAAGAAAATCAAGTAGAAGATATAAAAGATGATGATATGAAAAAGAAAGAATCTAAAGAAACCTTAAAATAAATAAAACAAAAGTCAAATTAATTTTGTCTTAAGAAACAAAATAAAAATTTTATGTTTATTTAAAAAAAACCGAATTAGTAAAATAAAAATTTTAAGAAAAAATGATGTGGTGACATAAAATGATGACGTGGTGATAAGAACTAGAAATAAAGAAACTAATTGGTTATAATCAAACAAGTTAAATAAAATTTGAATATGACAAGCATATTCTTATATTATGCTAATATTTGTGGTTTGATAAATTTTTATTTAGTTGTTTTTTTTTAAAATAATAATATAAATCATAATAGACTATATTAGAATTGGTGTTTTAATGATTGCCGTTTTCTTTGTGTTTAAAGCCCCAATAACATTTATTATATGTTATATTATTTCAGCTTTATGTGATGCCGTTGATGGTAATTTAGCTCGAGCATTTAACCAATGTTCTAGACTTGGAGCAGTGTTAGATATGATTACTGATAGAGCAGGAACAACGATATTAATTACTGCATTAGCTGTATTATATCCAACATATGCTCCAATTTGTTGTTTAATTACATTTATTGATATTTGTTCACATTGGACTCATATGTATACTTCATTAATCAAAAGAAGTGAAAGTCATAAAATTTGTTCTAACCCAATTTTACATTGGTATTATACTCGTTCTGTATTATTTATTCTTTGTCTTTGTAATGAAGCTACTTTTGTCATGTGGTATATTAGATTTTTCGCTCAAACTAATGACTACAAATGGATTATTGAAGGTACTCCATTCTTGTGGTACCTTCTTAATACACTATTAATAATCTCAACTCCATTGTGCGTCTTAAAGAACTTAATTAATATTGTTCAATGGTATGAAGCTGCTAAAGATCTTGTTGATTGGGAAGTTCAACAAGATAAATCAAATTAATATTTTAATTTTTTCGTTTTAATGTTGTAGAGAATAAACTTGAAAATAAGATTTAATTAATTAACTCCAAAATAACTTTTTATTTTATAAATTTTAACTTATAAAAAAATATTATAATCAATGACTTTATATCTTTAATACTCTAATGATCAAACTCAGGGAACTTTTAACTTTTTATTATAATTTAAAAATTTATTTATTTTTTGTCCTTTTATAGTTTTGTGTAAGGCAATATATATTGAGTTTTATATTTTTTAATGAATTGTATTACAAATGAATTAGTTCATTTAACTTCTTTAATCATTAAAAGTTGATTATTATGATTAATTTGTAATTGTATTAAATTTTATTATATATGATTAACGAAATACCAAAGAATGATTGTATAGAATGGGTATCAGAAGTGATATTAAATTAATATGGTATAAATCTAAATAAACAACAACTTACGAATGGATAGTAATACTCACATTATATCAAATTCATTAAATGAACATTTGTCGAGACATAAACGAGTAGAGTAAATGATGTATGGAATGGTATGAGTTAAAAAGATAATAGTGATACTGATGCAGCAAACTGTAAACAGTAAATTAAAACAATATGTTCAAATTTTTGTTCAAATAATTTAAAGCATTAAGTTATAGTAGGAATAGGATATCAACTAATTCTGCAAAAGGTAATAAAATAGCTGACAAAAAAGAATAATTATACAACAATATGGAAGGTGTTGAATTAAATAATTAAAATGATAAATGGGTGTACTGTTTTCATTAATGAAATAAAATAATATTAAGACAAAGTATATTAGGTAGATTCTTTAAAATAATTATCAAAGAACGTTGTGACAAATCAATTATATCTTTGTTCTTTTTTAACTTGTGGTAAATTTATTATTACATGAGAAAGTTATATAAAAATAAAATACAAAGACAGAATAAAAACATTTAAACAGTCTGACATACACCTTTTTACTCATTTTGACTCATCCCAATAACATTACTTATTATAATATTAATGAAAACTCTATGGATTTGTTTATTTGTTATTGTTTCAAAGTAGCGTTTTTTTATCCTTTTCAAAAAGAGAAATAACAAAAGTTTTAAAGATTATATAAATTATTAATATAGGAATACTAAGTATAACAAACCAATAAAATAAATATAAATGAAATAGAAGCTATTAACCTATGTTATTAAGTTGTTTTGATAGCAATACCATTTATCAAGAGTCAATACCTTATTGAAAATATATAACAAAACTAAAACTTACTAAAATTTAATTACTTAGCAATTAACAAGTATCCTTAATAAAAAAAGAAGTATGTATCAACATTTTGTAAATTATATTGTATTGAAGGAAAAGATATATGGTCTTAGATAAATTTATTATACTAAATTGAATAAAAAGAGATTGGTATGAAAAGAGTGAATAAATTGATTACAAGAATAGAAATTATCTTATGGCAATAGTGTGAATCAACTAATTCAACCATTTATACTTTTATATCTAAAAAAAGAAATAAGATTTTAGAAACAAAATAATAATAAATAAAATTATACAATAATTGAATAAAATATAAAAAAAGATGAATAAAGAAAAATCTAAAAATTTTAATAAACATAACGAGAGAAAAAAGAAGACCAAGTGATATTTGTAGAAACAATATATTTTAATTATCAAAAATTTGCCTGTTTACTTATTGCCAAAAAAGATAAAAATATAAAACCAACCAGAGATAACGTTCTATATTTAAACAAGACTATAACGAAAAAATATAATCAGTATAACACAAAAATATATACCACCAATAAATAAGCAGGGCGCATTTGGTTAAAGGTTTTTGTTTATTGTATCATTAAAAAACTCAAAAGTAAATTTTCCAAAAAGTTAACTTATTCTTCTGTAGGATTGAGTGGAGGAAATGATTCTAAATATTCATTGATATCTTTTAGTGATAAATATAAATCATTTTTGTTTCTGCTTAATGCATCTTCTATGAATTGGAGGGGCATCTTTCTATTAAAGTGCATCTGGATAGCCAAGAGTAATTCATAAGGATAACCAATCTCTGTTTGACTTGATTGAGGTATGTATTGATGAAAAGTGTTATCAAGAGATGTCATTGGAATAAGTAAATTAGAAAATTAATAGATTAAATACTACTTGCTGATGACTTTATGATTATTTGTTTTCATTGAGATTGTAAAATGAAAGGAAAGTGAAATAAAATATGTTGTGTTTTTTAAATCAAAATGAAACTTAAGGAAAAAACTAAAAAAAAAATATATTCATATAGTTTCAAAAGATTACAGTCCAAAGTTTACTACTACTTGATCAGAAACAATACAACTAAAATTAAAATGACCACCTACTGGTGTTTGTGAAGAGTAACCTTACAACAATAATGAAGATGGTAAACTATTATAAATACAGTAATTATATAAGAGTCTACATAACACAAAGTGATGGATATGTCACTAGTAGACATCCACTTTTTAAGAAATAGTAAAATAGTCAAAGAGTCACTCTTAACATCTCAAAGATAAATAGAAATCTTTTTTAGAAATTGTTCTGAAATTACTATTCAACAAATAACCTAATGCTATTACTTTATACAAGTGAGACAGAAGTGTTCTTATCCGACAATCTAAAAACAACTTATTTTGTACATAAGTAAAGCCTAAAAACCAGATTTACTCAGAAAAAGTTATAATTGCATATAAACATAATAAGTTTTTAATTGGATTTGGTTATGTACTAGATTATATTTAAAAGATAAACCAGAATATCTATAATAACTTCTAGATCATTTTGCAATAAAGGTATTTATTCCATAAGTTTTGTTTTAAGGGATATGTTTTATGAATTTAAAACAAAGCAACATCTTAGGTAAAAGTATTAAATAAAATGTGTTTGTCTTTTAAAACCATTAAAACGACTAGGTCTGTAATAAGAACATAACTACAACTGAGTAGATATGTATAAGATCAGTTTTACCAGAATGGTTTTTATTAAAAAAAGCATTCAATAACAAAGAACGGCAAAACTTTTTTGTATAACATCATTATTTTTGAGTTAATTGTTTAACAATAAAAGAACTTATCAAAATTTAAACAAATATTTAATCAGAATGAATTAAATAAACTCATATCCAGTACATTCATTGATTGCAATTGACAACTTCTTTTCTAATTTTTCTTTAGTTGAATAAAGAGGGAGCTCTAGTTTATTAGTACAAGTATGAGCAGTAGGTAATTTATCATCAGGGTTATCGTATTTAATAGAAGAGATAGTAAATGGAAGAGCAGTTCCGTTTGATGTTTTAAGATTAGCGAATCCCCCAACTGGAGCTCTGACTTGTCCAGTTACAAATTTAAGTAGTTTTACATGATCTTCTTTTCCATATTCAGCTAAAATTTCCCAAAGCCATTGTATTTGAATAGAACTTTCATTATACCCTTCATAAACAACATTTTTCTTCAAATCTTCAAAGTCAATTTCATTTCCACATAATATTATTTCAATTTCTGATGGCGTAAATTGTTTGATAATTTTTGGTGAAATAATTGAATATAATCCCTGAGAGAACCATTCGCTTTGTAAAGAAATTCTTTTTACATATTTATGTTGTACTAACAAGTCAACATATGTGCCTTTATTTGTTTCATTAACTTCTGTTGTTTTTCCATCATCCTTTAATTCAATTTCTTTTACCTCTCCATTTACTACTTCATCTGTGACAAAACATAGCCCCCAATCATTGACATTTTCATTTAATATTTTTTTCATTTGCTGTGCAAATGAATTATCAATACTATCAAGATGTTCTAATTGATTAGTAAGTCCTAATACAAGCCTAAGAAATGCCTCATTAAAATGGACATCAACAGTAACTCCATCAAGAATAATTTTACCAATTACTTTTCCAATAAATTCGTACATTTCTTTTATTTTAGATTCTTTGTGTTCTGGGTTTGGAATGAGTGTACAATTATCTTCAGAAATAAACAATTGAGCTTTTCCTTCATTAATCTCTTTAATAAAAGATGAGTAACATTCTTTTAATAATCCACCATTATCATCTCCTTGTTCTCCAACAAACTGAATTCTAAATGTTTTAAACCATTCTTGCTGTTTTATTTTACGCAATGACTCCATTAAAGTAAAAAGTATATCATTTCTTTTAACTTTAACTAAAATGTTTCCTTCAACCTTACTTGATAAATTCGATTTTTTTAAATTTCCTAATTTCATTTCAAAAGGTAAGTATTGAGGTATTTTATTTAATATACTAAATTCTTTTTCAATTAATTCAGGTGAATTTCTTAACATTTTTTTTACTTTAGAATTTGTGTCTTCAAGAATATTTGTTATTTCACTTGATAATATCCTATCATCAAGGCCAATTAATGAAAATATTCCAAAAACAATTTTAATTCTTATTTCATTAATTTCTTTCTTTAATTTTTCTCTAAGTCTAATATAGTCGACAAAAAGAATTAGATTATCTACTTTTTGTCCAATAACTCGTTCAATGAAATACCATAACTCTTCTTCATTTACTAATTCTTCTTGAATAAACTTATTAATTTTATTAGCAATAATAACTTGAATATTTTTTACTTCAATGATGGAAAAACTAAACACATCTATTTCTTTCTCATTAACTCGTCCTTCGTTAGAGATATATCTGTATATTGCCTCTTGGTCTTGAATTTCTAATCGATGTGAAATACACCTTTGTACACACTCTCTAAATAAAAACATTGCCTTTACGTTTACTCCAAAACTTATTCTTTCTTTAAAGAATAAAGTAAAAGCCTCTTTAATACATTGAATAAACGCTGGACTTGCGTTCCCATTTTTCTTAGTGTCCTGAAGTTTAATTAAAATCATTAATAATTCCATAACTTTTATAATATTTTTTTCATTACAAGATTTAACACATTGTTTAAATGGTTTATTAAATATATGTATCATCAAATTGTTTATTATAATATAACTTATTGTCTCATCGTGGAGACATAAATATATAATTCTTTGTTTAATCCCTTTCCCAATCCATTTGTCACTATTAATTAAAAGATTTATTGCACTGTCAAAAGCAAATAAATAGTCTGTTTCTTCTAATCCTAGATTTGTTTCATAATTAACTTTTTCTTTATATTTCTCTGCTTTATATTTCTTTTCCATTGTTTGTATATTTGTTTCAGATTGTTTAAATATATCTCTATTATTTTGAATAGCATTTAAATTTAATACACTTGTATTTTTTTGGTTTCTTAGTGGATGAGCACGGTAATATTCTACTAAGTTATCTTGAAGAATATCGTTGGGTAATGATAAAATAACTTCTTCATCCCATTCTTCTGGTATAGGAACTCTTCCTATTCCACGAACCTCAATCATTTCTCTAACAATATTTTCTTTCTTTTCTTCACAAATTTTTTGTTCTTCTTCAATATATTCTTTTATAACCATTATAATGTTTGTTAGATGTTCTTTCTTTTCTTTGTCTTCACTAGGTACTCTTTCGTTTTCTTCTTCCAAGTACTCGACACAATTTTTCATTTCTTCCTTATTTCCTTTGTCAAAAAAGTAAATAAATTTTTGAATAATCTCCCTGACAATAGCCATCTGTGAGTAATCAATTTCTTTGAGTTGGTCCCACACATGTCTCATTTCTTCACTTCCTTTAAAGTTCTCTTTTATTTCAATGCCTAAATCTTTATAGTGTCTAATAAAAGCACACTCAAATGGTGTTAATTCCTTTTTCTTTTCAATAGGTATTTCTTCCCAAACTTGTCCTAGTACTCCTTTCTGTTCTAAAGAGTCAAGGCTTTTTGCAAATATTTCGTCATTAGTCTCTAATAAATTATAAAAGTCTTCATCATTCATAATTTCAATTTGTGGTTTGTTTGGGTTAATTGAATTTATAGGTAATGAAATTTCAATATTTTGAACTACACCTTTGAGAGCATCTGATAGATTGGCATTAGGTGGTGGAGGAATAAAATATTTTTTTGACAATTCCAGTGTGTTTTCATTTTGTTTTTCTTGAATCAAATCTATGAGGAAAAGTCCAGATGTCTTTTCTTTCAATCCATCTTGAATCTTTCTTTGTCTCTCAAGAGCTCTAATTACTTTAGTATTAATTGATTCACGATAAGAACGAACGGTTTCAGTACTAATTTTTTTACATGGGATTATCCAAGAGAAAATATTCAATGCATTGTTCAAACTATATTCTTTAAGTAGATAGAAGTCTGAATTGCTAAAATGCTTACACGAATTATGATTTATCATTATTTTCAATATCTGTAAATATTCATTGAAAGCCTTTTCATCAATTGATTCAATTAAAGATTTAATTAATTCAGATATTAGGGAAATAAAACAATACCCTTTTAATAAAATGTCTTTCATTTTAGTAAGTTGTTGAAGGATAAATTGTTGAGATCCTGTTTCTTTGTATGCATTTAAAATACCAAGTATTAAATATAAATATTCTGTTTGCTTGCTTTGTTTGAACATAGTGTAGATAACGTCAACAATTTCAGTTATGTCCTGTTCATTAAAAACACATATTTCATCAAACATTTTTTTCCATTTACCTAATTGAATGTCAAATAACTTTTTATGTTTTAATTCTTTCAGGTTAAGATATGGTTGTAACAGTTTACAACTTAAATACCCAAATAACTCTCTTTCTTTTCCATTCATAATCTCACTAAGTTCCTTTTTATCAGTTTCAGTTAATGATTCAAGAGTTTTTGACTCTATAATACTAGATAAAATAAAAACAGTAATACTTTCTTCCATTCCAATAAGTTTAAGTGTATTTATACCATTTGTAATTATCATTAGATGGTTTATTGCATAGTCTAGTACTTGAATACCTTTTTCAATTCCATATTGCTGAATTAAATTGAGACCATTGACTTCATTAGAATGGTATTGATATATCATTCCTATATCTTCACATTCATCACTTGTTTGAATTTTTTGAATTAAATCCTCTTCTTGAATACTTTGATATAATTTTTCTACTATATTCAATGGATATTTTCCATTTAATTTTTCCCCAAATAACTCAATGTCGTTTCTTGTAATATCAATGCATTCAATAGAATTTAAGAATATCACAGCGTGATGAATCCCTTTCATATCTATTACTTCACTTCCTAATATTTTTAATTGATACTTCTCAACACATAGAAGATGAAAATTAGTATTAAAAGCAAGATCAATTCCCATTTTAAATCCAACAGTTTTTAAAGCATTGATCTCTTTACACTTATCTAATAAATGTGATTTGATGATATAATCATTTTCTAATACTTTTTTTAACCAACTACTCATAGCGTATTGTTCTCTATCAACACAATTAAATAAATAAAAAAGAATCCAATCACTTGGCTCAGTACATTTCTTTTTAATAACTGAAATTAATCCATATTCATCAAATCCACTTATTGTGTCTTTAATTAATGCAATAATAACTGAATGAAAAGCTTTAATTTTATTTGAATAAATAGTTTTACTACATATTATATCTTTTCCATTATTTTTAGTATTAAATTGAATAAAAGAAGATAATATTTGACTTTGTTCTTTTTCTGGTAAATCTTTAATATCATTATAAAGAATTCTAATATATTTGAATAAAACTTTGCATACTTTTAATGCAGGAATTACCCTGGTTTGTTCAGATTTAGGTGCTTTAGCAAAAACTAAATGAAGTTCAAAAAATATTTTGTAAAATCGTTTTAACGATATAATGTCATTTTCTTCAATAAATTGTATATCCCGATTAGCGGATTCAATTGCAATTTCAATTAACTCTCTTTTAAATTGGGTGTTATAAATTTTTATAAATTGAACACAACTTAATGGAGTTAATGAAAGTTGAAACATCTCTTTCACTTTAGTGAAATTACAACAATTTATATTTAAATTTTTAAAACATTTTATCATAAATTTATTAACAAGTTCATATCTTTCCATATCTTTAACCTTTGTCATTATTAATCTTTCAACTGGGATATTATCATATTCTTTCTGGTGTTGTTGAAGGTATTCAACACAAATAGGTATAAACCCACTCATTGGAAACACAAACAATAAACTGAAGTTCCTTATTAAACCAAATAGTTTCTCCGTATTTTTATCAAAGTTTTCTATGATTTTTTTACCAATCAAGTTATATAATGGTAATACCCTTTCATCTTGATAATAATTCAAACTTTGTATTAATAAATCCAATACAACATAATTAGTAATTAATACTTCATTAGACTCACTTTTTTCAACAGTACTTTTCATAGAAACAATTAAATCATCAAAACTACCTCTAAACATCTCATTAGTCCCAAACTTTTTTAATAGAACAGTTGCCTTTAAAAGAGAGTGACATTCATTTTCATCACTAAGAACTTCCTTTAAATAATTCACACAAAATATTTGGATATTTTGATTAATTTCAGAAGAAAGGCACTGATATTTTAATAACATGATTACTAATTTTGTTTTATTTTTTTTAACCTTCTTTTCTAAAATACAATCTCGAGCTAAAAGAGCAATCTTCTCATAATAACTCTGAGAAAATAAAATCTTGAAAATATCAATAATGATTAGTTCGTCAAACGTTTTTATCAGTGGAACTAATTTTTCTGCTACTTTAAACCTCTTAGGAAAATAATGATGAATATGTGAAAGGCAATAATGAATAAATTCATTATTAGCAAAATCATTATCGATAGTACTTGCATCAAATGATACAAGTAAATTCTGTGGGTTTGGAATTAATGTATCAAGAATATGTCTTTCGAGAACATCAATTAATAATAAATTCTTTGGTCTTACTTTGATAAAATGAAAGGCTAAGAGATTTGATGATGGATCTTTTAATAAACTTAATAAAAAATCAGTTTCAAAAGAAGAGAGCTGAAGTAGTCTTTGTGCGTTAATAAATATAGACGGGATATCATTGTAATTAAAAGTTAATCGGTATTGATTGAAAAGAGTAAAATTATCTTTTTGAGTCATTCTTGTTATGTATTGATAATAAGTTTCAGAAACATCTGGCTTCTCGATACTATTAACAGGGTCGTAACTAAATACTGGAACTGGTTTTTTAGAATCTGCCAAAATGATTTGGGACTTTGCAACAATTTCAAGATTTTCACAAAAAATGAAAGGAACAATAACATCTCTATCTGAACTTGTCATATCAGTACAATTTTTGAATAATAAATTGTCAAAAGCAGTCAAAACATTATCAATATTCTCTTCATTTAAAATAGCAACTTTAAAAGGTCCAATACTTTTCTTTTGAACAGAAGCTAAAATATCAATTTCATTATTAAAACCTTTTTTGTTAGTTTTATTGTTAATAATATTAGAAGAAAGTAGAGGAGCTCTACTTACTTCATTAATATGGGTCCCTTGCATTTCTTCTTCTATCATATCATCAATAATTTCTGAAAAATCAAAATGTCTTTCTCTGAACATTATTTTATTTATGATTTATGAGTTCTTGTATTTTTGAGGAATAATTTTTGAATATGAAAAATTTTAAAATTATTTTTATTACCACAAACAACAAAACCAAATACAAATGAATTCATTACTAAATAGGCACAAAAGAGTGATAAGTTATTATATAAAAATGAAATATATGTATTTGTTATTTAATATAATAAATAATTCATAAATAATTTAACTAAATAATTGTATATGATGTAATCCTCTAAAAATAAATCTTTATTTTTTCTTTTTTTGAGTCTTGTGTTGTTCTAGATAGTTTATTTTTAAGTTAGTTAATGTTTCTTTATTTATTTTAGAACATCCTTCAAAACTACTTTCTTCCCATTTTATAGGAATATTTATATAATCACATACAACAGCTTGAAGTTCAATACAATTTTTAAAACATTTAGAAGATAGTTTGGATGCCTTAGGTATAGTTATTGCAAGTAACTTTGAACAATTTTCAAAACAAGAAATAGGTATTAATTGAATATTTGGAAGAAATACATTTTCAAGTAAATTACATGACATAAAACATTCTGTACCTAATTTTGTAATAGAATCTGATATAATAACTTGATGAAGAGAAGAACAATGCGAAAAACATTGATCTCCAATTTGAACAACATTTAATGGTAGTTCTATTGATTTTAATGATGTACAATAAGAAAAACAACGTGAATCAATTTTAGTTAATGAAGAAGGAAGAGTTACATTTACTAAAGAAGAACAATGAGAGAAAGTAGAATCTTTTAATTCTTTTAAAGAATTAGAAATTGTAATTGATGTTAATGAGGAACAATTAAAAAATGATGAATAAGCTAAATCAACAACAGTATTTGGTATTAATAATAATTTTAATTTAGAACAATTTGAGAAACAACTTCCTTTTATTTTACTAATATTTGTTGGAATAATTATAGATGTATTTAAAGAATTAGAAAAACAAAACTCTCCAAGAGTTTTAAGTGTAGTAGGAATAATTTCATCCTTAATTTTTCTATCATATGAAGTAAATTCAACATTAACACAATGAATATTATTTTCTATTTCTATTAATTGAGCAATCCAATATGGTACAGATCCAAAAAATTTTTTTGATTCATCTTCTACTTTAATAAAACTTAGTTTAGAACAACCACTGAAACAATCATTTCCAATTATTGTTAGGTTTGAACTTAAAAATAATCTTTCTAATTGACAACATTCATTAAAACATCCCTCTCCAATATTAGTAATTGATGATGGTATGATAACTGTTGTTAATGAACTACAACGTGAAAATGCAAACCGTTCTATTTGATGAACTGATGGTGGAAATGGAACAAATCGAAGATTAAAACATTCACTAAAACAATTTTCTCCAATAACATCAACTTCCTCTGGAATAGTTATACCATTTAATTCAACATCATCTTTAGATAGTTTAATTCTTGTACATTCCATACCACTATTTATTAACTCCTCAGCTTCAGAATATGAAACTGGATATGTGCAAATAATTCTCTCAATTTGTTGTGTATTAATAATTGGGTCAGTTGATGAATATCGAATTAATGAAGTAATGTTATAAAATGGATAGAGGTTAGTAATAGGAACAGGGTTGTATGAAAATTCAGAAATAATTTTTTTACAACTCTTACTCACAAAACAGAAAGTAATACAATCATTTTGAGTTTTCATGTATTCGACTATAGCATATTTTTCGTCATCACCTAATCTACTTTTTGATATTGTTTTAAATTGACTCTCTTTTTTTTCTTCACTTTTTTGTTCATAAAAAATAATATCATCAGATTCTTTAATAATAGAAGACTGAGATAATTCTCTTATAGTTAAAAGTCCAGTTGACCTTTCATTCTTATTAACCCTTTTTCTAGGAGATCGTGTTTTTCTCGATGTAACAATTTGAGAATCTAAACTTATCATAAAAGGATTGTCAAAACCATTCTCCATTTTTGTTATTTTATAGTTCTTTATTTTAGAATACAAAATTTATTAAATAACACAAAACAATTTAACAAGAGAAAAATGTCATATCAAAGTTTATAATAAATTTATTTTCCTTTGAAAGAAGGTTTAAGACAAATTTTTTCTTTTTTTTTAAAAAAAATAAATTATTTAAAAATAATTAAAAAGTCGATAATTAAGTGTTAATAAATTTATTTTCTATTTTCATTAATCAAGGGAGACTAATCCCGTCCCTTTACTTTAAGATTGTGTGTTCATCAAATATTATCCTATTCTTTATCTTTTAGTTGTTGAAAATTGAAAAATTCATTTCTTCATTTATTTAATGTAGAACAAATTATTTCAGATCTCTCAAACTTAAATATTCATCACTTAATAATGAGTATTAAAATTCTTCTTCTTTGCTTTCTTATTTTAAGAAAACGTATATTTATCACTATATCACTATGATTAATTTTCATTTTAGCCTCAGCTACAACAACTAGACCCCTTTTCTTTGATAATCCAATATTATCAAATGTACTTGTATCCTAACAAGTAATGAATACTATCACCTTTATAAATAATTACACTTTTATTATCAATGATATTTAATCATTGTAAATAATAATAATGGATATTCTTACAATATTGATTAAGATGTTTTCTAACCAACAACAATGTTGCAATCAGACCACAACTGGGTAATTCGAGGCTTGAATTTATTTTATGGTTCTGTACAGTATCTCTGAGGTGCTACCTTTGAATTCAAAAAAAAAGAAAATAATTTAACAAATTTAAAAGAATGAAAAGAATAATTAAACCACAATCCTTCAATTATTTATTCAAAAGACTTTATATCAAATATTTTAATTAATTTAGTGTATTATTAAAATATTTTTTTTAAACATACTTACATACCTATAAAATATTTCATTAAAAAGACACTTTATTTTTTGTTCATGATTAAAAACAAATATAACAATCATCATTCAATTAAGGAAAATAATAAATTTATTTTTTACTTGTCATTCTTTTGACAAATCCCTTTTTATTTGAACTTTTTCTTGGTTTACTTTCTCTTCTTTTCTTTGAAGATTTAGACTTTGGATTTCTTTTAGTTTCTTTTGCTTCATATTCATTTGTTCTATCTAAAACTCCTTTTAATCTTTGAACAACATTATCTGGTAATAAATAATCAGGAATATCTTTTAAGTGTTGTGCCCTTTGATCAACTAAAGCAGCTGTATGTTTAATATTTAATTTTCCAACACTTTTTTTAAGTTCTTCAACATTACCAACTTCCTTTTTATAATCTTTAATTCTAGCATCATTACATGCATTTTTAGTAACATTTCTTTGCATGTCATAAACTCTTGTTTTAAATGCACCAACAACACTAGGCTCAATGATAAAATCTTTTATTTCATGATCTTTCTTTATTGAAGTAATATAGTCTTTATCTTCATTTAAAACAAAAGTAATGGCAGTACCTTTTTTTGATGCACGACCAGTACGACCAATACGATGGGTATAACTAACTATAGAAATAGGACAATCGAAATTAATAACACATGCAACATCTTGAAAATCAATACCACGTGAGACACTATAATTTTCTTGAGCTGAATCACCTTCAGAAATAATATGTGAATGATCTCCATCTTCTTCCATAATATTTTTATCTTTAACTTCTTGAAGTTTTTTTGGTATAACTTTTTGAATAGTAGTTTCATCAGTAGCAATAAGAATATTAAATTCTTTATTATTAAATTGTTCAATGATATTCATTCTGATTTCTCTTGGTAAATCACTGTTAAGAACAACTGATGGAATAGAAAATAAATCAAGGAATAATTTTACGTAAAAACATTTTTGAATAGAATTAACAAATATTAATACTTTTCCATGAATCATATTTAATTTTAATAATACATATAAATTTAATGCTTTATCTTCTTTTCTTTCACAATTAATTATATATTCTTCTACACTTACCTGTTCTTCTTCTTCTATTCTTATTTTAACTGCTGATTTTAACATTAAATGTTTTAATGTTTCTATATCATCATTAATAGTTGCACTTAATAACCATTTAACACTTTCTTTTGGTATTTTTTTATTAAGCTCTTTAATATCATTTTCATATCCATATGCTATCATTAAATCAACTTCATCATAAACACTTATTTCTACTCCATCTAAATTGTTTCCAGTCTTTTTTAAATATTGTAATAATGTAGCTGGAGTAGCTGTTATAATATCAGGAATACTTTTCATTTTTCCTTTTTGACTAATAACACCATTCTCATTTGCAACATTTAATACTGAAATACCAAAATATCCTTTTAATAATTGGTCAATAACATTTTTACATTGATAACATAATTCTCTAGATGGATTTAATATGACAACTCTAATTCTTCTTTGCTCTTCTTGACTAACTAATAAATTATTTAAAATAGGAATGACATATGCTAGTGTTTTTCCACTCCCTGTTCTTGCTTGACAAATAATATCTTTTCCTTCTAATGCAAATGGAATAAATTGAGATTGAATAATCGTTGGTTTAACAAAATTATTTTTCTTTAATTGGTGTGTTAGAAAATCGTCTAATTCAAATTCGTTAAATGTTTTTTCTTGTTCTACTACAGTAACTCCTTCAGTGTTCATTTCTATGTTCGTTAAAGGGTTTTATTTTTTTCTAGTTTGATTATTATATTTTTTATAATAAATTTATTATTAATTTTATTTACAGGATGTTTCTTTGTGATTGTTTTTAATTAAACCACAATTTTTATAACATGAAAAGATAATTGTGTTTGAATAATTTAAAACGAAAAGAAACAGCGATTTAGGGTAGTTCATTCTATGAAAATATAAATGAACACTATTTAATCGCAATATTAATTGTAATAACAACGTGGTTAATGATTTAAGCTCATTGTCCAATAAAAATTACTATATATTTTTTTTTTAGTTATCATCACAACTTTTTAAAATCATAACATTATGCAAATAGAAGGTAAAATCATTCAAGAATTTCAGATTTGTATTTCTTCATTGAGAGAAAGTTATTTATTAGAACAAATTAAAGACAACATCTCTGAAGGTATTCAACTATTTTACTTAGTATACCACAAATCACCTCAAATGAAATGTAAGTCAATAACATTACTAAACACTTTCAGTAATTTGTTATGGCAAAAGTCATCTGGTATTATTATAGATGGTGTTGACATTGAGTTAAATATATTTGATAATATACAACTTCTTGAATGCCAAAGGTGGTGTTTTGCAACACTAAAACTTATATTATTAAATCCAAATAAAAAAGTGTTTTCATTTTATATCATTTTTATTTCTCTCTTCCAATTTCAATTGCTCAATGATTATGACCAGGAAGATCTTCAGTCTTATTTCTCTAATTTCTTTTTAGAGAAAACTACTGGAGCAATACCAAGTAATAGGACAGACAGTTCAGTTGAAGATTTTTAACTAAGTACCTAAACGTTAAAGTAAAAAACTCCCGAAGACATTCTATAGTAAAGAAATTAAATGATTATTTTTCTTAAATTTATTTAATAGTTTATTATTGTTTATTAATAAGTATATTAAAATAACAGGTGTGCTTGTTGTGATTTTACATAATTACAATGTCATCATTATATGATTATATTTAATTTTCTATTTGTTTCTACTGTTATTATTATTGTTATTATATCTAAGTCATATTCTATTTCTTTCTATTTTTATTGATAATTTATGTAAATAATCCATTTCTTATCATAACTGATTTAATTTATATATATCTCATCTTTATATTTCTTAATTTTTTAATTTGTATTTATTAAGTTGACTTAATTATTTGTTCATTAACAATATTTAGGTTTTTATAACACTTCATCATATAAGTATTTAAGAAAAAAAGGAGTATTGAAAGAATAGTGTATGGTCATAGAGAGGAGACACAATAATTATAATGAAGAACGAGATACAAGAGAAAATAAGATAAGAAGAAAGGTTTAAGAAGTTATGGAGAGAGAACGGAGATGGAATTATGAAGAGGAAGAGAATACAGAAGAAATAACCTAAATCAAAGAAATTCAGAGAGAGATGTGAAAAAATAGAAGAACAACAAAGAATGAATAAAACCAAATTCAATGAAGAACTTTAATAAGAGTTAGAAACAAGTATTGAAGAATAACCAGAAGAAGAGAAGAGTGTATGAACAAAAAGGTGATAGAGGGAGAAGAAATAAAGCAAACAACACGTACAAATTATCAGAATAACAATAAAGTGTTTATGAGAAAGATTACTTCTCACTTACAAGAAAAGAAAAGATGTAAAGAATGAGGAATGGAGAAGATAAAACATGGAATTGAAAGAGAGAAGAATTGAGATAATGAAATATATGAAGAAGTTCTAGAATAATGAGTGCTGTGAAAATGAGTAAATAGATGTAAACATAAATCCATTCAGATAAAGGAATTTGAAAAATAAAGAAATGAATAAGAAACAAAATGAAGGAGAAAAGAAATGTCCAGAAGAAATAACAAAAATATAAAATAGAAAAGGAAGATTCCCACATAGAACTTCAAAATAAATAAAAATCCTAATAATAATAAAATACTATAATCAACATAGTTTTATTTATAATCTCAGTTTGATCTGTACTTATCACTGATAATATATTTGTTAATATTATTAATCATAGCATTTTTCATTTAAATTTCATTATATTCTTTGTTAGATTTTCTTGTTTAGTCTTTGTATTGAAGATGAAGTATCTTTATTTTGTTCTAGATAATCTGATAATCTAAACATTTTGTCTATAGTTTTTCATAGGTTTAGATTGAAGGGTATTTTCTTTGATTAATGATAATTGTGAGTAGTTAGATATAGAATAACAAGAATGACATTTGTGATAAATGTCGAAAACAATAAAAGAATAAATATAGAATAAAAGAAAAATAAAAAACAATAAGAACAAAAAGTGAATACAAACAAGAATACTTTAAATTATTAAATTAAAAACTTTTTATTTACAATAACAAATATATTGTTAACTTTCATTAAAACTTCGAACTTATTGATTTCTTTAAGAGTTTAAAGAATTTAATTAAAAATTCTGAAATATAAATTTGTTATTCATAGATTAAACAAATCAATTTAGTGATTGAAAGAAAAGAATGAACTTGATAAAAAAATATCAAAATTTAAATTACTAAAAGTTAAAAAACTAAATCCACTATTCATTGTTTTTTTAGTTTTACTCTAAAAAAACTATTTTTAATGAGGAGAAATCTTAATTACAACTGTTCTAGATTAGCCCAAAAATAATTCATAGTCTAGTTCTATTTTATGAGAAGTTCTTGTTGAGTATTAATACAAAATTGTCTTTTAGAAAGATTGTTTTAGAAAGAAGTACCAAATGTTAATTCATCCAGAAATAGTAATCATTACTCAACTATCTCTGTTGTAAATCTCTAGACTTGTAATCCCTCTCTTTCTTAGATTATTTTTTTAATAAACAAACAGAAATGATATTTATCTTCAATACATACATAAAGATAATTGAATCTACTTAACAAACAATCATTTACTTCTTTTTCCCAGCACCAATGAATTGAACATGTGAGGTCTTGTCTTTTGTGATAACGAGATTCCTTGACAACCCTTTTGCGATACGTTTTTGTTCTAAATAATTAATACATTTTTCAAAATAGTCTAACGCCTTTTCTAAAACTTCTTTATTTTTATTAAGACCAGTTGTATCACTAAGATCTCCTAATTCGATTAACTTACTAAACTCTTTGAATAATGATAAAGTTAAAATACTTGGATAACCTTTATAAATTACTACATCTTCTCGTTTTTCAAATTTATTTCCTATTATTTCCATAATGAGACTATAATTTACGATAAAAGGAATTGGTAATGATCCAAATGTTGTTGTAGAAACTTCCCATTCTTCTTCGTCTTCTTCCATTTTTACTTCCTCTTTTATCTCTTCTTTTGGTTCTGGTCGGACTTCATTTGATTCAGATGAAAAGTCTTTTACTTCCTTAATTTGACGAGTTTTTCGTTCTCTTTTATCTCTTCCTTTCTTTTTTCTTTCTCTTACACGTTTTGTTTTTTCAGTAGAAATCTCACTTTCATCACTTTCACCAAATTCATCATTGAGTAGAGATGAACCTTCCATAACCCATGATTTACCTATTTCTTCATTTGGTTTTGGTGTTTTTGCTTTGACAATATCTTCAGACACAATCTTCTCAATCAAATTCTTAGGTTTTTCTTTTTTATCTTTCCTTTTTCGTTCAACACCTCTTCTTGGTTTTTTAGTCTCATAGTCTTCTGATGGTTCATTCATCTCTTTATACTGTTTTTTTAATATCTCACATTTTGCTGAAATAACTTCATTCTCACTTTTTGTTTGGATCGTTTGTGAAAATAACAACGAAATCTCTTCATCTTTTTCTTTTAACATATTAGTATAATATTCAATCTCTTTCTCTCGTGACTGTATTTCTTCTTCTATTACTATATTTTCTTTTACTATCAACTCAATTTCTTTTTGAATAGATTTATATTTTACATAATCTTCCAGTTGAACACTCACTAACTGGTTGTTCATCTACCAATTTCTTGAGTTTATTTATTTTTAGTTTTCCTAAAAAATGGTTCTTTAACAATATCTCAAATAACTTTTTTTTTATTTCATATTTGTGTTTTTTTAAAAATGACGTGGAAATAAGTGTCTTTTCTCACATTAACGAAAATACCTTGAATAGATGTAACAAGGAAGATGACGTGGATGAAGAGTAAACAAAAGAAAGGATAGTAAAAGACTTTAAAAAGTAAGTAATATTACAATGAGCACAGCAGAACGTGTCCCTCTCATTGAGAACGAAGAACAACCTACTCAATTTTGTTCAAGAAAACAATTTGATAATGATTGTGATACAGTTGATGAGTCTTGGAAATTGACTAAGAACATTTTCACTAAAACATCAACAAGAAATGCTAAACTGAAAAAGTTTTATGAAAAACAGAATGAATTTGTTGATTCTCTCTTTAAAGAAACTCCTGATAATAAAGATGAAATTACTAATCATAGGACAAAAATAGCAATTTATGGAAGTTTTATTGTGAATGTTTGTTTATGTCTTATAAAAATTGTTGCAGCTGTAATGTCTGGATCATTAACAGTTATTGCAAGTACATTAGATTCATGTTTGGATATTATTTCTAGTGGAGTTATGTTTATTACTGCATTACTTATGAGAAAAAGAAATATTTATAAATATCCTGTTGGTAAAAAGAGAATGGAACCTTTAGGTGTTATTGTTTTTGCTACAGCAATGTTTACTGCAACAATTCAATTATTAACAAATGCAACTAAAACACTTATATCTGGAACATCTGATTTTGAGATGTTAATATTTCCTATATGTGTAATTGGGGTAACAATATTTTTCAAATGTTGTTTATATTTATATTGTAGAACAGTTAATAATCCATCTGCATCTGCATTAGCTGATGATCATAGAAATGATATCTTAACTAATACATTTGGACTTTGTATGTCAGTAGTTGGATATTATTATTTTTGGTGGTTAGATGCTGTTGGTGGAATTGTTTTATCATTTTATATTATGATTAATTGGTTCTTTACATTATTGGAATATCTTTCTATTATGTCTGGTAAAGCAGCTCCTAAAGAATTTATCTCTCAAATAATTGTAATTTGTTGGAACCATGACCCAAGAATTAAGGCAATTGACACTGTTCGTGCATCCCACTTATCAATGGGATATATGGTTGAAGTGGATATTGTTTTAGCAGAAAATATGACATTAATAGAAGCTCATGATATTGGTGAGTCTTTACAAATGAGATTAGAGAAGCATCCAAATGTTGATCGTGCTTTTGTTCATTTAGATTATAATGATGATCATGATGTATTAAATGAGCATGAAATTAATAATTAATTTTTTGTTGTTTTAGATATGTCGTTATTTAAAGTGGGTATTATAATCTAAATTTAATGAACAACTTAAATCCAATAGATTTCTTTATGGTTTACTAATCTTTTGTATTCAAATGAAAATAAAAACATCTTTTTTTAATGAATATTATGGATTTTAGTGATAAACAATCATCATTTTATTTATATGTCATTCATTATATTATTAAGTATCTTATAAAAGAATAATACACTTATTTAAAATAAAGTACTAATAAATTATAAATCATTATTTCTTTCATAAATCAAAGAATGTTGAAACCATTGAAACTCTATTATAAATATCTATCAATATTTTATTCTTTATACCTTATCTTCTACACTAGTTTCATAATTAGCATTTAGTCCTTATATATTCTAAAAGTTTATCAAGATTGAATTAAGAAATAATCAAAAATATAAGATATGATATAAAATGATTAAATATTACGTTTGAAGATTTTTTTAATATGACAAGAATCTCTCTTAAAAGAAAAAAAAAGATAAGTAGAATTGAATTCAATTAATTTACTGGTGGAAATACTTCTGGGCCTTGAATTAATTCAGTTTTGTCCTTGTAACAAACCTCAATGCAATAATGAGAAGAAGAGACAATTACTCTCTTTTGAATTTCTTTAATACATTTTTTCATTAATTCAAGAGCCTCTTCAAATTCCATGCCAGAGTGCCAATTTTTATCTAAGAGTGCATACACAAAATTACTTCCAATTCCATGTGAGGCATATGTTTCAGGAACTAAAGTTCCAAATTGATCTATCATAAATAATTCTGGTTTCTCATCAACACCACCAAGAAGCATACTACACTGATATCCACCTTCACGTAATGAATCAGATACTTGTCTTCTAATCCAATGGGCAATTGATTGTGTAGTACTTTTTAATCCATTTCGATAATAATTAAGAGCAATATTTCTTTGAACAAAATCAGCTAATACTTGACGATCATTACCTTCTCCAATAATTGTTAATAATCGATTTCCTTGAACAGGATATATTTTATTAAAATCATTCCGAACTGTAATGACCCCTCTTCCACTATTTCCGTCAACTGCCATTAATACAAAATCTTTACCAACAATACCTATACAACTATCCATTTCTTTTGATTTTGATTTTATAGTTTCTTAATCAAAAATTTTTCTTATCTTTTTCTATTGAAGTTTTTATTTTTTATTTTTTTATTTTTTGTTTTTCTTTTCATTTTTTTATTAAAAAAAAAGAATAAGATTTTATTCATTTCTTTAATCATTCTTTAACTCATCTTATATATAACAGAAAAGCTATAAACATTTTCTTAAAGATATTTGTTTCTTTGGGTAATCGAAATGAAATTAATTTTTGTAATTTTTAATAATGACGATGAGATAGAAAAAGAATTACTAGATGAACTAATTAAAATAAATAAACTCTCTTTAACAATATTTACTAACAACATAAAAAATGGATTTAATTAAAAGGAACCTATCATCACTTGTCAATAAAAAACATATTATAATAACTGTTTAAAGAGTTCTGTGAAACCTCTATATTATCATTTAAAAGATAAATTAAATTTTATGAAGACTAATTTAATTAAAGAATGTGATAGTGGAAGTTAAGTCAAACTTAGAGAGTTGAATACATGATTCATTAAATTAATATAATAAGAATACTTAAAATAAATGTTTACTGAACATAAGTTATAGATTAAATTAGATCTTGGAGACTGTGGATTGAAAAGTAACGTATTAAAAGATTATTTTCTTTTTTACGAATTATTCTTAAATAAAATGTTAAAAACACAATTCAATATTGAATAATATTATATTTTTAAAATTATTATTTCTTAAATAAAAGATTAAATGAAATTAAAAACTAAGTAATTTTATATTTTTATTTCATCAAATTAAATTCAATCATTCTGAAGTATCTCATTGAACCAATTCAACTCATTGGATCTATTTTAAACATAAAATAATGAGTTTTGTCTTTCTATAGAATAATACTCTTTTTAAGAAACATTCATTAGAATTTTTTTTCTTTTTTTAATATAGAAAGATCTTTTGGTTTTTTACTTTAATTATAGGGTACAAAGGGTTCATGTCAGACTTTAATGAATTATTTTTTATTAACAATAAACCAACTCCTCTCCTTTATGCCTATATGAAAATTATGGTTAAATCAGTTAGTCTTGGTGAAGCAAGAATGACATGTAGAGTGTTATTACAATATGCTAATGCCCAAGGATTTTTAAAGGAGATGTTGTTGTGGTTTGGTTGGGAAGAAATTGAATCAACACCACCTGCTACATTCATTTTCAGGGGAAACTCTTCATTTACAAGATTGTTATGTTATTACATGGAAGAAGAGTTACAAGATTTTCTTAAGAAAACAGTTGGGAAGTTAGTTACGGATATGATCACAGAAATTGAATTAAATTTTGATCCATCTTCTTTACATGACAAAACTAATGAGAATTTATTATTTGAGAATCTTGATGTAGTATGTGTTGTATTAAATAAATTTGCATCTTTAATAGTAGATAATCTTTCTTTAATACCAATTAAATTTTCAGGAATTATCAGAGATTTAATGGCTAAAATCAAAAGAAAAGATAGTGACATTGAGACACGATATACTACATTTAAAACGATTTTCTTTTTAAGATTTTTATTTCCTGCATTAAATCATGCAGAAAAATATATTCCAAGTGAACTGAGATGTGATTTAATTCAAGTCAAAGAACAAATTCCACAAATAGTTCGTTTTGGACAAATTGTAGTTAATGGAAAAGAATCAGATGATCAGTTAAGTAAATACATTCTTAAGGCTTGTGGTCCATTAAGTAAAGCAGTAGAAACTGTTTTCAATTATTTCTGTTCTTTTAGTTCACACAGACCAAAGGAATTATCAGGAATTAATTTTAAAGAACAACAATTACTTACTACTGAAATACTCTCTTTTATTAAACCTTTTTTATCTCAGTTTAAAGAACATCTTGAAGAGTCTGGAAATAATGAATTGTTTAGAAAATTATTTGACTTAATTAAAAGAGGGAAAACTCCACAAAAACCAACATTAGAACTAGAGCCATTAGAGTATTCAACAAAAAAATTACATAAGTATCTTATGAAAAGAATTGAAGAACTTAAAATTGAAAATGATTACTATTCAACGCGAATAAAAGAATTTCATAATGATATTAAAATAATGAGGTTTATCATTGAAAAAGTTAGTCAAAAAAAGGAGTGCTTAAAATAATAATTTAAATTTACTTTTTATTTTAATTGGATTGTTGTAAACATATTATGTGCTAATACAGGTCTATTAATAATTACTTTTCCACTCTCTATAAAGACCTTTTCTTTCTCAATTACTCGTTGAAAGTGCTATTTTATAAATATAAAGTCTTATTGTTATGAGGATTAAATAAAATATTACAAACAGAAATTATAAATCTTTCAGGAGAAGATTGAATCTTTTTAAATAATTCAATATCAATAAATGATTTCATTGTTAATTGACTATAATCTAATAAAACATTCCACATTTTTTGTGCTAAAAGAAGTTTTTTTTCTTTCGCATATTTAACAAATGAATCTAGTAAACAAGATTTCATTTCATCTGAATAAATTAATCCATAAAATTCTTTTGATATATCAATAGAACATGTTGAATATAAATTAGGAACAAAGCCTTGAATTGGTTCTACAATAACAAATATTTGAGTAAAAGGATGAAGTGAAGGAATAAAAGATTCTTTATTATCAATAATTTCTAATGGTGGATATATTTCTGATGATATCCCACTCAAATTAAAAGAAGCAAGAAACTTTGCTATATCAACTATTCGAGAAGGGTCATATGGTTGAGTAGTATATACAAGACATTGTAATCCTGAAAGTAAAGAGAAGAGGATATTTGGATAACAAGAAGAAAACTCAGAAATAAAAGAGTTATATCCAAATTTATTTGAATCACTTGAAATTGTAGGAAAAGAACAAGGAGGAAATGGTGCATTAATTGAATATTCTTCTGATAATGTCCAATGTTCTTTATTTAAAGAAGAAGATAGTGATATATTATTATTTAAATTAATAAATTGAGGTTGGTTTGAAGTAATTGAATGTAAAGTATTTATAGAGGTTTCATTTGTTGAAGAGAATGATTGAGATGGATGTGAACTAACATTTGAAATAAATGTTGAAGGAGGAAAAAAAGACCAATTAAACAATGAATGACCACCACATGCAATAATATTTCCAGGATGAATTGGATTTGAATAGTCTGAACATAAAGAATAATGGTTATGAGTTGAAAGAAGAACAAGTGAATAACTAGTTACTATACGTTGAAAAAGAAATGGAACAGGATCAGTTGAATCTATTAATTCTTGTAAAGACATTACATCAATATATTCTTTATGTTCTAAAGATTTATGTTTTTGAGAAATTGACTGAAATTTAATAGCTAATTGAGTTAATTTATCTGTTAATAAATCTATTTGTGAAGTAGTAAATGGTGAAGATTGAATAATAGCAATACAACAAGTAGTTACATATCCTCTTTTATTTGATGGATTAAAACAAGTAAAATGAACACTCATAACATGGTAATTTGTAATTGTATGAAGTAATATTATTATATTAGAATATTCATAATAATCTACTCCCATCATCATTCCAATCAATTCATTTTCTACACCTACATTTAGTGGATGTGTAACTTGTTTATAAACAACTTTTTCTCCACTAGTAGTGTCAAATTCAACTATATACATCCCTACAAAAAAATCATTTGTTTCAACTATTGATTGTTCTGAACTATCTCCATATGGGGTATGTGACATTGATGGAATTCCAATGACCCCATTATCAATAAAGGAAGTGTCACTAGTATCACTTACTGTCATGTTCTCCTTTTTCAGTGGATTTTTCTTTTTGAATTTTTTTTAATAAAAAATAGTTTTTTTACTATTTTTTGAATTTTTCTTTATTAATGTCCGTTCATCTTAATGAATTTTGGTGAAAAAATTATTAAAAGTTCCCTTGATATTTTTCTTTTCTCTTTCATCAGAAAAACTTAAAAAGTTCCAAATCAAGATGACTGAAAAGCTTAGTGATTGGGAAGTTCTAGATGAAAATTTCAACAAAATGAATACTGACATACCTCCACAGCTTCCTCCTAAACCAAAAAGAATGACTGTTGCTAAAAATCATACTACAAAAGTAGAAATAAAATCACCTAGTGAAAGTACTAATAAATTTATTTCAAATGATGAAGAAAAGGATACCACTTCATCTCAACAACAAAGAGTTTCTCTTCCAATTGATAGTAGTATTGAATTACCTGAAAACCAAAACCTTATTGACAGTTCAATAAATAAAAATCAACTAAATAAAGAAGTTGTTGAAACAACTAACGAACCAATAAAACCTAAACCAGAAACTAAATCATTATCTAAAGAAGATTACAGAGAACGTATTGTTAATGAAATGTTTGATACAGAAAAGAGTTATGTTAGTTCAATGGAAACATGTATAAAAGGATATTATGACCCACTTATACAATCAGGACATAGTGTTGCACCTGCAGATAAAGTGAATGCAGTTTTTCTTCATTTTCAGAGTGTTTTATCTATTAACAAAGAATTATTGAAGAACATGACTGAACTTAAAGAGAAAGGAGAGTTATCAACAAAACTAGGAGAAGCGTTTAGCCAATTTATTCCAATGATGAATGTTTATAAATTATTTCTTGGTAATTCAGATACTTCATTACAATTTCTTGTAGAATTAGAGAAGAGTTGTAAATTTAATGATGTGCTTGATCTATTAAGAAGTCATCTTCCAGGAGACAATCAATTAGATCTTCGTAGTTATTTAATTATGCCAGTTCAACGATTACCAAGATATAAATTATTATTAACGGATCTAATCAAACACACTGATGACGGTTTTGTTGATAAACCAAAATTAATAGATGCATTAGATAAAATATCAAAACTTGCAACATTAGTAAATGAAGTTATTAAAGAACGTTCAAGAAATCAAAAACTATTAGAATTGGTTGATAAAATAGAAGGACTAAGTCATGAATTAGTTACACCATATAGGGAATATATTAAGAGTGGTTCATTATTAAAAATATGTAGAAAAGATAATAAAGAACGATATTTTTATTTATTTAATGATTTATTAGTATATGGAATTGGTGATGAAAATAAAATTAAAGTTAGTCAAGAATTTCAATTGGAATCACTTAAAATTAATTTAAATCAAAACGTCCCAAATTCTTTTCAAATTCTTGCAAAGAAAAGTTTTTCTGTTATTGCAAAAGATGAAATTGATCGTGATGAATGGATGAAAGCAATAAATGATGCTATTCAATTGGAAAAATCAAAATTAAAAACTTTAAAACGAGATAAGAAAGTAGAAGATGAATACATTGCCCCTATATGGGTTCAAGATACTCAAAATTGCCAAGTTTGTAGTGCTAAATTTACTACATTATTTAGAAAACATCATTGTAGAAAGTGTGGATTATGTATTTGTTCTAATTGTAGTAAACAAACTATTATTATTAATGGAAAGAAAGAACGTGTTTGTGATATTTGTGCTAATAAAAATAAAAAATTAAGTGAAAGTACTCTTACTGAACAAAACAGTTCTGAAAGTAAAGATTTACTCCTCTCAACTTCTACTGAACAAGATCAACAACTAACAACTAGTTCATCTAATGATGATAATAAAAAGACAGAATCTAAATCAATTCAACAAGAAGAGTCTAGTAGTGAGCAAAGTACAAGTGTTGATAGGGATAATATAATCAATAATGAACAACCTCTTGAACTTCCAAAACTACCACCAAAACGAAAAAATGAACTTGTAAAAGAATCAGCTCAACAGAAACAACAATCTGACGTTCTTCAATTACAAGAAAATATGGACCTACATTCAAAAGAAAAAGTAGTAGATTCACAAGAAGATATTTCTCAACAACCAGAAGAATTAATTCCACCAAAAGTTCCACCAAAAAGAAAAAGTCAAAAAACAGTACTTACCCAAGAAGAAAGTGTTAAGCAAGAACAACAACCTTTAAAAATAAATAACTCAAAGACTTTACAACAAGACATACCACCTTCTATTGAAACTCAACAAACAGAACAAAATTCCTCTAACAAACAGGAACCAATGAGTTTATCTCTTGAACCATCTAGTAAATTTCAAAACTCAGTAAATGGTATAACGCCATCTACCCCTTCCAAGAAAGTAGTACCTCCAGTCCCACACCGCTCTCTTCCTCCAAAACCTGTTCGGTCTAGTGCTATAAATTCTCCTTTAACAACTCCAATTACTACAAATGCCAATTCTCAAACATTACCAAAACCAAGTCCTCTTGTCTCATCTCAACAAAAAATGCCAACCAAACCTTCGCCTCAACAACATGGTTGTAAACAAAGTCAAAGCCAACCAGTTCTAAACAAAACTACACAACAAAATTCAGCAAGACCTTCAACCTTATTAAACCAATCACCTCTACATACAAAAAGCGTGCAACCAGAAGTGGTCAAATCAACTCCAATAAAAGAAGACATAAGTCACTACCGTTCTGTCAGAGACTCACCATTCTTAAAACAACAACGAGCACAAAAAGAAAGTGATCCTTCACAAGCCTCCCCTCGAAGACCACAACCACCAACACCAAAAAGAGGAGTTACAAAATGATGTTTTAATTAAAATTGTTTTCTTTGGATTTGTTATAGTTTAAGTGTCTTTAATCTCAATATTCATTAGTTTTGTTATATCTCTAAGCAATACTGTTTTATAGAAGTTTAATCTCAAATAACTTAGTCTGTTACTATCATGATAACATTCTAATTCATTTGCTATAACTTTCCCTTTATATTTTCAGATAATTAAATTAAGGACAAATTATATATAATAAGACTTTAAGATATTTAACTATTTTTATTCTTTAATAATTTTTTGAATATTCGATTGCTATATTTCTATGGTATTTTTTTTTCATTGGGTATGTCACAATTTAAATATTAAACACAATCCTAATTATCTTTTTTTATTATTCAACAACAAACTCACTCTTATCATTATTACCATTAGAGTATATTTTAGTTTATGATATTTCTCATTGTTTTTATGTTAACGTACACGTCTCAAGAAGCTAGACAAAAGGTTTTCCACTAATTTCATCTTTTGAATGAATTTGATCGATTTTATTATTAGTTATGATTAAAATTATTGAGTTACTCTTTTCATATGCTTATTTAATGTTGTTAGTATTCTATTGAAGAAGAAAATTACTTTTTTATTGTTACTGTTTACTCAAAGTTAAGTGTTTGATTCTTTATGATTTCTAAATACTAATTAAATTTTAGTTAGATTCCTTCAAAGATTGTTATATCTTTCTGATTATATATCCCAACAATATCAAATCTTTAAAATATGATAAAAAGAATATAAACTTTAATATTTATTATAATTTAGTTAATTTATAATTCAATTAACGATTGTATTTCATTTATTTTAGTTTTGTATTTTTGTTTTATTCTTTATGATCAATAAAAATATACATTTCTAAACGACCTAATTGATATTTGGATATTATTTAATTTTAATGATGACCATCCATCAAAACAATAATACCCAATTGATTTAACTTTTGGTGTAGCTGTAGTTCCATATAAATCTTTATCATATTATGTATATCCTATATTTTTTTTACATTCATTACATTCTTCTTTTTCTTTTAAATATGTTGAATAATCTTCTTGGTACTATATTATTTGTTTATTTATTCTTCCATCATTAAGTATTTCATCATATTTATTATAAATATGAAATGTTTCAATACTATGAAATAATTTTCTTGAATATTCATTTAAAGGAGTTGGATTAGAATGAAATCGTTCTATATTTCCTTGAAATCTTTTAACACCAATTTCTAAATTAATAAAATCATTAATATTATTAAAATACTTTGACATTATAATTACTTCTTTTTGATTATATTTCTTTCTTTATTAACATGTATTGTATTTTACTGTTTTTTTTTTCACCTTGTACTTTTAGTGTTAGGTTGTGCATAAACTTAAATAAACAAAATATATATTGGTGTTATTAGATGAGTAGAATGAGTGGAAAAACATTAATATAAAATATGTAGAATATTAATAATTAAGTTTTTAATAAGTTTAATTATTATGAACTAAGAGCACTAAATAATGTAAAACAAGATTTACCAAATCTGTATTAAACAGAATGATGTATGTTGATTTTAAGTACTTTTTTAGTATTTGAAAACGAATTTTTATATAAGATATTCAGTATAACTGAAAATATTTTGTAATCACTTTTTGTAAAAAAAAAAGAAATTTAGAAAATCAGAAGTGTTTTTAAGTTTTTGTCTTTCTTCTTAATTATCTTTCTTGATTTTAATTAATTCTTCATTCAAAAACATATTTGTTTAAATACCAATAAAATAACGAAATAATTGAATTAAGAAAATTCCTCTTCAATAAAAAATACATCTGGTAGACTTTTTTTGTGATAATTGAAATAATGAAAAAAAGAATAAAAATAATCAAAAAAAAAATAAATATTTTTTAGATAATTAAACTACATGCAAGATTCTCTAGTGACAATAGCTATCAATGTCTTTTCAGCTAGAAATTTACCAAAAGCAGATCCAACTGGACTATCCGATCCTTATGTTATTTTAACTTATACATCGTTAAAAGAAGGAGAATTAGTTAAAAAAAGAAAAAAAACTGAAACAATTAAAGAATCACTTTCACCAACATGGAACAATACATTTATATTAAAAAATGTAGCTTCAGAAAGTATTTTAACATTTAATTGTTTTGATTGGGACAATGCATTTAAATTTAGTTCTGATGATTTTCTTGGTAAATTTAAAATTATGGTAGAAAAGAATACCAATTAATAAAAAAGTTGTATGGAGAGTTTCATTAATG